ATAAAATACAGTATAGTTAAAAAATTGTTAAGAATACATACATTTTTTCACAATCACAATTTCACCATTTCTGACTGTATTTTGCATATTTTTAGGTGTCAATGGTTCAATGATTATTTGATATAACCTCCTGAAACTACTCTCATATATATTTGGTGGTACAGTGATATGGAATCCAGTCTTTTGGGGTCTCACGGAATTCTTGTTTTAGAGAAGAAAATCCTGAAATCTGCGGTTTAATATTATGAATTATAGGTGAAAATTGCACTTGCTACACTGCTTCTCCCATTTTTAGATGCTAATAAATCTGTAACTACACTTACTATGACCTTAAGTCTACTCATATGTATTATTGGTATTACCAACCAGAGGCAGAATCAGAAATTATGGTAAATAAAAGTAAAATTTAAGAGATAAATTGTTCTGAATAGTGCATTTTGTCACATTTTTTGGCGATATCTGACTGCATTTTGTGTCTTTTGGGTCTTTTTAAGAGTCCATGCAGATATGAATACTTGATCTAGAGCTCTGAAATTTTCAATACCAGAATTTGGTAGCACTATGTCTGGATGTGGTCACTGGGTTGGCCTAGTGGTTAAGGCATTGGTCTGAAAAGCAGGAAGTCTGGCTTCAGGCTAAAAAAGTAGAGGTCTTTGGTTCAAACCCAGGTCACAGCACTTCTTGTGATTTGTCTTTGACCTATGACTGCTGACCTATACCGGCGATCACTAGAGTGCTGCTAACTCGATAAAAGGCTGGCGCTGGCTAGAATTGTCTATGGTTCAAGCCAGGATAAAGATACCAATTCTTCAACTCGACAATGGGAAGAACTGCTCTACCTTAGTGACTAATATGTCATGATATGACATCTAAAGAGTCAATAAAAGATATATATATATCCTGTGTTTGGACTCTAACCAAATCACAGTTGTTGAGAAAAAAATTCATAAGTAGCAGTTTTAATTCAAAATTAGTTGAAACGGCACTCAAGACAACTTTCCTCATTTTTGAAAGCCGATAGATCGGCAAGCATTTACACCATGATCTTGAATCTGGGCATACATGTTCTTAATGGCACTATCTCATTGCCCAGATATTGTGGAAACATTGTGACTTATATTCCATGTGATAGTAAGCACTGAAAATGGACTTGTTGCATTGTGGCGGACCCCATACAAAACAAACTTAGGGGTAGGGGGGGGGGGGGTTTAAACGTTGATCAGTTCTGCTATTTTTTGTGGCTATTGGTCATATAGTAGATCATTTTGTCAAAAGGTAAGGGTGATCCGAGAAAAAGTTTGGAAATTGAAACAGCCTATTAGATTTCATTATGATACATTGTACAAAATTGAAATTGTATATATAAAATATGTAGAGTCTATATTTTTTAATAATAAATGAATTACATTGTCAAGTAACAAGTGAAGATGTTTTATATGCATTGATTTGCTTTCTATCAATACAAGTTTTTAATTGTATGCTGCAAAATGATAACATTGACCACGCCCACTTTCCAGGGGTAGGGTACTATAAAGTCATATTAAAAATCATAAATAGTACATTATCATTATTATAATTGTATTACAATATCAAACAAAGCTTGAATTAGTTTTTAGAAAACAATTTTGAGCTATTTAAGTTGCCATCTTTTGCTGGAAGCTACAAATATAAGATACGTGAGACTTAAAAATGACTAAAATTGCGTATTTTTTTCCTATTAATTGCAATATTTCTGAGACTAATACAGATATCGGCCTATAACTTTAGGATATTATTCATCTTTGGACTAGTAATGTGTGCTGTAGAAAGCAGAACAATAGCAACTATATCCTTTATGTTATGAAATAATCTTATACTACCCCCTGAAATCGCAGGAATTGAAGTCCAATTCGGCCGTGAAAATTGCTTTTACCACTTTAAAGGCCATCACCTTATATTTTCTTACACCTACTAGGTTACTCTAACATACTGCATTGCCAAAAGTTACTTCTTGTAAACTTCCGGCAAAACTGTGCCAGCATCTGATACAATTTGCAAATTAAACATATATACAATATATTAAAATACATGACAATATATCAATACACATACATAGTCTATTCAAATTTGTTTTAAAAAGATCTCTAAGCTATTTTTTAGAACAACATTTTTTTCACTCTTCATCATATCTAAATTGTTAATGTATAATTTCAGTCGGTTGATTACAGTGTTTTCAAAATTTATACTTTTGTATCTGTCCATATTATTTGAGTTCTTAACCCAATTTGAATAAATTGTATATCCCACTATTGTGAGAATTACATTTCTTGACTGAGAGACATTACCTTCCAACATATAGAACCCTAAAATAAAATGTTTCCATTTGATATCACATCTTAAGATATTTCTAATTTTTTCCCAAATATTTTGTACAATCTTACAGTCCAGTAATAAATGTTTTGGAGTTTGTATCACTCTTCATTCACTACAATACTGGTTAATTTCTTTATTCCATTTGTATATAGTATTCCCACATGCTAAAATATTATGGAAAAGCTTAAAATTGAATTCTGCATGTTTTTTATATATCATATTTTTTATTTTTGAATCATATACTTTCCCATAGAACGTTTTACATCTTGGTGTGCTGAAAATTGTTGCCCAGTGTCTTTCCATAATGCTTCTTTCATGTTTACTTTCTAGTAAAATATTATATAATCGTTTAGCATTGATATGCTGTATATGCATCCATTTACCATCTTTCATAAGGTAATTGTTTTTTGCTTTTATATTTGTATATTTTTCTGTTTTTCTATCCAAATTTTGAGTGAGTTTATTTAAATAACCTTTTATTCTTATATATTCGATCATCCAATTGTGTTTCTTTATCAATTTATTCAGAATATACTGCTCATCAATAAAAACTCCATCTTTAAAAAATCCTTTATATAGATAAACCCACTTTTTATCCAATTATGGCTGTAAAAAACGTTTCCCTTGTTGCTCACTAATTTTTCATTTAGCCAAAAGATTTCACCAAAAAGATTTTGTTTGTTTAATTTGTCAATTTTACATCTATTGAATGCACTAAAAATATCCTTATAGAATTTAGGCATATTTATCTTTATTTCTTGTGTAAATGTAGTCTTAATGAAATCTTTTACCTCAAATCCACATTTTTTAATATAATGTTCTGGTATATTTTTCCAAGTATTATCTTCAGAAAAGATTCGTTTTACCCAACTTCCTTTAATTGAAGCTATTTTCAATTCTAGATCTACTAGCCCTAGACCCCCATTTTCAACTTTTCCTATAATTGTATTTCTTTTTAATCTATCTCTTTTCCATAAGAAATCAAAAATTATTTTATTCACTTTCTTTAAAACATAATCAGGCACATTCAGTATTGAAAAATTATAAACTAGTTTTGAAATCCCTAAGCTATTAATCACTTGAACTTTTCCAAAATAGGTCAGTTTTCTTTTCTTCCACGTTTCAAATAATTTTTCGAATTCTAAAAATTTTGGGTCCCAATTCAATTCTTCACACTTTTTAAGATCATTTCCAATATAAACTCCAAGGACTTTAATTGGTTTCTTTGTAAATTTTATATTCTTGTATAAATCTGGTTCATTGTTCTGATTTCCAAGCCATATACCATGTGTTTTATCTAAGTTTAACTTTAAGCCACTTAATTTTGAGAATTTGTTTATTTCTTCAAGAAAATATATTATTGAGTCTTTTTGTCTTAACATAATTGTTGTATCGTCCGCATGTTGTAGTATTTTAATTTCATTATTGTTTATAGTTATACCTTCTATTTTATCATTTTTTTCTATGTTATTTGACATTATTTCTGTGCATAATATGAATAACAGTGCCGATAATGGACAACCTTGTCGGATACCTCGTTCAATTTTAACTTCTCTTGAACAATACCCATTAATTTAGGATTTGTATACATAATTTTCACCCATTTTCGAAATTTTTCCCCAAAATTCATTTAATGATAATTAATTATTTAATGATATTTTTGCATGTTTAACCATCGATGACCAAATTGTTCTCTTTGATAACATATTTGAATTCTGTATGCAGTTTCTACTCGAAGTACTTTAGAAACACAGTTTTCATTGATACATTAGGTGATCATTTTAATGAATTTGGCATATATTGGCCTACCCGAACATCACACCCAACAAGGAATTTACCATTATATCACCACTGAGTTATCCATTTTTATTTATACAACATCATTTTAATACAATGCCTAGAATTCTTTGTTTTATTTTGTATAACCTTCCAAGGGCTATTAACCATCTATACCATTGCAACCCAGAGAGTTTGAACAAAGTACCTTATACAAAAACACAGATCATGAATACAATATTAAACAGTGCCAAGTGCCAACGGGAAAGTACCATTAAAAATGGTTACAGAACACAGCAAGAAAATGAGAACATCCGAGAGTATACCAGTCATAAGGGAAACCCAGATGATCCCAAATCACAATCCATCGTGAAAAGAAAAGGTGTCTAATACCCCCCTCCCCCACCATTCAAGTGGGATATCACAATCTGAGACCATAACACCAAGGGACATTTCATTCATATTGAAGTTATTACAAAAAGTCAAATTCATCCCCAAAGCTGACACTATAATCCATAATATACAATCTTTCAAAATGGTCATCAGGAAAAAACTATGGCTGGTTTCGATCCCCATTTCTCAACCATTATGCCACAGCTGGGATCCTCATAAATAGGTGCAAAGTGAAAAAAGGTTCTTTAATTTTTATTTATTATCAACAAGTTTTACTTTTATTGTATTTTAAATGTCAACATGTTTACTTCAAAAAAAACCTTTTTGTTATAACCCTGAACTTGTATTAACAGAAAAATGTTTTGATAAATAACCATGTTCTAAGAAAACAAACAGGATAATAAAAACTGATAAGGTCATCCTTTACTAAACAAACATAAATTCTAAAAATTATTTTATTTTAATGTTCCAGGAATCATTAAATGATGTTTCTCTTTTACAAAATATCCGAATAACATTTCAAGATCATAATTTTGAAAGTGATAGGAAGCTTAACAGGTTTTCTTAAGTTCGGAACTCCAAAAACAAGAAAAAATGAAAATGGAGAATAAGGATAGAATGTGCATGCTATCAATTGTGATGGTATTTACAATATGCCTAGCTGTTGCGTCTCTTGCATGCTCTATTACCTTTTATAATGAGTTACTTAAAGTGAAGGATGAATTACTGAATGTCCAGGTGAAAGTACAAACAGGAGAAGATGAGATAGCAGAACTTAAGACTCGGATTGAAACCCTGGAAGATCAGGTATGTGTATAATAGCTTATACGACTATCATGTAAGAATTAAGCCAATGTGTTATGTGTATTCTTTACACTTTCTATAATTTTTTTTATTAATCATTGAATATGTCTCTATTGCCTTTGTTTTCAACACTGGCGACAATTTTGAAAATAATTTTTTCAGACCAAGGAATAACTTTTACAATGTTATGTTTCTTCTTTGCATAGAACTCCATTATCTTATTATAAATATTTTATATTAGATGCCTTTTCTCAGTGTTGCATTTGCATTGGCCTTTAATATTAGAACATACTCTGTCCTATAAACTTCATTTGAGTTGAAATATTACATACATATTTTTTATTTGCCTTAAAGCAGTGGCGTTATGCTGATGAAAGAAAAGAAAAGCAGGATGACCTCATTAACTTAGATCGTGGAAAACGTCAAGCTGCCGGTACATCTGCAAGTTAGTATAACCTTTTACCACTAAAATCCAAAAAATCTTTCCTAAAATGCTTAGAATGTCTGAAAATATTTTCTTTTGCTATTAAAGTTAAACATGTACTCATAGTACAAATAGAATGATTGTTTAGGCTTTTAATACACACCAGGGCATGGCTTTAAGTATGATTGGCTCTTTAATAACAAGAATAAGAGGCAAGTCTAAATACAATTTAATTAAAAGAGACTAGATGACTAGATAACAGCAACACCAAAGCATAGCAAATCGCATTGAACAGCCATGGCTGGCATTTCAGGAAAAGCCAAATTAGAAAGTTTATTAAGATTATTCACATGTAAAATAACAAAATCGGTCCACTACTTTTCCAGTTTTAGTTAAAAAGGGTTAAATAATACTGGAAATATGGTGGCCATTATTCAAAATGATCGCCATCGAGCCAAAGTCTCATAATATAGTGTACCATGCCTATTCACATATCAACTATGATCAAAATCGGTCCACTGCTTCTCCAGATACAACAAAAATCATAAAACAGCATGTAACGGCTACCATTTTTCAAGATGGGTGCAAGTTTTTTTGGATAAGTAGATTTTCAACTTAGTCATTTATATATATATATATTCATATACTATATACTTTTGGATTTAAATCATATTAAGTTGTATACCTTTTTTTAAGGTTTTATATGTGGTTCCTAATTTACAGCCGTAAACTGGTGGCCATTTTGAAAATTAGCTTTCAAGCAGAACTTATACTCACATACAGTGTAGAGCAAATACTTATAAAATATAAACAATATTGGACCAATGGTATTTTAGTTATTGACTGGACAGACGGACATACGTATGGATGGAGCCGCTCTCTACATATCATATATCCCCCGAATTTCATTTGATAGGATTATTAACCCAAATAGTTCAGTTACTGTATTAGTGTGCTCATTTTCAAGGTTGCAGTATCTATGGACGTGATGGAAGAGATGGCATGCCTGGGCAACAAGGTCCACCTGGACCACATGGACCACCTGGACCACCCGGACCAGCAGGTAGAGATGGTAGTCGAGGGAAAAATGGAAGAGATGTAAGCCTTTACATTTATTACAAATTGCAGCATTATTTAATTTCAACTTTATTTTTTCAGTAATGATGGTTGATTGATGTGGAGTACATTTATATTTCCAGGGGATAAGTGCACAAGGATTATCAGTTGAAGATATCAGCTATTTGATAGGATTGCACCAGAAAGAGCAGTGCTCCAGTAATAGCTCAAGTAGTGGTACCTCTAGTTCAGGCAATCACACTGGAGGTGCCATGTATGTGAGATGGGGGAGAACTGTCTGTCCAAATAATGTAGAACAAGTCTATTCAGGTGAGATTAAAACATGGACATTACAGTGTGTCTCAAAAAAAATGTTACACTTACAAAAAGTTCAATATCTTTCATGATTTTGACTTTTCCCCTAAAATATACTTAGATACCATAAGACCAGTCTTTCTCGAATAAATTCACACCATCAGATTCAAAATCCGTCCAAGATTGGCTGCACAGGACAGATTTTATAGACGCATGGGAAATCTGATTTGCGCCAACTTCTCAGTGGCTGGACATGTGATGATCAATTCTTTTTTGGTGTGAATGCTTTGGACAGTGATATCTTGATATGATCAATGATCCAGTTCTTTCTTTCCTTGATAGAAATACAAGATTTCATTGTCAGAGTGTTCAATTTTGTTATGATGGCAACAGGATGGTGCAAAGGCCTGTGGCAGATCGTTTGGTAGAACTCTTTAGAAATTAGAAGATAGCATTGAATTACTCAATGGATTGGCCCCCAGGGTCATCCCACTTTACACCCTTGAGTTTTTTAAGGGCCTCTGAAAGCAGTTTACAGCATTACAAACTGACCTAAATGAACTTCTGCAAAAATAATTGATAGAATCAGAGTGATATTACAATTCATGCGCGCATGGGCAAGGGTACCTCAAGTTTAATTTGGAGAACATGTTGAGGGGACCACATGTTTATGTGGATAGACCCAATGATCATATGTAAGACAAATAGGAAAATTACATAATGACTCAGTTTAAGGTCAAGCTTCTACTCAGAAGAAAGTTAAATATTAAAGAAACTGTTCCTCTTTTGTCATTTGGTCAATCCAATCACTTAGAAGTTGGCGCAAGTCACATTTTACCATGGGACACTAAAAGCTGTCATGTGGAGCCAATCAATGACAGATTTTGAATTTGATGGTGTCAAATTATTCTAGAAAGATTTGTCTTTTGGTATCCAAAGTATATTTTAGGGAAAAGTCAAAATTATGAAAGATATTGAACTTTTTGTGAGTGTAACATTTTTTTGAGACACTCTGTAATTACAATTACAAAATTGATCCATTAAATGGTTTGCTTCAAAATGCATTGATAAGAACTTGGGATGTCAAACAAAAGAGCCTTGCTCAAGAAGAGATTTTCAAGATGGGCACTTAATTTAAAAATGGCCACCATTTTTGGAAAAAACATAATCTTTGATTTTCCAGGTATCATGGGCAAAACCTGGTTTGATCAAACAGGTGGTGGTGCCAACTATTTGTGCCTGCCCAGGGATCCAGAGTGGGGGAAAACCATGTCTGGTATACAGTCATCTGCCCATATTCATGGAGTTGAGTATCACTTGCAAGCCAACAACCCATTCCTTACAGACAATTTTCCCGATCCAACTGAACCAGCTTCATGGCTACATGACCGCGAGGCTGTATGTGCAGTGTGTAGGGTGCCACAGCGGGTTAGTCAGGTCATGATTCCTGCCTATAAATCATGCCCAGACACCTGGACCAAGGAGTACAATGGCTATATTATGACTGAACATATCACCAATCAGAAAGCTGAGTTCATATGTGTGGATGAAGCACCAGAGGCAGATATAGCAAGAAGGAACAAGGATGGAGGAAGATTATATGTGACTGAATCTAAGTGTGGCTGGTCACTACCTTGTCCAAATTATCAGAGTGGGTTTGAATTAACTTGTGCTGTTTGCTCAAAATAGATGTTCAAATCAAACATTTTGCTTTATCGTTATATTGGAAAACACAAATATTACCAATACTTTCTTAAAGTGAACATTCTGAATACAAAGGAAGACACAAAAGGCCTTTACGAAACTGAAATAATTTCTTTATTTTTGTTACATTATGTTTTTTATCCCAACGAACGAAGTTCTGTAGGGATATAGTGAAGCCCTCAGTCCATCCGTCAAAGATCAAAAACCTAACTGGAACAAACAGGATGTGGATTTGCCAAAATAACAATGATGTCCTAGAATTTGTTAAAGAAGTAAATATGAGAAATGGAGCAAGGAATATCGTGACATTTGACTTTTCGACCCTATATACAAATATAAACCTACAAGATCTGAAAGAAAAACTAAAATGGACCAGAGCAAAGGCATTTAAAGGTGGAAGAAATCAAAAAATTAGTGTAAATGGTGAAGATGCAAAATGGGGAGGAACTGGAACCAAAATGACAACCTTTAATAAAGAAGACAAAAAATTGGAATACCGATGGGAATATAGATCCAGCACCATATATGGCAAATCTATATCTCTATGCATATGAATATACAGCAATGGAAAAAATGTTTAAAGAAGATTATAGAAGAGCAATGAAATATAATAAAACAGCTCGATTCATAGATGACTTATGCAGTATAAATAATGATGAAAAATTAGAAAATGACAGGGAAAATATATACCCTCCTGAACTCAAACTGAACAAAGAAAATGCAAACAACAATAAAGCAACATTTTTTGACATGAAACTTACAATAGAACACAAGAAAATTACTACACAAATATATGATAAGAGAGAGGATTTTAATTTCAATATAGTTTCCTATCCAGACCTTTCAGGAAACATTCCAAGAAAACAATCATATGGAGTCTATGTGTCACAGATAATAAGAATATCAAGAGTCTGCAGTGATGAAAAAATTGCTTCCAAAAGAATCAAGTCCTTGGGGAAAAAATTAATATCTCAAGGATATAAGAAAGAAACACTGTCACCATATATCAAAAAGACAGTTGCTAAAAATAAATGGATACAGATAAAATACCAAAAGCCAAAAAATCCAATATTAAAGATATGGTCAGAGTTCTAAGACAAATAAGGAAATGGGAAAAACAACAAGAACAAACAGAATCTAGATACCAGTCTCCGAAATGAGGGTAAACTATAGAAGAAAAACAGCAACAAAAACAAACATCGATAAAGACAAAGGGGAAGGGGAGTGTTACCGGTAGAAAAAGCTTTAACCCACCGATGTGTAGTCACAAGTCTGCAGACCCGACACCAAACAAGACCAAAGAGGAAAAGTAATAGGGAGAAAGAAGACCAAGAAAGAAGAAACTAAAGAAGACAAGAAAGTAACAACAGAAACTAATAAGAAACTAAGAAGACAAAGAATGAAAGAAAAGACAAATAAAATCAGAAGAAGCAAGAAGGAAACAACAGCAACTACAAATAGATTTTCAAGCTGGACTGAATGATGATGACATGAACAGCATATAAACAAGACGTCTGTCCGTCTGGAAGATAACTCGAATACTAGTTGACAGATTTTCTTCATATTTTTTTCAAGTTGGCCGCCAGTTTAAAAATGGAGGGAATTTTTCGCAAAAATCTTATGTTTGTCATTTTAAACCAAAATAATAAATATTACTATTTGAAATTTTGGTAGTATATTAACAACATCTATCTATTTCACATATATCCCGGGTTTTTCCCCCTGACCCCCAGGGCTGTAAATGGGGGATTGGGAAAACAGAAACTTGCATTAATTTTGAGTTGTTTTTAAAGTATAGCCTTATTATACTCAAATGAAAGGCAATTTAGAATAGATTGCAAATATTGTAGCGTTTTTCTGATTCAGGCCTCAAAAAATTCAAAATGGCTGCCTAATGCGGGATTTTTCGCAATTATTTTCTGATCTCTTGAAAGTATGGCTATATTATACTCAAATTGAAGGAATTTCAGAGTAGATCACAATTATGGCATTGTTTTTCTGATTTGCTCGTCTGAAAATTCAAAATGGCTGACTAGAGCAGAAATTCGCCATTACTTAGAGTTATCTTGAAAGTATGGTTACATGATACTACAATGATTTAAAATATTTTTTGAAGATAAGAGTAGTTGGCAAATATTACATTGTGACTGTACAGATTGATGATTTATTTGGTGTTCATTGGGATTTGCTACTCCGTGGAGTTGCCATTTTTTAGTTATTCATAGTGGGCATGGGCAACCTAAAATTGAACCCATTTTTTAAAAATAAATCATTCCAATTTTATGTATCAACCAATAAGCTACATGTATCTATAGTTTGCATGCCTTGTTAAGTCATCATATATTAAAAAGTCACAAATTAAATTTGAGAATTATCCTAACTAATTCAAAGGATTTTGCATTGAAAGACAAGACAGATGCGATGAGTACCAGAATGGGTCAACATCATATCCTATAGTTACATTAACTATTAGCTGTCTTCATTTGCCCTTGTAGTCTAGCACTTTTCAGTAAAGATGTATATTGTATAGTTGTTTTTCTCCAACTAAAGTGTCTGCCAGTTCATTGAGTTATCTCATTCTTCTTTGAAGAGTCAAAAATAAACACTGAATTCTATTTACCTGAACAGATGAATCCATTGCCATAGTAACCGTCCCTACAAACACACTCATATGAACCATCTAGATTGTTACACTGAGCCAGAGGGGAACAGGCATTATCTACCCCTGCCCTACACTCGTTCACATCTGCAACATAACAAAACATTTTCTTAAGATATTTATTTTATTCAAATGATAATGGTAAATCCAATACTACTTGTTAATGACACCCTTTTGCCCTACAGAATGCAATATAAAATAAAATACATGTAGTATAGTTTGTTATAAATATAATAGAGAGATTCCAAAACACATTTATAGCATGTTAATAAATCCCTTATGTATATAACTTGGCATAAAGTTTGTGTACAACATCATCATTTGTTGCACAGCTATATCAGTTCATAAGAAGCCATCGCCTATAAAATGTTGTTTATAAGTGGAAAAATCCTTATCTCGTTTAGACCTAGCTATTGGTAGGAATCATAATAATACTTGACATGAAGTTATACTTTAAAGTGAAATCTCTCTAACTATTGCAATGTCCAAATATTTAATATTTCCCCTCTATTTCCACGTCCAGGTGTATTATGATACTATATAAATTATATAATACCACATTGCCAAAATTTTTTAATTTCTCTCTTCAACCACCTAACTAGCAGACATTCATACAAACTGTACATTAGGTGCCAAATCATGAAACTTACCTAAACATCCCTTGCCATCTGCCATTAGGATATAACCAGGTTTACATGTACATTTATACGAGCCTGGGGTATCAATGCATCCCTGTTCGCAACCACAGGTGCCTCTCTCTGGGTAGACTTGTTCATCAATGTTTACACATTCACGAGGGTTCCATGTGTTTGGCAGGTAACCTGCTAAGCACTTACAGATATAGTTTCCCTCTGTGTTGATGCATTCTGTGTTAGGCCCACACTGATGAACATTCTGGTTACATTCATTGATATCTAAACATTAACAAACAAAAGAATTAATTTGAATTATTTATTTCAATTAATTTAAAACACATCAGCAAACATTTGAACAGTAAACACAGCTCTATGTTTATTTACTAAATAGGTGTACAGTTACATATGTTCAAAAATAAATAGCATGTCAAAAATGAATAAAGCAGTGCATGAACTGAGAAAAGGGTGCTCTTTAGAAAATTTGATAAAAACAAGTTGAACTATGTTCTATAAGAAAACAATATTCATATTTATAATACTATGAAGGCCATTCTAATTTGATCTAAAACCATAATTATCAGCTTTTTGGCATAAAATTCTGAACTCAGATATGGTATCTGAAAAACATCTCACCAAGTTAAGACTAGCCGTTGTTGGGTATGTGCGTGTCGTGCCATCTTGTGTTGAGAAAAACATCACCTGATTGATTGTCCAATTGAACAACCATTCGGAGTTGAATTCATCAGTTTGTTCCAGGACTGAGTTTTCTCGCAATGTGCATCATTGTATGGAGAGTTGTATGTTCATGTCTAAAAAGCTGCTAGTGAACCTTTCTGTATCATGCTATTTGGTGCTCAAGATATAATGAAAACATTCAAATGCAGTGCTCCATGAATATGTTGAATCATATCTATTTGTGCTGGATTGTGCTTGAAACATCTAATCATTGCTGCACTCATGAATGTAAAAGTAAATCTAACATTCTGATATTATCAAAAAAATTCAGCAGAATCTCCAAACACATTACTAATAGTAATTTTCCCCATTTGATGATGTGTTTGGGATATATATATGAGTTGCTAATTTACAAAAAGTGGAGTGAAGTATATTACCTAGTTTAGTCAATAGAGGGAACAGTTATCTGTCCCCGGGAATGTAACTCCAACTGGGTAATTCATACTATGTTTATATATATCAAATGTTGTATTTTGAGTGGGCAGATTTATAGCTTTCGTATATATTTGTTGAGTGGGGAGGCAGGTATATAATATTGGCATTTGGTTACTCCAGGTATCCCAAACTTCATATAAGATCTCCCCATATCAACACTCACCCAGACATAGAGTTGGGTCTTCCAGACTGAGGACATAACCAGCTGGACAGAAGCATTTCTCCTTTCCCGCCACAACCCCGCAATAACCATCTGTACAAGTGAGTAGCTGAGCACATGTGGTGAGTGCTTCACAACTTGTCCCGTCATCTGCCAGTCGAAAACCACTTTCACATGCACACTCATAGTAGCCATCTCTAGTTGATGGAAATAAATATGCAATTAACAATCAAATAATATACATGTATATTTATTCTACCATATATGTAGTGCATGTATTTCTGAATCACAAAAACGAATTTATCATAAAAATTTAACTGAATATAAAGTATTCACTAGGGAAATAACTACAATCCCTTCGTCAATAGCATTTTTCACAGGAGAGAAAAAGAAACAGAAAATTAGCATTTATCAAGGGGTAAACCCGAAAAGTTGGAATTTCAGATAAGAATTTCTAGATCAAAACAGTTCCACATCAAATGTCTTCATATTTACAAAAAGGTAGAAGTCTCACCTGTCATTGCACACCTGCGCACACCTGTTTTCATATGGCAATTCACACTCATTAACCTGTAGGCATGTGTGCATGTCTTGCCTGTCAAGCTTATATCCAGGGCCACAGTCACAGTAATGGCCTCCAAGTGTGTTCACGCAGAACCTAGCACAACCTCCATTATCAACCAAACACTCATCGATATCTGCATTAAAAAATCCATGGTTATGATACAATGTCCTTCTTGTATCATGTTTCTTGTCCCCAATCACTTAATTTTCCCCCACAATGACAAGGCATTAGTGTTTTAGGATTTGACTTCAATTTTAAAGTGATACTTTTAACAAAATCCCAGATTGTATGGCTTGATGTGAGAAGAGTCATAGTTGTACGTGGGGGGGGGGGTGGAAAATCTAAATTTTGCAAGTAATTGACATTAATTCAGATACAAACTTGCAAATGATTTTCTCTGTAAAAACCATTGATTTTGTAGTTCTATCATTGAAAATGTTCCATTATTTTGGGACATGTACCATTGTACCTCAGCAGAATTGACATATGAGATGTTTACTCACCCACACATATGTTGCTATCTTTGGCCTTCTTGTATCCCTGGTCACATTGGCAGGTATAGCCACCATCATGGTCATTTATACACTTTCCATGGAGCAAATCACAGTCATTCAAGGCAGCTGTGGAGCACTCAGGATGATCTGAAATATATATCCAAAAATTAGTTTTAGGGTTGGGTTGGTTGGTCCATGTTCTGAAGAGCCAATAGGTATATGCACTCGTACTCAGGATGATCTGTAATATAAGTATGCAGTTTTAAGCACTGTTTGCATCAATAGTTTCTCAAACCCTGAAATTCCTGGTGCCAAGAATTAAGCACCATAGAAGCTGATATAGTGCATTAAAAGTGATATGAATTTCTATATACTTTAGCATAAAAGTGATTAGCCTCATGATATAACCTTCAACTGTAACAATGATCTCTGGAGTTAGTAAAATGATGAACAAATTAAATATGGATTCCAAATATTTTGTCATGCAAACTTCTGGTGTGAACAACTACAAAGAAATGCTCAAGACTATGATAGTAAGAATGCTCTAGATACCTATACAAGTGCGGCCATCAAGGTCCAACTGCCAACCCTCTCTACATTGACACATATATCCTCCAATGAGATTAACACACACCTGGCTACACTTATGCCTATTTATGTTATCCTCATCGACCTTGCACTCATCAATATCTGTAAATGAATAGTCAATTATTTTACAACCCCTTGTAGTTACTCTGTTGTCTGTTATACACATGTACAAATACAGTATGAACATTACAAATACAGTGTGTACCTTCTGTTTTTTAACACTGTCAAATAATAACTTTAATATACAAGTCCATATGAATGGTAGAATCTGATACAGAGGAATAACTCTTTTCCAAAAACTGATCTTATTCAGTACCTTTCTAATATCATAATAATTAATAGCATATATACATAAGAAACAGAACTAGAGATCTTGAGATTTTTTCTCTAACAATTAGTCTACTAGTACTTATGTATTTTGGCCAAACTTATATTGAGAACCATTGATGCAAAATATATCAATCTTTTTAGAAACTACAATGTATACTTGAGATGGTAAATGACACATTTGCATCATGCTGTTTGCCATTATGTTACATTACATTATATCTTAGATTCTCATCTTAATTCCCTACTAATCCACCATTCAAGGGACCAACCAAAAGTGTTCAATAAAGCAAGTGTTCACATCTCTAGCTCTTTCAATCTGGTAATCTATGGCATATTAAACAAGGCATTAAGAACGCCATTTGTTATAGATGCCAACCACCAAATGCCATCCACAAAAAATTGGAATCTAGACAATAACAAGATCTCATCACTTCTAGTGGTGACATAAAAATTGGACAGAAAAAGTGTTCACATTAACAGGTGTTCGTATTAGAGAGGTGTTTGCATATAGAAGTTTTACTGTATATGAGTAGTAGTATATACCTGTACATGACTCCCCAGTGCCTTCATATCCTGCAGGACACTCTTGGCACTTGTATTCCTTCAAGTCACCACTAGCAGTCACCTCTTCAGGGGATCTGTCAGAACATTGGCCATTGTAGCAGGGAGAGTTCATGCACCCATTTATGTCATCTGTACAGAAGGGACCTCCTTGACCAGGGTCACACATGCATGATGCATAGGCAAACAGACCACTGTCCTCCTAGTTGTATGTTAATCAAACATCAAGGGTTAAAATAACAATAGGTGCATACAATTTTTAAAAAGAATCTAAAAATGTTTCAGCTCAACATGTGGTCATGGTAACAATTTTGTAATTTATAATCAATTTTTTAATTTTCATGCATCATAAATAGAGTACTACCTAACTTCACAACTTTTGTTTTACCCATTAGGTTTTGGGAGCATACTAATGAGAAGTGGCCAAAATGATGACAGGACAATCAATATGTATAGTAAAGTATGACACCAATAAGATAATCATTGTATTACCTGTGTTACAGTGTAATTACATTTTCCATCATTGTCACATGCACATAGGACCACCTGAGGCCTATATACAGTCTTCACTTGGTTGATGTCATCCTCCAATACATATTCAAGGGTGATATACCTCTTGGTTGGGGCAAAGGCAAACTGTGAAGTGTACACAGTCTCCCCTGAGTCTGTTAGACTTGATGTGGTTGTCAATGGGGCCTGCAGTACCTACATATAGACAGACAGTACTGTAAAATCTGTGGACATAGAATGCTCTCCGGATTGACAAAATAATGTTTCTTGTTGACATAAAAGGTGTTCCCTAACTCCTGTTCCCTACAGAGAGGGTACATGTTTTGGGCCACCCCAAAAATTGCTGAATAAGCATGTAATTATAGTTTTAGGCATTTCATTGTGATTACTAAAAGTAAAATTTAAGTCTTTGTAGTCCAGGTTTTACAAAGCAAGTAATAGCTATATCAATATAAATCCATTGAATAAACTACAGTAGATACAAGACTGTGTTGTACCTGCAAAACACCATCAGCATCCTTCATCTTCACCTGTACTGTTACAGGATCTCCATCAAGATCCATGTAGGTGAACTTAACATTTGTCAGCTGGCCAACTTCTGTTTTAACCATCTCATTTGCCTCAATAAACACGGGGGCTCTATTACCTATAGCAAGACAATACAATTGCAAATGGAAGATGAGTCATATAATCCAGTCTATTAAACCTTAGTCTAGTAATCAGGTAATAAGACATATCAAAGGTATGTACATTAGATCGGAGAGCCCAATTATATGTTTAGTTTGTTAAGTTCAGCTTTTGGGGTTTGAAAGTTAAAAAACATGGGTGCTAAACCTACCAGGTTTGTACTCAGTGTATTGATTTATTGCAACCAGATGTTTCGGGTCCACTAATAAGAGGCTACTATGAGATTAGAAATCTTACCGAGTTTCCTCTTGACAATTTCATATTTTTCCCTGTTCTTCCTGGTTATCACAGCCAGATATGGATCCGCAGAGCTCTTATAGTCAAAGAGACATTCCTCAGAGAGCTGCTTCTGCATGGAGGAGATTGGGAAGTCGGCGGGGAACTCACAGTTATCATACAGCTCCTCTTCATAGTCGTCCATAGTGTAGAAGTTAGGGTAGAAACCATCAAGGGTATATTTAGCCGCTGTTGGCATATCATCTGGATATCGGCTGAACAGTGTCTTGTCTAGAACACTTGTGCCAGTGGTAGCTTGCCCATACACTTCTCTTAAACTCCCTGAAAATATACATGTTGGATATTTATCTCTGCAGAATGAACTCAGTGACCAGCACTTCAATCACTAAAGATTATAGAATTTTCAGAAATAAAACACAATTTTATCAAATCTGGAGTTTGCAGACAAGGACTATCTTAGCATGTAGGTATTATTAAAAATGTTCTCCACAGCATCCGTAGATTTATAGGATATCCTATGATTTTGAGGAATATCATTTTTATCTACGAGGTGATATTGATATCTGCACGAGAGAGCGAAGCGAACGAGTGCATATATCAATATCACAGAGTAGATTAAAATGATATTCTGAAAAAAATCATAGGATGTTCTTATTATCCTACACTAACAAGGAGTGTACTAAATGTATAATATCATTGCAAAATGAATTCCATGCCAAATAGAGTCAATTTGGCGGGAAATCAACAAGCGGAGTTTATCGTCACAATATCCTCCGCATTTTGGGTTTTCCGGAGTATATCGTCACAATATCCTCCGCCCGGAGTATATCGTTACGATATCCTCTGGATATTCATTTTGCCAATAAATATCAAATTTATTTTTTAATGTTATTATACATTTAGCGCATTAAGTGTAGGATAAACTGAGTTATCCCTGAAAACTTTAAGGTGATATTGATGGACAAACCGATTGACTAACTAATCAATGGACCGACAAGCTGACAGACAGAAATGTGACTACAATAGCTCACCTATGTGTGCTAAAGAGACCATTTCCAAGACCCTATATGGCAGACCTAGATCTTATTAATGCATACTTACAAGATTTGCCAAATGAATGAATTTTGTCTTTATCAATGGATGGATCGAGTACACCTCCTGTAGAGGAAACCAAGTCATCCTGTTTTTCTCCATTGAAGTTGCCCATAAGTCCAGCATAGTCACCATGCATGAGGTCAGCACCCATGCCTATTTGGGCAGCAAGCATACCTCTGTCTGATGTGATTGTCATAAACAGACCTGCCTTGAAAATAATCTTCAGCATAACTTTCAGCTCATCTGTAAATAAAAAAAAAACTGATATGGGTAATGATCAAAGGATAATCTCCAATTCAAAGAATGAAGATGAAGCTCTCTTTTAAAAAAGAAAATCAAACTATTGGAGCGGGCAACATTATATGCATCCTAAAAGGTTTCAGGTATCGAGATCCCATAATCAAAACTCATAAATCATAATCTAAGTCACCATGTACCAATCTTGTCTCAAATCTCTACAAATACTTAGCAATCACACAGTTTCCTTGATAATGTCAGTACACCCCCAATCCGCACTCTAAAATCATGGTACTGTACGGTATATTAAGAGTATGGTACTGCATGGTACAGTTGGAGTATGGTGCTGTACAGTGTTCATGGTACCTTATGGTACTGTTTTAGTCTACAGTACCATACGGTACTGTTGCAGATTGGCTGTGAACATATATATTTTTTCCTCACCAAGTTTCTCTTTGATGACCATCACATCTTCAAGTTCAGTCTTTGGAGCAAGTATTTCTTCACCATCAATGACATTAATGATGTCATCACCTTTGCCATCTGCCTTGTAACTATGGTAAGCCTGGATCTTTGGCCCATTAACACCAACTTGTATAGCAAAGGCACTGTAATTAGAAATGATTGATAGCATTTGGATACTCACAAATCCATGTATAGTACATTGTACTCTATACTACTCGGTTTTACTCTCCTATATAATCAAGAGAACAGAGTACAGAGCACATTATATTGAAATACCTTTACAGCATGTGTTTATTTCCTTTATCAGTGTTCTAATTCAATCCCTACAACATGTATTTGAGAAAATAATTCTTTACACATGGTGTGTAAATACTCCTATAATAGAACAATTTCTAAATAGGAGATAATGGGAGTAATCTTCTTAAAAATCAAGAATTGATATGTCTGATGAAATATAGAGATTATCAAAGAATTAACATTCAGAAAAAGTCAGATCTGTTGGAAAAATAGACATGACAAATTTTTCAAAACTTACTCTCTACTTGTATGTCCCCTTTAAGTCCCTTTAATGAAGGTTACAAGCCACTCTTTTCTTTGTTAACTTGTTGATTTAAATGTCTTAATCTAAATAATGATGTACTTGAACTTCAATGGTAATAATTCTATGACACAACACATTGATATTTTAATCTGGCCGGTCTCTATATGGTCTATGTGTACATATTGAGAAATGGATTCTTACATGAACCTGGTAGCCACATTTCCTCCATTGAGGTTCTCTGTGATGTTTGTACGACCTTGTATCATCATCGCACGTGGGAAGGTAGACCTCAACAGAATGAACTCACCAACATCATTGAATGTATAAGACTGACCATCCAGAGTTGTGAAGTGGGGATCCCCATGGGCAAGACCTAGAGAAAGAGTAATGAAATGAGGATAAGCATGTTCGAGATGTAACATGCAGAGACGTAAAAGGGATACATTTGAGACTTCAAAACACACATTGATAGGGATGCTCAAGTACAGTCTTCACTGTGTTTTGAATGCATGACATAATAATTATTAATTAAGTTTAGTTTCTTGAAAAACATTTATTTTAAGTACATTTGTGAGAAAAAACAGAATGACAGAAAATTATAGTTTAAACTTAGAATCTTTGCCTCACATTAAAATGAATCTGTTCTGTGGTTTTGAGTAAAAATTACTTGCACAATAGGCTATACTTCGTTTCTATACCTAGAGATACTTGATTATACTTTGAGCTGTCAGCCATGGGTCGCTTCTCCAGGTAGTATGGGCAATACCTGGGTGTTCTTATACAACACCACGTGAATGGGTCCTTGTCTAAAAGGGCATGGTCACTGTTTGGATTGAAACTCTACAAACAGACATTTCATTTTTAAATAACTAACTGAGAGGGTCTAATGAACAGACTTTTTATTTCACAGACTTTTTTAAGACTTGGCCTTTTCATGAAAATAGGCATAAAAATTATGAAAATATCCGAAAGGTATCTTTATTGAATAAGGAAAGAAATTTCGTGCTCTGGTTCTACCTTTATCATGAACTTTCCCCTCGAGTACAAAAAATGAATAAAATACTTATACCGTATGCGTACTGAAAAATGAACTTTACCTCGGGGTATCTTGTCATAAATCCAGAATCTTGGTAAACATCTACTGCTGCCATCTGAGCAGTCTCATTGATTGTCATCAATGCACCATCTCTATAGCAACACCTTATCTTACCTCCTGTAAATAAACAACACAAATGTGAAGTCCCATTGATATTCAACTTGTTCAATCTTTTTTCCTTCTACCAAGTTTCATATTATATCAGGCTGGAGGTCTAAAGAGAAACCTTGGAACTGTGTAAGTTCTGAACACTTTCAAATTATTCCAGAAAATATATTCCTAGGTACACATGTACTCTTTACTGCCAAACTTACCATTATCCTGTGGGAATGTATTTTTAAAGCATTGGTTTCCTGATGCAGTTATGGACACCTCTTTAGTCAATCTGAGGTCAACTTCTGCCTGACTGAGAGAGGATGGACATGTACCAACTATAGAACTACCCCAACTAGAGACATCAGGCTCATTCTACAATAAGAAATATAAAAATTAGTCTCATACCATTTTAAATTGAGTCTATATAGGATATACTGTAGGCAATACCCATTAATATATTTCAGACTTACATTATACCAGTCAATGCACTGTTTTCTTGAGTTGAGGAATCCATCTGAGTTATCCAGTCTGTAGAAGGCCCAGCCAACCATCTCATGGCCTGGAGCTTGGAGCATCTTATCTGCCACTCTATATGCACTCAACTGGTCTGGCACTAGGGAGTAATGACCAGAGTTCTCATTCTGTTTTCTGTGCCAAACTTTATTTCTGTTCTTTGCTGCATAACCAATCCAAGCTGGGTAACCTTTATATACTAGCATGATGTCCTCAGCACTGAAATTAACGAAGCAATAAAAAATATTGCTGTGGTTTCGAACTCTTGGTTTGACCCATTCTATAGAGACAAGTTCAAAACACAAAATCAATTAGTAAAGCAGTTAATAGAAGAAGCTAAATCTGATTATGAAAGAAAACTAGTTAATAAGATTGAATATGTTAGTAGAAATTCTGTGGATTATTGGTCATTGATAAAAGAACTTCTTGGAAAAAATCAAGTGTCAACAATACCAGTATTGAGAAATCCCACTTTAAATACTTCAGCCTGTACCAGCTATGAAAAAGCCAATGCTCTCATGAAATACTTTGTTGGAAAAAACATAATTAACATAAATGATGACTAAACTCCTCCCTTCCAACTTAGAACACAACATACTATGCAAAATTTTAGAACCACGACTGAAGAAGTCTTTGAACTTTTACATGACCTTGACACAACTAAATCTCAAGGGCCTGATGAAATTAATAACAAAATGTTAAAACTATGTGCCAGATCTCTTGCTTTACCAACCAGTAAACTATTTAATAAGATATTAGAAGAGAACACTTTCCCTGATATATGGAAAGAAGGTATTATTGTTCCTATTTATAAAAAAGGAGACAGGGAACTTGTCAGCAACTATAGACCGGTAACACTCTTAAGTAACCTTTCGAAAGTTCTTGAAACCATCATTCACAAACATCTTTTGGATCATCTGCTTCAACACAACCTTTTATACAAATTCCAGAGTGGTTTTCTCCCGAAGCACAGCACCGTTAACCAGTTAATTAACATTGTTCACAATATCCATGAAAATATAGATAATAATAAATATGTCCGCTCAGCTTTTTTAGATTTAACAGCCGCTTTTGATTTAGTCCCGCATAGATTACTTATACAGAAACTTAAAGGCTATGGTTGTAATTTCAATTTTGTACAGCTAATGACATCATATTTAAAAGACAGAAGGGTTCGAGCCAAAGTCAACAACAGCTTATCTGATTGGTCTTCTGAAAATTATGGAAATCTTAATAATGGAACAAATAACAATAATAATAACAATGATCACAATATAAATAACTATAAAATCAATGCAGGTGTACCTCAAGGATCAGTCCTCGGGCCCCTCCTATTTCTTATTTACATTAATGACTTACCAGATGATCTCCTATCCAAAACATTTATTTTTGCTGATGATACATCTATTTATAGTGCACATGACAGCTTTGATCAGATTTTAAACATTCACCAACCACTTCAAAGAGATCTTGACATTTTGGCAAATTGGGCCATGACTTGGAAGATGACTTTTAAGGCACAAAAAAGTGCTGACTTAACCTTTGTATCAGGAAATAGAAGACTATTACAAGAGCCAGTCCCTTTAAAACTAGGAGGAGATGTGATTCCTAGTTGCACCAAACACAAACACCTGGGCTTAGTACTTGATCAAAATCTAAACTTTAATTCACATGTTGACCAACTCATAGAGAGAGTAATCTCTCTCATGAGACCATTGAAAAAGTTAACTAAAATGCTAAACAGTAAATACCTAGAGAATATATATAATTCATTTATACTACCACATTTCGACTACTGTGATACAATATATGATAAGGCATCAACTTCAAAACTATTAACATTGGCACGGTGCGGTAGCCAAACTGCTTGCCTACTATGCACGCAGTTTGAAAGACTGACAAACTGCGCGCCTATCAACATTGCATCATAACAGTTGGAGTCTGTGTTTTCAAACGTCATTTTAAGACATTTATTCTGAATTGTTTTATAGTTCAACACGTCCATTCGGTGGCGATTATATGATTCAACCATGTGATAGCGAAATGCATGTCCAGATGAACGTAGGTTTAAAAATATAAGCAGATTAATACCAAAAATTGACATCGATTTTTCGATCACCGATACATAAGTTGATATCGCACGTTTCACAGAAATATAAAACACTTGGGTTTTGATCCACAGGTAAATCTCAACCCAGTTTTCCCGTACAATACAAAATATTTCGTATTAAAACAGATGAACATGACAGAAAGAAGTAATAAAACACAAACTGCGCGCCTATTTTAGCCAGAAATCACAAACTGCGTGCCTACTCTTCCAAACTGCGTGCATATTATCGATGACTTATCAGTAATGCAGGCCTATGTGATTTCATGGGAGTACGTAAGTAAGTTGAAAAGGTAGAGATTGAAAAGGTTCAAATAAATCAAAAACTAAAATTGGGTTGATGGTTGACAACCAGTGGAAATGTGCATATTTATATTTTATTTTGTTCTTGTCTATATGATTTAATAAAAAATTGATGCAATAATTCGACTTCATCATATAGAGTTGAGTTCAAAAATCTCATGAAAATGGTTTTGTTCTATTGGGGTCCTACTAAAAGACACCCAGGTGGCCCCCGCCTAGTCCCCATCGAAGTGCCGAAGTGCCTATTTTACTACTTTATTTCAAACTAACATGGTGCATGATGCATGGTGCAACATAAATACAATTCGTTCATAAAAATTGTGTAAATATATATTGAATCCTTTTTTATTTATATTTTTGATTGATGCAGTCCAAAAAGCAATTTCTTAGAATTCAATGAATTTCTCATTATAAAATGCTATAAAAATTCACAGTTTTAGCAACATAAGTAAGAAAAAGATGTTTACAACAATCTCACTCTTTCGACTTGAAACTTATTACCCATGTTACCATAAATAAGTGGCCATGCATGCATGACGAGCAAAAATTCAGAAATTCAAAACTTTTTCACTTAAATCTTTGAATTTTTGGGGATACAATAGTTCCGAGTCTATTTTATAGCATATGCCAAAGGAAGTAATACTTGAATGTCCCGACTGCAGTACATGTCTAGTATACGAGCCTGATAAATCCAAAGAAATTGAGGAAGGGTTGACACAATGTACTATTTCTTTTAAGGTTTGAGAGGACATCGGGCAAGAGGTTTTCACAGTCTTTTAATGTTTTTTTTCAAATGAGTCACTGGTACATGTACCTTTAAATAATCGCCTCTTTGGTTTCTTGATTGGTTTCCTTTTCTTCATTGGTGCGTTTTAAAATAACATCTTGTTTAATTCTGAAGGGGGTGTCATGGTTTTTGAAGATGTGCCGTTGTTATCTACATTTTTGTTAGGGTCAGACTTTGGTTTCTTTTTATATAGGGACAGGTTTAGTGAGTGGCGTTTACGTTTTCTGAAAATACACAACAAACTTGCACACAGCTTGCAAATGAGGCGCGCAGTTTGTAAAGATAGGCGCGCAGTTTGTAAATATTAGGCACGCAGTTTGTGTAATCCACGTGAAAGTATGCACGCAGTTTGACAGCGAAAAAAATTAAATCATGTTAATGGCTTGTCACTGTTTAACAAACAAACTAGGCCTATATAACTTAAACCATGTGCAGCAATCCTATATCTTTCAGAATATGCAAACACAAGGGCTGAATAAACGTCAAACTACGAAAAACAGACATTATATGACGCAACACTACATAATTTTAACACGAAAGCTCCTTGGGAACCTTATTTTGAGATAACTAGATATGCATCGGGAAAAAAATCGAGTGCTACGTATAAACTAAGTTAGTCTCCACATCTTGGTACTGTCTCAACAAAACTAGCCTAGTATTTCCAGTACTTTCCATCCTCTTGGGAGTCGTGTCCTCCCTGTCTGTCATTTTGTGAATAGGCGCGCAGTTTGTCAGTGTTCCAAACTGCGTGCATAGTAGGCGCGCAGTTTGCCTACCGCTCCGTGATTGGATAGACTTCATTATCAAGCAGCTTGCCATGTGTCAGGAGCAATACACGGTTCAAACACATCGAAAGTTTTATCATTACTCAACTGGAAAACGTTAGCTTCCAGGAGAGAAGAACATCTTAAAATTTTTGCTTTCAAGGCTAGATACCATTGTTTCCCTCCTTTCATTTGTGATTTAGTTAGTTCATACGAGAATATTCCAAATCGGCCCCTAAGACAACCAAGGCATTATAGAATACCCTTTCCAATCAGTAATTCGTTCAAAAAGTCAACCATTATCAGAGCTATGACCCTGTGGGATGACATACCATATGAGGACAGGAAAGGCCAACCAATATCTAGATTTAAAAGGTTAGTAAGAGGAAATATGAGCCCTGACTCCAGAGTATCCACTACTAAAATGAATATGACAATGCCAAGGAAAATTGAAATTCTGTTCAATAGATTTAGAGCTGGACTGATTCTAAAAGCACATTTATATTCCCATAACTTTGTGACAGTAAATGACCCTTTCTGCGTATGTGGTGACATACAACAAACAACGCATCACTTTTTATTAAACTGCCCTCTGCTGCAACAAGAAAGATGCACTCTCCTAGCAGGACTAAAAACCTTAGGATTTTTCAATCGTTTCCAAAATTTAAACTCTCATGAAAAAATTCAATTTTTATTATTTGGAGACAGAAATCTCACTGTAACTGATAATGAACAAATTATTCATATAGTTAGCCATTACATCTGCCAGGCTCTTGATATTTTAGATTAACCCCCCCCCCCTGAAAGCCTCTAACATTCCCTGCCATTAATATTATGTACCTTATCTATTGTATTTTCATTGTTTCCATTTTTATATGTTTTGTATATTGCCGACAATGTTGAAAAACGTAGGCAATAATATTGTAATGTATTTTATGTTATATTTGGAATAAATGAGAAATGAAAAAAAAAAAAAAAAACTCTTGGTTGGTAACGTCAAATAATGACGATGGCCAGAAATGATGTGTTTACTCTTGAAAACTATTTCCACTACAACACAAAGAGCATTAAATTATTTTTGATCATCCAATCACACACTGTGAGGAACTATCTCGATCGTTACTGTCATGACACTGTACATGTACCTACCTGTACAAGGGTTTCCAGTTCATACCCCCATCATCATAGATGAACATGACATATGAGCTCCTGTAGTCAGTTGCCAGCAGGGCTTGGAATGTGTTCATCTGAAACATACAAATTAATTTTCATGAACTTTTAATATACCCCAAAACTACCAATATGGCCAAAATTAAGAAAAGACTTGTTTTTGCTTAATATTATGGTATGAAGTATTATTCAAATTACTCGATGTATTACTCAAATAAATGTTTACCCAACTGAAGTTACCTCATCAGGCTGCCATCTATAATGTGGTCTCATGTTCTCCCAAGTGACCTTCAGGATGAATGTCATTTCTACTCCTGGGTTGACATGTTCAGAAAACAGTCTATTCACATTTGAGAATAATGGTAAACTTGTATTCCTGTATGTGTTAATCCAAATCTAAAATGAGATATAAATAAATAGGACTCCCTTTGAGAAATATTTCAAAAATCCCAAACTGAGGTCCATAGAAACTCAGTTGAAAAAATGTTCGTAAGTGCTTTTAAATCATATGTGCAGTTAAATTTCATTGTTATTTTAGGTAAGAGCCAATTGGTCTACATACAGTATTACATGACTATCTCTTTAAGTGGTCAATGCTACCCCATACTCACCTTTGAACCATCAGTGTCATCAGAGGCACTATCTGCCCAGAGTGGTGCAATGATTGCAGCCACTTCATCACTTAGTTCTAGGCTGTTGAGGTTAACAGGATTCCTGAATGTCTCCTTGTTGTTTTGGTCCACATTGTTCCTGGTGGCCACAATCACACCATTCTCACTCACCTGAGACACAAGCATGTTAAACTGTAGAAAGCATTCCAAAACAAGGTATATTTATTGTATTATTGTAACTGAGGACATAAAATACAAAGATTGGTCTTGGAGTAGTGACTTTTTATTAAGGTTTGATACAGATGTGTTAAACTATTTGCAGTCTGAACCATTTAACTCGATTTAAAACTGTTGTCTATTGTTTTTCAATATCAATGTTTTTGGATGAGCATACTCGACAGCAAACAGACATCCTCTGATAAGATAAGACAATGGATATGATCTTACTTACATAGACATTCTCGATGAGATCGCCACCAAACAAAGGAAGACCATGTGGTATTGGGATGAGATTAGAGACCCTCTCACTAGTGGCCACACTAAATGTATTCACCATGTAATCACCTGCATCCTTCCCATAGGGAAACAGACGGTTCTCTGCAAACATCATATACTTATACAGTAAAACCTGTGTGATTGAAATACCTTTGGCACTTCAAAGTAGTGTTCAACTTAGGAGGTGTTCCACTTACAGAGGTTCATTTCATGTTAAGTTATGTTTAACAGGATGTTCAGAAGTGTTTCACTTATAGATGTGTTCCACTTTCAAAAGTGTTCCACTTGATAAGTTTTACTGTACAGATTTCATGACTTATGTAGAAAAAACAAAAATGTACAAAATCATATGAGTCAATGAAACATAGTCAAAAATTACCCTGACATTTGTTGTTCTTTTTCTCTTGCTTGAATTGTTCATTACAGTGACATTCGTATGTGCCAGGCTTGTTGTCACATGACATAGTGTCTCTGTCACAATCATCAATCTCCAAGGCACACTCATCAATATCTACAAGGAAAAGATTTTAAAATGTAGAATACAGAGCCTACAATGAAGCATCAATAACCCTTTGAACACCCATATTGACAGATCTATCAGTACAAGAATTTCTCTAGCCTTGCCCAAGTCGGTATTTTTCCTTATCTGATCTTGAATATTACTGGCGGTCATAATAGAAAAAAATTAGAAATCAAGATAAGTAAAAGAGACCGACTTGGGCAAGGCTAGAATTTCTCTCTAAGGTTGCTCTAACTTTGACAAAACGTTTACACAAAATATGAATTAAAATGTGTGGACTTTTTCCATGTTTGGTAATATTTCCAACATGAACATCAAGCATTGTATCAAGAATTCAAGATAGAAATATGACAAAGTAAGCAAAAATGAAAAATGCACTGGTATTCAAGAGGTTAACCTTCATAAAGAAAACTAAATGTATATAAGAACAACACACTTACCAATACAAACATTGTCACCTGTCACCTCATATCCCTCCCAGCACTGACAGGAGTAAGTCCCTGGGGCATTGTGACAAGTGGAGACATAGTCACACCCTGCCACTCCTTCAGAACACTCATCAATATCTGAAGATGTTATATAGAAATACAATGTACTTATTTCATGTATTACATACCTAGCGAAGCATTTGTATGGAAGTCAATGGGAAAGTTAGCGAGCTATATCCACCGATATTGCCCGATTACCCCGATATAGCCCGCTTACCTCGTTTTGATATTAGATTTCTTTAATAACCATGATAATATCATGACGTCACGTCATTGATACAAAGTAACCATGGGAACAAAGGCATGTAATACATCAGTTATGTCACTATGACGTGAAATGCCTTCGTTCTTGCCCAAATATAGAGCCTCCCAAGGTCGGCCTATATTGGGAGAACTCAGGCATATTTCACGTCATAGTGACATAACCTCTTTTACTATAATTATGTACATGTATAAGTGTATAAGTTCTAAATAAACATGTTATTCCTTGCTGGGATAGGATATGGTATGTATTCTTAAATAATAGGATACTGAGTTTTGTAGTATAATATCATATATATTGATTGAAGAGTAGCAAACGATTCATAGCATGATATAAAATAAGCTCATATTCATTCCCAGTAAAAATGTATTTCACTCAATTCTACACTGTACAGAAAGAGAAGTATAGACGAAAGCAGGGTATATGTATAGCAAAATTAATTGTGATTACCTTCACAACGAATAAACAATCCAGTTATGTCATCATAGATGGCTCTGTAGCCAGGCTGACAGGTACAAATGAATGAAGCGCCACCTTTACCATTGTAACATTCCCCGCCTCCTGCTTCATATGCCCCAACAGGTGTGCCCACATAGCATGGATCAACTGCATCACACCAATGGACACTGGCATCTAATAATGCAGAATATGGTCATTTAATCAAAGTCAATTCATTTGTAAGTTACACACCTGAAATTTACTAAAGCTCACAGGCTCTAAAAACAATTTGTGGAACTAAAAAATTAATTTTGATACATCTTAACTTACTAAGAGACAACTTTCTCAGAAAGTATTCCACAATATCAATATAAAATTTCATTTGAATGAAATAAATATTCTAAATGAAAAAAAAATTCAAAAGAAGTAATGTACCTGCTGTGCATATTCCAAGATCGCATTGTCTCTCCTGGAGATCCCCGACCTTATTCACGACAGGGCAATTGCGACCGCCATTCTTAGGAGCAGGATTATCACATTGTCTTGTCCTTGTCTCTTTGCCTTCTTCACACTCACTCAGACACTCGGACCAAGCACTCCACTCGCTCCAGCCACCGTGAACTGCAATGTAGAGCTTATTTGGAAAAATTGTGGTTCTATTAATATAATATAAAGGAATGTCACCCACTCATTGTATATGTATATTGTATGTGTTTTGTGAAATAAACAAATTGAAATTGAAGTGATATAACATTGAAAACCATTTTTTGTGAGGGATAGCTATTTCTACATGTACAGAGATTTGTATCAAATACATATACTGTACCTATTTGACAGAAGTCCCCTTCATATAGGTCATTACAGTGACATATGATAGCATTGCCAGCTGGGTGTTCCTTGCATATGCCATTATAGTTGCATGAGTCCTCACGGCAGTCAATCACATCTTCAATAAAAAATAAGAGGTCAGGGGGCCATTGACAGAAACTTTGTAAAATTGAGAATTCCTAAAATCCCTTTTTTCTTACTATGATATCATTATATCTATAGTTACAACAACTGACATAGGAATCCTTAACATGACCTTTCTATTAATGACCCCCTAGTAAGAACATCATTGTTGTCCCAAAGTGCGTTTCATCCCCTCAATCGAGTGTTACATCTATACTCCATTTTAGAAATAATATTCCCGTTGGATAGTTCCTACAAACCTTTAATGACGGTGCTGTGACCATTTTGTAGCATGTTAGTTTCAAATTACGTTTGATTTATGTCAAACAATTCAACAAATACACAGTTTTCTATAATTCATTAATAAGGCTACCTTCACAATGTGTGCCATTGCCTATGAATCCAGTCTTACACTGACATCTATAGAAAGGTGGGCCAACTAGGTCAATGCACTCAGCCATCTCATGGCAGTCATTGTCACCACTTTGGCATTCATCATTGTTAAGACAAACCTGCATTAAGATGAGATAAAATGGAATGAACATACATCCTTTCAAGAATGGGGGAATTTCCAGTAACAGTGTAAAACCATCATATCCGAACATCTCTCTTATCTGGATACCTCTCAGTGTGAATGCTTTTTATTGATCCCATTTTCATGTTAAAAGAACTCCGATGTGAACCCCTGTCAATCAGAATAATTTTGGCCAGTCCAAGTAGTTTTCTGATAATAAAAAGGTTTAACTGTATGTATCTTGGATTACTAGGAATCATAATTAAATGCCAGACCTGTTCCCCCTGTACCCCTACGGACTGTGTGAAGCCCTGGTTGCATTCACAGATGTAAGAACCAGGTAAGTCAGAGCATGTTGAGTGAGGTATCATATCACAGGTATGTGTTGGTTCTGTCTCATCACATTCATCAATATCTGCCAATGAAAATAATAAATGAATATTCATATTAGTTATTATCATGTGTATATTGTACAATTGGGATGAAAAAGTATAATCCTTTAAGCTTTTGAAGAAAAATTCCTCATTTTTCATATGGAAAAGATATTATCAAAAAAGTATACCAGGTTCAATTCAAAATGTCAAAAATAAATTTAAATTACCCTTGAATGTATGTACTGTTCGGTATTTAAAAACTTACAATATTGTGAAGTGTACTCCATACCTGTGTAGTGACTTTACTACACAATGTGATTAATATGTTGTATGTACTTACTTTCACATTGGATACCATCCCCAGTGTATCCTGGTTTGCAGTGGCAGGAGAAGCCAACACCATACTCTGTGTAGAGGTTGTATGGCAAGTCAGTGCAATATCCATTCTCATGGCAGTTTGCATAGCCAACCTCACACTCATTCAATAAGTCTGAAAAGTAAAACAAGGCACTGTGTTAAAGGGCTGGTCCTGAATTTGGTCTTATACTCATATTTGGAAAAAGCTTTAATGCCACTGGTTTGCTTCGCACCATGGTAAAGGCATTTTGATTTATCTAGTTTTGGTTATCTTGTGATTTGGATATGATATACAAGATGATGAGTATACAGGGCATAAAATATGCAAATCTATTAAAAAAACAAAAAGTATTTTACTATATCAGCAAATCTCACCATAACAGTCCAGTATTATCTCAAGCATGCCGACATTATTATCTTCGGTGACTTCTATTTGTACATCTGTTGAGTCAACGAGAACCCCGAGATACACCCTCTTCCAACAGTAAGGATACACTTCAGCTGTAAGGGGGATCACTAGACCCACCTCATCCAGGTCAAATGTCCCCACTGTCTCTTGTTCAACATGTTTCTAAGTGAAAGAAAGTCATTATGAAAGGCTGTGATTATCACTGGTTTGGCCAAAAGAAAGTTAAGGATCAATTGACTTTATACTTAATACAGTATAAGGTACTGTACAGTATAAGCCTTCTAAAACATATAAATAGTTACTGAATGATCGTTGTACATGCATATGATTTATTCTAACTTGTTTTGTACAGTAAATAATAATAACCTCCCACTCAATTTCAATTGGAAAAAAGGCTTTTAGGCCCCCAAAACACAGACATAAAAAATTCAGTGACTGTCAATAGACTCCTCCCTCTAATTCAAAACATGCATTGACATCTTAGATTCTGCATGCACAAAGATTCCAAATATACCTCTAATTCTTCAGCTTGGTTTGGAGTTATTGGCACGACCAATTCAGTATCATTGTCGTCATAAACAGCATCAAACGAAAGGAAATATTTCAATAGGAAATGCTTGTAATCTGTTGTAGTGACATTGTCAAGTGCCTCATTGGTGGTAAGGATGGCATTAACCTGAAGACTGTAGTCATATGTGTGGTTGGTTTCCACTATATCATTCTTCATAGATGTCAACATCCATTTCTCAACATACAGGTCTTTCATATCTAAAGTAATACATTGTGTAATATCAATATGTCACACAGTAATAAATATTGCACTTTTACCAAAAATTCAAAATGTCTGCCAAGTAATTTACTGCCCAAACTCTAATTAGATCTTGGCACTGAATATATCCTGTGAACATCTTAGTTTAACAGGTGAGTGAATTTCTTGGAATTTTGATGACAAGATTTATGTGGTACTCACTGGTACAAGGTGGCAATATTGGACTTTGAAAAAGTGCACTTAAAATGGTAATTCAACATCCCATTCCTGAACAAACTTAAGGACTATCAGTATGAGATATAAGGCATTTCCAAAAACATAAGTTATAATGGAGTATGGAGTCTTGAAAGTTTCCAAGACCCCGGATACATCCCTCCTTATCAAGAATATACAGGGTGTCCATAAGGATTAACTACTGGCTCCTTTGCGTTGGACCTATATCTTAGCACTATTCTCTCTGAACATACAGGGTGTCCATTAAGTCCCTTTACACCTTACACAGACTTGTATTGTAATTGTAAGAGACTTGGTGGACACCTCTATATACATGTATCATATATAATTCAGGTACCTGTACATTCATCCTGGTCAAATATTGCCTCCTCAATACTGTACTGATTGGCTTTTCCCTCATTGGATTCTAGCACTTGTTGTTTAGTGTCTATATTCACTGTTAACACAATGGCATTGGCGTTACAGAAGAACAAGTAATCCTCTGGGGACAAATCCAAACCAACTGATGCATCTAAAATGTTGAAATTATTATTGTGAACTTGTGAAGATTTCATTTTGTTAAAATCAGCAGTTGAATAAATGTATATATTTTACTAGCAGTTGTCTACTGTTTAATACATACATGTCTATCTAAACTTGAATTTTACATACATGTTTTTCAAAATGAAGTTCCTTTTACTAAACTGTTAGAGTGCTTATGCTATCTATGCTGTACGAATTAGCACTTGAGAACGCTTCCTTGTCAACCATGTAATTGTAAACCTATTATCATTTTAAATAAAAAAAATCTACCTGTCAAGGCAATGATTTTCCCATCATAAGTGCCGCCATTAATTGCGTCTTTCTTAGCTAGGATGTCATAGTCTACTTGTTTGAACATAATTTGTCCCACACCAGTCATTCCCAGCATGTAGAATGAGTATTCAAACATGTATGGGGAGTTACTGAGACTTGGTTGAATCTCCCAACCAGTATTGCCTTAATTAGAACAAAATAAAGCATTAACACCCTTGGTGTACGCAGCTAACGAAAATTGACCGGTACGGGTCAAAAGCTGGACCGGTACGGGTTAACGGTTTTATTTGAATTTAAAACAGCCATAACTTGCTCAATATTGACTTCCTCGTGTCTAATTTGAAATATATGATGCCTCCCGATGCTTTTAAGTACCCCAATTTTTTACAGATTTTTAAACGGACCAAAACTCTCTAAATGCGCATTTATGCTCTTTTCTCTCGAGAATGACTGTCTCATTTTCACGATAACTTTTATTTAGTACTTCTAACATGTAAGATCTATTTTTCCCCATCAAGGTATGATGTAAATGACATGCTATTTACATCTTGTGAGTTTCAATGACGCGCGTTTGATTTTATAAAAAATGCCAAACTTTGTGACAAATAATTTCCTCCTGCTTGCAGCGAGAAGACGAACCGGTTCGGAGCAATAGAACCGGTTCGTCTCCTCGCTGCAAGCAGGATAAAATTCTTTGTCACAAAGTTTGGCATTTTTTATAAAATCAAACGTGCTTCATTGAAACTCACAAGATGTAAATAGCATGTCATTTACATCATACCTTGATGGGGAAAAATAGATCTTATATGTTAGAGGTACTAAATAAAAGTTATCGTGAAAATGAGACAGTCGTTCTCGAGAGAAAAGAGCATAAACGCGCATTTAGAGAGTTTTGGTCCGTTTAAAAATCTGTAAAAAATTGGGGTACTTAAAAGCATCGGGAGGCATCATATATTTCAAATGAGACACGAGGAAGTCAATATTGAGCAAGTTATGGCTGTTTTAAATTCAAATAAAACCGTTAACCCGTACCGGTCCAGCTTTTGACCCGTACCAGTCAATTTTCGTTAGCTGCGTATACCAAGGGTGATTAAGATGACAAAATGTCATAACATGGTAACTTATTGTGGATGGTTGCACTATGGTACAGACACTGAACACTAAAAGCTGGTCACAAAAATAATGCCTATAACAATTAATATGTCATCACTTTTTGGCAATGCCAAGATAACAAAACTCTAGGGCATCACTACATATGATTAAACCTCTTAGCTATCTGATTGGAATCATCTGGTTCCCAAAGACAACAGCTCATGGCTTTCTAAGTTTATAGCAAATCTTACAATTTGCCCCGTTTCCAACAATTTTCATTTTCTTCAAACATAATTTTGACTTAAAAGAAATTGATTATGAACATAATTGTTTCTTTAATTTTGTTCATATTAACTTATGAAGTATGTCATAGAATACAACAGTACATATGATAAAGTATGTCAAGTTGGAAATGGTAAACTCATCTTGAATAATTGAATCTTAAAATAATAATATTAATATATGCTACCTGATTGGTTGACCTTAACAGCCAAGTTGAAAGGATTGTGGCCAAAATGCAGCGTGTTTCCCAGCATCAGAGAAAACGGTGCTTCATCTAAGCCTTCATAGTTCGAAAGTAGATCAAATATATCTGAAAAAGTCCAAGAATACATAAAATTGCTCATATAAAGTCTACCAATGACGACTTCCCTTTAGAATTGACTACATTAACTGCCAGAGTGTCAGAGTCTGGTACATTGTAGATTATGCCATCTCTTGAATAGGCAAGAAGCAAGGTCAAAAGGTCAAATGTCAAACAATTGGAAAGATATTGGATAAGCAAGTTCTGATTTTTTCAGAAAAGAAAGATTACACATGATATCAAAGTCTATGAGCATATACTGAGAAAAGCTGCCATGAAAATCCAGACATGAACTTTTTCAAAAGATTCTCATGAGTTCTTGGACAACCTGTAGTGAATATCTGTTGAATAGTTGATGGTGCAAGATATAGATCATTATGAATTCAAAACTATTTTGGCATTATTTATGATAACAAAATAACAGATATAGTCACATAACAATCATATATTGCACGCTAAATCATATATCTTGTATCTGTCCCTATTTCTTAAATGATAACTTTTTACTTACCATCCCCACATTCCACATGAATGGCCATCACCATCATATCATTCTCAGCAACACCATCAGCATACATTTCAAACAAAGCATTGTTATAGCCAGGAATCAATCGGAATATCAAGATGTTCTCCCCTGTCTCTATTGGATCCACTTCATAGTTGCATACCTGCTTCATTGTGATCTCACCATATTGTTGTAACACAAGGACACTGTCATTGGAGGCAGTGAGTGTCCAGTCATCACCTTGTTCAATGGTCCAGTATTCTGGTGTTATGTCATGTTCTGTAGAGTCCTCATCATGCTTGATATACAACTGAAAACAAAACTTAAACTCTTCTTATCACACATCTACAGGGATTTTGTTCCACAACATACATTTTATCTTCATTTTGTTTTTAAGTCAAACATTTAAGACACATTTATAACAGATACAAAAAAATGTTGGATGATCAATTGCAGACCCAGTCTTTTAACGTTTCAAGCTCACCTTAGGTATGGCAAATGGTTGAGCATTTTCTGTGTCTATCATTTCATTGAGGTTGTTGATGACAGTGAAACCAAAATGAATGATACCAGGTGCCTTGAAGTACTTCTCCTGTTGTTGTACACTGAATTTGGGTTTCACTAATTCAAATATATCTGGAATCAAAACATTATACGCAATTATTTTTATATGCACAGCCAATCTCAAACTACATGTAGTACTGTACAGTGCTGCAAGATGATGATGCAGATCGGGGGAGTACATGTTACATATCTGACCTACCTGAGCAATTTACGATTACATCAACTACTTCATAGTTATTGTGTTCTTGTATCTCAATGATCTCATCCCCACTGTCCAGGTAAGGTATTAGGTACACATGGCCACAATATCTGTCAGGTACAGTGCTAGGAACAACCTGAATGAATAATAAAGACAGGGGTCTATCCAGGATCATAAAAATGGGTGAGGCCAAAAACTGGTGAGGCAAGGGCAAATTTGAGTTAAATGGGAAATAAAACTATCATAAGACTTCTACATCTTAACATAGTCAGTTTAAAACATCAATATAAATATAATTTTTTGGGGGGAAATGTTGGCCATGTCTCATGATAAAGAAAATAAGGAGAATGTGTCATATTTATGAGACAGCTGATTCACAAAATATTGTGAATTGTGAACCACATCTGTTTCATGTTTCAATATGAAGTGGTTCACAACATATAAAATATGATTCTCATAAAAAATACATTATCATAGGCATAGTGCCTGGCACACCTGGTATGCACCGGCGTACCAGATGGTTGCAAATACACTTCAAATACAACCTTTAAAAATTTTCTGGAGGGAGAAGCCCCCATAACCCCCTGAACGTTCGTTTTTCACTTCACTCATCTCATATTCCCCATGATGGGGTACTTCTTATAAAAATAGCGCTACGCCCAAGATTATACATGTACATGTATTTCCAAGGCAGTCTAAGTTTACTCACAACTTGTTCATCAATACTGTCAAGTGTTCTTTGCAGGTTTTGATTTACGAGTCCTGTGAGCATATCCTCCTGATCTCTTCCACTGAAGTCCAGACTAAAGTCATCTTCATCAATGTTAGCATCATCAGAGAGGTACAGCTGGAACTCTAGGAATTTACTCCCTTTCTTCCCAACTGTTGCACCTCCTTGCAGAGTGATCTAGGAATGAGAACAGGATTTTTTCTTGTATTGGTTAGGGTTAGGGACTAAGGCTTAGTACATGTTGTACATATGTATAAGATCAAGCTTGCTCGCTTATCATAGTAATGAAAAAATAGTCTGAGAAAATCCATGTAGAGGTATATTTGGGTACTTTTCTTACCAATAGCTTTTACGATTTTTTATCTCATTATATCCCTTCTCAATCTTCTTTAGTGTAATAATTCTGTTCGCATGTAAAAGTGTAACATTAAACACAAACATGGCAAGATAGATGTACTCACCTCTGCACTCAAATGGAAGGGGAAACCTGTGCCAGGTATAAGGTTTGTCCCATTTGGCAGAGAGAATGCAGTCAGTATCACATCTGTCTTTACTGAAGTAGTAAAAATCAATGTTTTGAGCAGTTAACATTTATAATGAAAAATATGTTATACTGAGGTTGAATTACAACAAGTACAGTATAGTTAGACCTATTTATGATACTACTTTGTAATAAGAATTCAGTGATAGTGAACATCACTTTGGCTTTTAATTTCAATTTGATTTTAAGAAAACTAAAAACACACCTAGTGAGCAGTCTAATATTCCATCTAAGTCTACAAACTCATAATTGTTTGAAATGACAGCTTCCGGCAGGCCCACCTGGGCACCCTTGGAGGCCTCAATTATCAAAAACCTGGAATCAACATTGTAAGAAATTCTACAATACAAGATTTCATTCAACAACAAGCATTATGACATAATGTCATTCACTACTTAGTACATGTATATCATTATGGCAAGTGGTTATGAAAATGTAACAATTTGTTAAAGGTACAACTGCAAACCATTCACCACTGTTAGTATTACAATATGTCACTTTACCTTCTAACTATAAATACATTCATTATTGTATTACACAATTCAGTATACTACAATAAACCCAATGTATAACACTCACTAATCTATTGTTATCTAAAACATAATTATTTTATACTTATTTGAAACCTTGTGTGTTAAGTTCTGATGACTTGCAATTGTGAAACATTAACTGCAGAGTAATTTGCACTTCAAAAAAGTCTGTTCCACATCAAAGAATTGGTAAGCAACCTAGCAGTTACAAAATGGGTTAATGTGCAGAAAGTACAAAATGTTCCTACAAGATTAAAGTTAGCAGAGCAAAAGCTTGGGATCTATATACCTTGGTGAGAATGTACAAAGACTCTGGGCCATGACTACATCCAGTCTCCCCTCATATGTTCTGTTTGCAAGGGACTTAAACCCTTTAGTCACATCTCTTGTCAGATCTGCATGCAATGTAACTTCAAGCTCAGGGTCCTTAATACGCTCTAATTTATTGTTGGCAGATACAAACGCCTGCAGGGGAGAACAAGATATTGTTACAGTTCTGAGAATTATGAGCCTTATCTTTGATTAGGATTTCTTCTTTGTTTTCTTGAACTATTTGTACTTTATGAGAAGACCTTGTTGAGGTCACCATGTTGACAATATTTTATTTTGTATTTGTCTTTCACCTAACACCACCTGTTTTTATTACAAAATTATAACCACTTGTTACAAAGTGTGAAACCAATGCCAAACATTGATGTTGATGCCAAACACTGAATAATGTTTCAGAAAATGTTGGCGATAATAATATACAACCACTTACTTGTTTCAACAATACTAATTTGAGAAATTAATTGTGAAATAATAAAAATCAATAACCTTTAAAATTTCTATTTACTTGAAATTATGAACCTTTTCATGATGATAAAATGACAGAGGCTTATCTGATTTGTCCCTTTTAAAATGTGCAGGTTGGTCAATGAATACCAGAAAAATGCTTTTAAATCTAAAAAAATCTAAGAGGAATTTTTCAAACTTATCTAGCACATCCAAATACGGGTTTTGATGTATTTTAATACTGGAGTCATTTCATGTTGTCAATATTCAATTTGTTTACCCTAAAGTTGATGATAGGTCTCCCATCTTTACTGTCCGGTATGTCTTCATCAGCATAGTTCTTCAAAACAGCACTCATAGTCAGCTTTGTTACTTCATTCCCATAAAGCTTGGTTTGAGGATAAACAAGATCTACTTTTACAGATTCAAACACCAAGACATCTAAAAACATTAACAGTAGTACAATGTATTACATCATCAAGTAAAATATGCAGTAGTCTCTTTTGAAGAGGATATGAATATAGTTCTGTTATAACAGAACTGGAGAAGGGAATAAACACTGTTTAATATTTATGGCATACCCGAGTCATTGGTTCGAGTTTTAAATTACATATGAATAGAAACTATGCTCACCTCCAGTGCAATTGAAGACAACTGGTAGAGCTCTATAATTGTTCCATGTGACAGGGTCAATTGGTGGTTTCTGGTTCTGCAGGTCAATCACATTGGCAATAACATGTGTTTCTCCACAGAACTGAGTATATGGGGTATCTCCTGTGAGCTCCAAGAGCAAGTTAGACCCAGTGAAGGCTGAAATAACATTTCTATACCATGATACAATTACTGATACAAGCACCAGAAAGTGCCTCTTTTGATGTCATACAAATACAAGTCATTGGGAACATGCATGAAAATTCACATGTAGCATGTGTGGATTGCTTAACATTCTTGTCTTTCATCAGTCTTCCATTTAATTCTGATGGCAAAAGAATGAAAAGCATGTGCAGTGCATACTTGTACTGTAGTATGTAAATGTATGTTTGATAAATGTAAATGTATACTATGTGTATCTTACATTTGCGAGAAATGAAAATGTATCTTACGTATGATGCGAGCTGTATGGCTCTGAATTCCCTGTTGCAATGTATGTCTCTGTTGCACTGTCATATCCAAAGCTATCTTAGCATCAAACTCATCAAGTATTGCATCCTGACTCAGATACAGCTCAACTGTGAATGGAAGGTCCTCAGAATCAAAGGGGACAGCATTTATAACTGAACCTGATGGCTGAAATTATAGCAAATAAACATTGTTAGATTCTCACAGAGGACAAGCTCAAATAGGATGAACATTTTAGATAAGCCACTGCAAGTGGGCTTGTAGCCAGGAATGAAGCCTCACCAAATGCCTCAACAAAATACTTCATTCACATACTTCCTTTCAACTGTTTAAATGAAGTCCAGTGATAGGGTTAAATTTACATTGGCTATGAATCAACTCTACAATTTTAAGATCCTGCCTTCAACACTACATGTACCTATGTATGTACCATATACACTATGGATGTACCCTGATGATATCTGGGAACATAGTTAATAGTTATGGTTCATAAATACCTGATCATGGGCAACATCTACAGAAAAGTGAATAGGAACGCCCGAGTAGAATTCCTGTGTCCTGTTACCATCGGGTCCTACCAGAGTTACATCTACTACAGACAGGTCCATGTTCACTGAAACAGAATTTGAGATTATTTAACATGCAATCATTTGGTATTGCATTTTCAATAGTCATCTCTTATGGTATGATTGAGGTAAAGAAAACCCCTTAAACTAATATTGTATAATGTTCAGTAGAATTGTGGGGCTGAACACCATATAGGATTAAGGACAGGATCCCAGTGTATCTTACCAAATTCACAGAGCAACATGTCTGGATCCAGGGCATACTCAAGCACATCATTATCTTTATACACCGAATGGGCTTCATCTTCTGCCAATAGCTTAAAGAACCATGTAGGCTTCATACTTTTTTCCTTTATCTCACTGCACTGTTCAAATGAATCTAGTCTGAGTTCCCCTACAAAACAGAAGTAAAAAGACATAGAGTATAAACTCAATAAACACTGCATCAATATTATGTATTATTAGCATCTTAAATACTGGCAATACCGTGGACGTTGTTATCACTCATATCATTTTCAATACTCATATCACGGTAACTGCAGTACTTGATTAATGTAAACACAGAATGAAATCCTGTGCTAGGGTCACTACTCATACATGCAGGAGTTCCCGTGTAAAAATCTATAAATCCAAATACATCACTTTTTATAATATTAGAAAAAATGTCAATGTCATAGTAGAGACCAACCTGATAGCAGAGGAGTTTCAATAACTTCATCCTGGTCTATAGCACCATACCATTCGTATCGTCTTCCTTCATCACCAGCAAAGTACACCTCTAAGACACTATCTTCTTCCTCAGATAATGTCTCATCAACTGAGAAGTATATAAGAATCTTGAACTTTCTGGCATATTCATTCAATGGTATCATAGCGCCTTGGTTAATAACGTCAAGCTTAAAGTCAACTCGATTGGTAGATTCAGACCATAAAGACTCCGGCAGCCATTTTATTTGTAGATTGTTGAGAGCGAGTTGGTCTTCAGGGCAGTTGATGTAGGTGGGGTGATAGACAGCATAGCTTTCTGTATGAAGTTCATCTGGATTTCCACTTGTAATAATAGCTTCTGCCTTCATATACAATTGATGCCCACATAAAGATACATGAGCTGGGATTACAATAGAGCTGGGGATCTTGTCGGGATTGGCAGTAGTGTTAAGTCTTAGGGGTGTCTCACTCTCAGCAGGTATGGCTTCAATGTTAGCCTCAGGTACAGTATAATTCACAGACACATTGATCTTTGGATCTTCAATGCTATCAACAATGCTGAACTGAAATTCAACCAGCTTCTCTGGGGGATCGGGTTCTAGGCCTTCACTACCAAGCAAAAGTGCTTCAAATCCTACTTCAATGGGAACATCCTCTCCAGAGAACACTATGTTGGGTACTGTTAGATTCTTAGTGTACAGATAAACTCCATCTTGGCAGTTTATCAGAGTAAAGGACACTTCCCTGACATTATTTGTGAGATCTGATTCAATTAGGTTATTATCAGTATCAAGTACAACCAGGAGGAACACATCACGCCCACAGTATTGGATCATATCACTTTGCTTGAAAGGGATGGAAAAAAACATGGCGAAAGAACTAACTTCTAAGGGATCGGGTACCAAAGTTGCCAAATCATCCGGAATTTCATAATCCAGCTTGAAATCATTTTCATCAAAAACGTCATCTTCCGAAATATATATATCATAGAAGATATTGTGACCTTGGGGTTCTCCTGGAAAGTTTTCACCAGTAATGGATACTCCAAAATGAATTTCAAAGTTTTCAGCCGTTATATTAACCTCTGATGATGCATCATGGAAGTCAACCACACCAACGGCCAGATCGACAGAGAAGTTTGTACAGCTGATTTCAAAAGGGCTCATGACATAATTATCTAGATTGAATGTGTCATCGTTTAATGCAGTCACTTCAGAACTTGTTCCTTTCACAACTTTCAGACCAATATATTTCACTCTTACGCATGCACTGAAGTCTGATACTATAAATAAGCCTGATATTTGAATTTCAATTGAATGTGTAGCAGAAAAGCTTGTATCCAGTGCATCTTCTGGGGACAGTGAATTGGCTTCATCATTAGCCCATGATGCATCAATGATCATGGGCGTAACACCTGCTAATGGGTTTCTAACTGAGTCAAAGCCAAGGACTTCCAATTGAAAATTATCCCCATTGACTAGTGTTGCACAATCAACTGAAGACACACATGATACTCTCACACTAAAGTTAAAGCTAGCTGGCAAATTATATTGTATTTTCTCTTGTGGGGCTATGAAGTTGAAATCACTCAAACTAAACAGGTCATTCAAGCAAGGAATAAACAGATCAGCAGCATGAATGTTGTTTCCTTCAAAAACTTCTGATACTTCTGAACTCACATCTAAAACAACTAACAAATAAACTCCTCCGCAAAATTTCACATCCAAATAGTTCGGCAGAGTTAAACCAGTGGACAAAGAGGGATCCTCATTTACAACCCCACTGAAGTCTATTTCAGTGTTTGAATCCACTATGGGAGGTGCTGCAAAATAAATAGCAGGAATTGTATGATCAACCATAATATCCCGCTCACTTTGGAATGTGTTATCTTCAGAGATGAAGAAATTAAAGCTGAAGCTGTCAATAGGATCGGCGTCACCCTCTATAGTGGCTTCAACAATCAGTTCAAAATCAGTCTCCACTCCCAGAGATGTATCAGAGGGTATTGAGAAAGCTTTTATGGATAAATCAACACCTGGGCGACACTCAACGTTCAACTTATGCGGTCTAAAGTTGTTCTTTATAAGATCCTCGAGCGTGCCTAATTCAGCATTGTTTATGAGAACACCAATCAAAAGATAGTTCACAGTTGTCAAATTGCATTGAGATTCAGGAACGCTTAACGTTGCAGTCATATCATTCAACCTCACAGTGTCCCCTCTTTTAAGTCCCTTTCTGATCACATCCTCAGTCTTCTCTGTAATCTTAACATCTGGTCTGATGATGATGTCATCACGAAAATCTGGTTCAGTATTTTCTGACAAAAGAACAACCCAGTCATACATTGTTTCAAAAGAGCCTCCAATGTCTGATGGTCCAGTATTTTTCAGGATAGCATCAAAGTTAAATGTGTATTCGTGAGTGTTCCAGAGGGTGTATGGTGAGTCATATACTGTTAAATCATACAGCTCAATCAAATCTAAAACATAGAAACATTTAAAAAATATGTGTTCTTCATATTATCAATTAAGTTTAACAATTGGTAGTAAATAAGTACAATATGATATGTATGGAAGTAAAAAGTGAAAAAACACAAGCATTGACAACTTAATTTTTAACTTTGTCTGACTCAGTTCAATTGAGATATAGCTTGTCAGAAGAGATAAGATTGGATCTGCCATTATTGTATTAGTTTTACAGAATTGTACATGCATATATGCCATGTGTGAAAATATACCAAGGGATTAACATTTACTTTTTGCTTGTTGTTCTACCCAGTTACTCACCTCCCTGACAGTGAATGGTGACAGGTGTGACAGCCATGTTGTTGTTCTCTGAGATCTCCTTGATGTCATCCATGTCATCAATATAGGTAATGAAGAACTGTTTACCACACTGATCATTTGGGAGTCTAATACCTAATAATACATGTAAAGAATATGATAAATATGAAAATATTCTAGAAATGTACATCGTGAACGAAAGGGGGTTAATAGCCAATATTTGAGTTCATGGTTTAGGAAAAACCCTTTGTACAGAACATTGAATATCTACAAAAATATGAAAATACACTTCACTTTCAAGGCCTGGTGTTAGTTAACATTCTAATATTGTACTGGGATTATTAACAAAACCTTCATAAAAGATGTAAACAAGGCATTAACATGACAAAATATCACCACCTACAATGTAGTTGCTCACAATATTATGAGTTCAATCTTAAGTCAGATTTGAATTTCTGAGAACTTGTAGATGATTTTGATAAAAAATGGTCAATTTGAAGCAAGTTGAAAAAATACATTTTTGACCTTGAGAAGGTCATTGAAGGTCAAATCTTTTTTTGATCTTGAGAATGTCATTGAAGGTCTATCAATAGTCAGATTTGAACTTCTGATAACTTGTCGATGATTTTGAAAAAAAATTGGTCAATTTGAAGCAAGTTGAACTTCTGATAGCCTGAAGATGATTTTGAAAAAAAGTTGGTCAATTTGAAGCAAGTTGAAATAAGATCTTTTTTGACCTTAAGAAGGTCAATGAAGGTCAAATCTAAAATCTTAAGTCAGATTTGAACTTCTGAAAACTTGCAGAAGATTTTGAAAAAAACTGAAGTCAGTCTAAACAGTATTTGTTAAGTTATTGGAAGTTTTAAGAATTTGTAACAGACGCCAACCACTGATCGCCAACTGCCGCCACAAAAAAAACGGAGACCATAACAATATGTCACCACTTTTTGGTGGTGACATAATTATTAAGTCTGATGTTCTTTTCCTATGACATCAATTAGATACTGATTTTGATTAGATAGAATTTTGCTGAAGAGCTGAGATTCACACCTTATGTTTTAACAGACATATTAATTCAAAAACAGTACTGACCATAGAATGTTTCCTTAAGAGTTGTGAGACCTTGTTGGAGGCCTAGACCCATCATTCTGCTTATACTGGTTGAAGGTTTATACATCATCTTCAAGTCATCAACTGATAATTTGTCATCCTCTGACAAATAGAAACTAAACTGAAACCTGAAATGAATTCACAGGGTGAACAATATCGTACCTGAAACATAGCAGTGTGGGTTTGATGACCCAGAAAGCAAGATGGCCACCAAAAAGTTAATCAGTTCTAGAACTTCTTACCATGTAACATGTGTAAAATTTCAAGTAAATCCGTTAAGCAGTTTTCCAGGAATTAAGATGACAAGATTAATCTAAGAACATCCAAAATGGCCACCAGAATGCAAGATGGCTGCCAAAAAGTCAATTAGCTCTAGAAATAAATCCATTAAGTAGATTTCCTGGAATCGGGATGACAAGATATATATTTACGGATATTTGCTATTTAGAGTGCCAATTACAACTATTAACAGTTTAATATAGCAGAGGTTTACCTGGTTGCATTAGGAGCAGCATTCATTGGGTTTAGAGGTGTGCCCCTCAGTTCAATAGGAAGACTAAAGTATACAGGGCGACCAGAATGGAGTGTTTCACCACCTAGGACTTTTACAGGGTGGGCCACTAGATCTCTCATAGCTTTAACTAAAACATAGTGGTATGAAATTACAAGAGTCGAGTCGGTGTGTGACCCATAGCTAAAGTAACTGTTGTTAAAGTTTGTCATTTGTTCAGGTTAAGCTGTTGGTTCCTCTGGTCTAGAATGTTGGTGCAAGCATCTCAACCTGACAAAGCATAAATTGCCCTGACATGCCTCTAGACCTCTTGAAGTTGTACAATAAATATGCACACACAATAATATTCATAAGAATTAGATTGCATGATAAGTTATACATCAACATGACAAAATGTAACCATCTAGATAAGTGTAATGATTGTTACAGAAACCAAACCCAATACCACAACAATATGTCAACACATCTTGGTGATGTCATAAAAGCTGTGATCTATATGTACTCACCAGGTCCACATTTAATGATGATATCTCTGTAGTTGTTCATCTGTACAATGTCACTCTCATCTGACAGCGAGGAGCCAAAATCAACAAGAATGTTCAGGGTGGCTGTCCCATCCTCTCTACATCTATCAGCTGGCAGCTCAATCTCACCTTTGATGGAGTACCTCCTTAAATTGGAGTAGATATTTCAAAGTAGTTTTTCCTTGTTTGATCATTACAGGTTGTACTCGTAGATGTTTCTCTTTCTTAGTGGGTTTTGTAATTGATACGGTAACTTAAAATATGTAGTACAGTAAAACCTCTTAGTCGAACACATTCGGCACCTCCAAAAAGTGTTCCACTAAGAGAGGTTAATTTAACATGAAGTCAGTTGGTCTTGGGACTCTGAAGTGTTCCACTAACAGAGGTGTTCCAGTTTACAGGTTTCACTGTACTATGTTTTGAAAGTAATTTAACACATACATGTACAGTATAAAGATGTGAAAATCATACATTGTTAAAATCATACAGAATCCTAAATTTCAACTTACTGTATTGCTCTGTGACCATGAAATTCTGCACCCAAGCTGGGTTCTACACTCCTAACATTACTTCCAATTACACCTATATTTAACTCATCCACATCAAACAAGGGTAGAGGAGCTACATCACTTTCATCAAACAATGTCCCGATAAGGAATTTCACATTCTCTGTGGATCTTACATAGTTGCAATATGCCTGTGTACACATCACGTCTACCTGGAGTTCATATGGAGTCGGATGGCCAGTAAAAACCTGATCAAACTCAGTAGACATTTTTACATTGGACAGTGAAAGTTGATCTGAAACAGTGAAATACAAGTTGATGAAGTCACAGAATGTAATAGGTTTGTATTACCAATTCTGAGGTCACAATAGTTCAAGGTCAATTACAAGTCAAAGGCTTAAATGAAATCAGTAATAAAAGATTAACTTATACTTGTACATACCATTCTCACATAGTATAGCAAGACTTCGCATAGCATAGTTATTATTCTCCTTGTATTCTTCAATGTCTTGTTCACTATCTAAGAGGAAGAATACGAACACATCTCCACACAGGGTTGCAAATCCAAGCTCAGTTAGCGTTACTTCATTCTGGCTTATGTCAGCAAACTTCCTCTCACCACGCTGTGCAGCTGTCAAAGAGATTTATTATTAACATTATTTCAAATTTCAAGAGATTTTGTGTTTTCCTCTAAGGCAAAACAATTGAAATGATGAGGTGGTTAAACACATTGAAAATTACAAAATTATGCAAACATTGAACCAATGATCTTATCGAAATACTTGAAATATGAGTATCTGACACATTTAATTTGAAACACATTTCATAGTGTACAGGAAGTATGAAGATATATACTTACATGCATTATTTGCTAACTGGATCCATTTATAATCCTGTGTTACATTCAACTCCTCATCTAGAGATAAGAATATAGCTGAGATGAAGTCTCCTTGCACTATAGGCCTAGCATTGGGCTGGACATCCATGCTAATCACCAGGGAAATGTCAATTGTGTCCAAAGGAGAGACAGCTGAAGGGAGCCTAAAGTCAATCAGTTCTATGTCCCTCTGACCTGGAAATATGAACACCTGTATCAAGCAAAGTTCAGTTATGATAATAAAATATTGTACACGTTCACATTGTTTATATCATGTGTATTATCTAGCTATCATCATGTAGTTTCTTAGTAATATGCCTTTTACTTCAGTTCTTCAACTTTGAAACTTCAACAATATGTCCTCACAATTAATAATTTCCTTTTTCTTTGGTTTTCCTGGATTCATCAAAATTGTGATGTCTATATGAGATCCCTGGAATATCAGTAGTATACTTCATTTTAATATACTCCTCATATCTTATTTCAGCTTATCTATTTTACCTTACCTACATTATACACCCCATCACAAAATATGTGATCCAATGTTTTTTTAAAAGAAAGGAATGGTTCAAAATGGACAAGGAACATACCATCTCTGGCTTCACAATTTTTATCATCATCCTCTATCTTGACAGCTTTACAGTTATTGTGCAGAATGGTTTCTGTTGTGGGATCACCTGGTTTCTCTACACACACCAATATAAATGCCATAGACTCACAGACACTCACATCAATATCCGCAAAGTTCAATTGACCCTGAAAAGACAACAAAGCTTTGTATATAGATCCAAATGGTATGGATTTCAGATCAACAGGTCAAAATTGAAATAAGCACCAGTTACATGTGCATTCTGCATGTACATCGAGTTGTAATCAGCTCACTTTCTTTACCTTTAAATCTTTCAAAATATGCACATCTCCAGTAGGCATAGCAGAATAGTAAAGTTTCTCTGGGTATGTCCATCCCTGAATTGGGGTAACATTAACTTTATTAGAGTCCATATAACTCAGCCCATCAGAAGCATACACTTTAAGCACATAATGAGGGAGATATCTGGTTGCCAATGGTAGATCTTCTCCCACATTCCTTATGGTAACATCCAAGTTTATATCAGCTGGGGAGCCAGGCCATAGAGGTTTCTCAACCTCAATGTCAATGTCTGACATGACAAAATTGTCTCGGGGACAATATAAGTTGATAGCTGTGGACTTCTCATTGTTGTTTTCATATCTCTCAGCAATAGGGTCATCAACATCTACAACATAGTCAACAGCATAAAAAAACATTCAGGAGTTTGCATGTGGGTTTTTGTGAAATATAAATGGAAAACATCTGTATCCCATAGTGGGTCACTGTGTATCCTGTTATACATCAGTAATAATTAATTCTAGGTGCATGTACCTCACTAAAAGTTTCAGTTGTTGATTGCTGATTTAATTAACATAAGCTTTAGGTAATATACTGAGGCAAAAAACGTCAATATTTCTATTGATTTTGATGCCATTTCTCCAAATAAAGGCATGTCCTTTGCATACCTGTATCCACTTGCACAATAAGGTATGTGTGTCCACAATATTTCTCTTCCACCCCACTGGGAATCACTAGAGGTACACTCCCCATGTTAAACGTGTGTTTCCCCTGCACAAGGGGACGTTGCATCTCATCCTTTGCCAAGCCATATTTAAATCCCACATATGGTATCTGAAATGTCATATTATTTCTAATTGGACATATCAGCATACAATACAGGCTGTAACATTCAAAAAAACTTTAAGGGTTCTTTGAAACTCACGCATCATATTTTCTCACCCCACATAAATCTATCCCCAGAATCAGATAATGTTGCTATAGTAACAGAAATAAGGATTGTGTACATACCTGGGTATCCATTGCATCCAATACCCGATCCACTGACAGGTATATTTTGGACTCAAACCACAGAGGTTCAGTAGTCACATTGCCCCTCAGGTCTACATCTACCAATAACTCAAATCTGTGCCCCGAGTCCATTTCAATATCAGTGTCCCAGAAGTTAAACTTAATGGGTGAAAGATCACGTGTGGCTGGAAAAACCATGGTAAATACACTCAATTTTTTTATACATGTATACTGTATGTATGTAGAAAAAAAAGAAATGAGTCGGAATAAAGTTTTCTACACTGACTTATTTTACAGTGTGGTTTCCTTTTTTCAGTCTATAGCATACTCATATATTTAAAGATATGGTCAGATACAAAAAGGGTATTTTACTGATTCTTCAGATTTGGCAGCCATGTCCAAGCTTGTGTTTATGTGTTAGTCCTTAAAGTTACCTCATACATGATAAAAACTTAAGTTAATTGATGGATTCACTTACCATCAGTACAAAGAACCAGTGCTGTTACATTAATGCAGTCAAAATCATTGGTCTCATCCCCCTCCCTAAAGTCTACATGAAAGTCATCACGTATAACATACTTCATGCAGACAAACAAGGGATCATGACTGCACCAATCGGATGCTATCTCAATCTCGGTGTTCCCAATGACTGTATACTCCCCCATATTCTCTAGTGACCCTTTTAGTCTCTCGTAGGACTCCTGGTCAATCATAACATCAGATGATCCACTCAGTTTGATTTCTGCTCCTTCATTGATGTCACTCGGAGTGAGACTGCTGGAGTCATCAGTCAGGTAGAATTCTAGGCCAATGTGGGGAAGGTCAGATGCTGGAATCTCTGTTCCCATGAGAGTAATTGTGGAGTTGAAGTCTATGGGTACTTTTGTGTCCTGGTAGAGACCCATCACTTTAATGGGACTAATGGCCACCAAGTCAACAGAGATGTCTGAAAGCATGAAAATAAATGAGAAAGGATTTAATACACCCCCAATCCGTAAAGTGAAATCATGGCACCATATGGCACCATAGCTGAAGCAGTGTTGTATGGTTCTATCACCAAATGGGTGTTATGTTATTTATATTATTTACCTCTTGCACAATAAGGCCTATGGATGTTGTCATAATATTACTCACCCCTAGCACAATCCAGACCAATGTGGCTATTTTGGAAATCCATACATTGGAAGTTATCACCATCAAATTGGTCCCAGTCTGCAGTGAGCCCTGTATCTTCTACAGCCTTCAGGCACAAGTAGGTCTTACCTGAAATAAGTAGAGGATATAAATGCAATATGGCTTTGAGTTACATCATTTCTATCCATGATTCAATATTAATATCTAGATGAAAGAGTGCAGAGAATGAGTGCAGATACTGTACTGCAGATATTGAGTGGATTTAGATGATATCACAGGAAAAAATCATCGATTTTTCTATTTATCTAATACATATCTGATGCAATGATGCATTTCAAACTGTACATTCAATTATTAAACAAATTATAAACATTTGTAAAAAAAATGTTAACAATTGTAAAACACAATTAAAGTTAATGAAATCCTTGTGGAGGGAAGTATGCAAGATGTGTAGGGATATATATATATAACAGAAACTGTATAGCATTTTTATCAAGGTACTTTATACACCTAATTTCATAGTGATGATGTCTAAAAACCAAATCCCATTCCACTATAATTTCACTTACCAACACACTGTTCATTTGTCATCTCAAATTCACAAGTTATGTTCCCGAAAAAATTGATTGCAGCAGTGAGCATCTCTGTATCTCTAGGTTCATCACCATCAAAACTATTCACAGTAAGTTCTATTCCATTCTCCATCTGATTATCATCAGCTATGTAAACTTGGAACTTGTAATTAGGAGAACTCCCCGCTGGCATGGTCACTCCAATGTTCTGGACTGTGGTTGTGAATGTGATAACATTTTCGCCATCTGTTATCTTATTGTCATGTTGAGACGTAAATATATCAAATGCAATCAGAGAGAAACCTAAAAATAAAAATCAAAGAATAATAAGTATACAGTAAATCTGTCTAATCTGAACACTACTGGGCCTGGCCAATTCAGCGGTGTCTTGATAAGAAAGGTGTTCGGTTATTCAGCTTTTCCTTTTATATGTTTTGGCCTTTTATACATCACTGTAGTGTATTGATGACATCGCTAATATTAACTCTGGTGACCATGGAGTCCCTTGAGGAATGATTCCCTCGAGGTATGACCAATAATAATCAGTGTACATGCAATGTAGCAAACCAGATACAGACATGAAAGTAAGTGTGCTAAATTCAATGCTGTGTGTAGGAATTAACCCTAAGACTGGGCTACTTACATATTGTGAGATTGTAACAGATCGTGACAATTTACTCGACAAGAACAATTCTTGACTACATATTTGTATATACCTTGTATTCCAGGGCAGTTCAGGGAGATTTGCTTCCAAGCAAAGTTATTTGAATCATCCGCTTCATCCACTGTTTTGCCGCTGTCTACCATCACATAAATGTATGTACCTGGTCGACAGTACATCTGATTCATTTGGTCACTGCCACTCACAGATATACTGAATGAGCCTGAAAAATTGAATAGTTATTACATTAACAAGTACTTTCAATAATTGATATTACATATGCCTTAACAAATCTTTTATTCTTTATTCTATTTGCATGAATTTTCAAATTCAATTTGTTTATCAATTTTTTACCAATGGGTTTTGTAAAAGCATCGACAGGACTCATGAATAGTTTATATCTCAAGACTTCAGAGATTTTATTCCGGAGGGCTACACTTAGACATACTCTAAAATCTGTGTATGAAACACCTTCCATACTCATTTCTGTACAAAATTGTTCCCTGGAGACAGGTATTCCTTACAGGCGTTGTTCATTACCGATGTTATTCAAAGGAATTTGAATATTAAAAATTATTCCAGAAAGAGAGGTGTATTTATAGAAAGGTGTTCCCACAGAGAGCTTCAACTGTACCATTCTGTAGTATTTCTTTTACAGTTAGTAGAGTAATCAAGGGAATATAAAACAATCACACCGTACCAGTCACTAGAGTTGAATTGACATCTGAGACGGTTCCCTCAGATCCTGATATATCATTCACCCAAGGCTGGCTATCATCTGCGAGTCCAGGGAAACTAGAGAGCATCAATTTGTAATTGAAGGAATTGGGGAATGCAACTGTGGAGGATGGACCTGCCCCGATATTAAACTCAAATTCAAAGTTGATGGTGGTATCTGTATCAAAGGAGGCTTGGAGTGGGGGTAGCAGCCTAAAGCTGTTAATGCTTATGTCGAGACTATCTGGAAATAATCAAATACAATCGATATGAATATACATGTATGAAGTAGAAGCCTAAATCTGCTAATGATGTTATGTCCTATATAATCCTATATATCCTATCTTAAATGAATATACCAATTTGGGTGACACTGTAATTTCCAAATAAATAATTGAATAAAAAATTCTAAAACATTTTGTTCCATCTTACTTGAGAGGTTTGTTATGAAAGAACAGGGAAAAACGTTCTAATACTATTGTCATTTTTGGGCCAATTATCCTTCAGAATAACATTAAAAATGATAAGCGAATAAATTTTCCTGCAGACCATGAACTTGCAAGAATATTACCTGAACATACGCCACTTCCATCATCCACAATTGTTACATTTTCAATAACTCTTTCATTGTTTGCTTCATCAGTTTCACTGATATCATCATTGGTGTCCAGGGTGAGCTTAAGAGATAGATCACCTGTACATAGCTCTAAGAAACCTGCTACACCAAGCAATAGCTCTCCCGCTACAATACAAAACATAAATAATGAAATCCTAATGTTTGCTATTCAGGTCAAACTGACAGCTAAAAGTTGGAAAAATTGTTTTCATTAGTCCATAGCAGAATGATACAAACTGGAGTTACCATCATTCAAGATGGTGGACAAAATTTGATTTCAGCTAAACCAAGCTGTTAACTACATGTAGGCCTAGCTCCACGGAGCTCTTAACTACATGTAGGCCTAGCTCCATGGAGCTCTTAACTACGTGTAGGCCTAGCTCCATGGAGCTCTTAACTACATGTAGGCCTAGCTCCATGGATCACTTACATAGGTCACTAGCAACATGGAGTTTCTAATTTCAGCATTGATCACTTACCTAAGTCTAGCTCCACAGAGCTCTTAACTTCGGCATTGATCACTTGCTTGTTGATAGCATAGGGGATGACTTTACTTTTATCACCAGACTGAACAGTGAATGTATAAGTGAATATAGGGGGACCTTCTGTCTCAGATGCATTCCAGCCACCATTACCTAAGTAAATGAACAGAGTGAGAATCATAGTAAACACTAAAATATGATAAGCTATGCAATATTTCAAGACTAAGATGTCTGAAAAAATGTGTATTTTACTTAATGCTCATCAAATTAAACCATTTAGTTGGCACAATACTGTACATGTATATCCTATTATATATATGTATTTCACAAGAAATTATTCAATTGAATAATGTTTTGATATGATGCTACATGTATTTGATGCTTAAGAAAAAAGACTTGTAAATGTTGAATCCTGTTCCCTTTATACATGTTTTTCAATACAAGAGATTTTTTAAAATTCTCTATTTCTCAATTTGCAAATTAGCCCATTTTAAAAAATATGTTCTTAAAAAGAAATAGAAAGGTAATTGAGATATTCAGCCTACCTCCAACAGTAACTCCAATCTTTAAACCAAATGGCTTTGGCTGTCCTAATGTGATTGTCTTATCCAAGTCCAACATAAAACTACCTTGTTCATTGCCAAGTCGGTCTCTGGCAATATATAAATCAGTTGTGTCTGTAAAATATAAAATTGTTTTCAGTAATACATAAGACACATGTACATGGAAATCCTTTCATAGAGAACTGTTACTGATCAAATCTTTCTTTTGAATTCTGTGTTCAAAAATACATGTACAGATCAAGTACTGTGCTGCATCTAAGGTGTCTTGAATGAAACTTGATATATATATGGTTTCTTTGATAAAGACTTCTTTGATTCTCCGGTTCCACAGAATTTGCATTTAACATTTGAAGAATTCACTATTTCACTTCTAGAAACATCATTTTAACTTGCAGAAAACTGGGAAAAATTATGAAAATTGTTACATTATATGCAATTGTTGATTACCTGAGCTTCCACATGATATGGGAAATGCAGCAAAATTGTTGCTAATGACGCATTCCTTTGTCTCCTCTCTCTTGTACCTGACACCAATTAGTAAGTGGTTCACGTGCATATCGCAAACACTTTGTACCAGGAGGATCTGGCCATATCTGTTAGTGAATGTGAGACTTGTTGCATCCTCATGTGCATCTGAGAAATAGCTCTCCTGAGCACCATTCTCTGGCCATGTAGGTGTGACATCAACTGCTTTACCTTTGTCAAATGTGTTTCCCATTTGTGCATATACCTATAAAAATGATGTGAAGAGATGATAAATATGGCACCATTTGGCAGTGGGCTGGCTTACATTGTGAAAATTATAATGATAACAAACAAACAAAATTGCTGATGCATGAACAGACAGATGGACAGACAGAGAGACAGACAGATGAGTTGATGGTTGGATGGACACCACTTACCTTAAATTCAAAGTTAACATCAGGATCAGTTGCTGCTGGTATCTGTTCTCCTTTAACATTGACAACTGAGGCATCAAACCTCAATTCTGCAGGGTACCCAGGGAAGTAGACAGCTTGAGAATACACAGTGACGCCCTCTATTGCATAGGTATCTGGAATAGTTCATTTTTAGATTTTTAGAGACAATATACATTATGTATATATCTAGAAAAAGCAAGATATTTTAGTTGGCCACATCAGTAGTGTTCCATGTGTCATTCACAATAATGGATTGTGAAATAATTTGATCATTATTTGTCAAACAGCACTTTCACTCTTATCAGGCTGTCATTGAGAATTCTCACAAAAAGACATTTCCCTGGTGTCTGCTGATTGTGCACTTGTCAAAAACATATGTTAATGAAAAATCAATCAACCATTATCTAGATTGAGAGGGTGCATACTTGATCAGATGACAAACAGTTCATACTTGTCACATTAAGAGGTTTAGTATTTGTACATATTAGAAAGGATTAATACCAGATTAAGAGCATTGAAACTTATCATATTAAAAGGCTTAATACTCACCACTGCCACATGATAGTGTGATAGGCTGGGCATTATAGTTGTTTGTTTCATCAGACTCTGCCTGGTTGTCCCCAGAATCTATTTCCACAATCAAGTAGACACTCCCACAATAGGTGGCACTGACCTCCATTGGGAACAACTGAAATACATCAACATTACACAATAAAGATCCAAATTGAATATGATTCAAACAACATGTTTCTCTATGAACTCAATGAATGTCTATTAAAATTTTCATTTGATAAAAAGTATTTTGCTGGAAATAACTACTGCACTTTTTACTTATTCCAATATACTTGGGTTTCTTCTATCAGATTACAGATAACTAAGCACTTTGTGACATTTTTCGAGAATTCACAAATAAAACGGTGTTGAAAAAAAAGGTGTAACTTTGTCAATAAAATATTCCCAAATGATATAAACTTACAGTAATCTTTTTAGTACTTGGAATTTGTAGTAATTCCTTATGGATGACTACTTGTCTTGGCCTACCCCATTCATCTACATAATGTTAAACATAGTATACTCACGACTTCATCACCAGCACCAGAATTCAGATCAAATGTACCAGAGGCGGTTAGCTCTTTAGAGAGTTCAGTATTTAGGGCAGCTACAGAAGTAGGATCATAGTTGAGATTTTTATCCATGCTCATATCCAATGTGGCATCTAGAGACAGCCACAATGTGTACACAAAATGAGCATTACTCTCAGCAGCATAACTGAAACTGCCACCAAGATCAGCCTGAAAAACAATAACAAATAGTTGACTTGTTGAGGCAATTTCAAATATAAACACTTTAAAATGCCAGAGTCAAGCAGACGTCACCTTTGTCAAGAAATATTTGGAATACAGAAAGTTCTGCTACTGCTAGTGATGAAAATAAAGAATTCCACTGATGGACATACAACTTGTTTCTTGGCTAATTCTGTTGATGACATCATGATCACATGATCTTTGATTTTGACCAATCATTTATTCTTATATTTTACAATCTACATCTCCGGGTCTACATTTACTTCATTTGAAATCATACTTCTCTAAATTCAAATTTATATATATTCAACATGAACTTATACATAACTCTTCCGTTATATCTCATATTATAACTATCACCTGCACTGTTAAGTCGAATGTCATCTTCCCAAAGTATCCAGCTTCAGCTTCCATAGTGCCAGAGGGTGCAAAGCTGTTAACTGACAGATCTATGGTATCCACACCACACTCGACAGTTGCCTTGGTTCTTACATTGTTGTGTAGCACTCTATCAACCAGGCCAACTTGCATACCTAACCCAGCCTTTACACGGATGCTCAACCTAAATTGGAAAGTAATTTTAAAATATATTTTGTGTTAGTATCAACTGAAATGTATTGACCATGACCATAATCATTATAGATTAGCCCCCTCTTTTAAATGAACATGTAATTGCCATATTGCACTCAACAGTCCATGCATCACTCTTTTAAAAGTAAGTGAAATATAATAAAAAATAAAGACTTACCCATTATTGGAGATCACAACACAATTACTCGCATCTACTTCCACAGTGACCTTGACCTCAGACAGCGTGACAGACTGCATTGGTGCAAGTTCTTGGCTCAGTTTATTCCTATCTACTCCTCTTATCTTCATATCATTTACTGGTAGTACAGTGTTTCCACTTAAAACCTGGACATTATGGGAGATATAGTTATATGTATAATCAGTATTAATGACTTGGAGGATGGAAAAATACTAAAATCTTAAACAGTAAAATCAGTAAAATGTAAGTAGAACATCTTTTGTACCTCAAAATAGTGTTCCACTTTGGAGGTGTTCTACTTAAAAAGGTTCATTTTCAATAATTTAGAGGTATCAATGTTTTGTACTGAAAAGTGTTCCACTTATGGAGGTGTTCCAAATACAGAGATGTTCCACTTTACAGGTTTTGTTTTATGTTATTTTAGTCAGGGTTAAACAGGAATTCACTAGAAAAGATGAAATTAACATTCAGGGTACTTATTTTCTCCAGGATTTATCAAAATATCATGTAGAAATCATATATATTCCTTCCTATGAAATGACCTCAATGTTTTTACCTCAAAATTGATGTTTTCATTTTCTCCGGTTGCAGCAGGGATGGTCTGTGTTGGGTTGGTGTTTGTGATTGCTACATCAAACGTTACAATATTTTCACTGCTAACAAACATATTATCTTCAACAATAGTAACATCTGAGGCAAAGAGTAAATCTGAAATCAGCATAACCCAAGAATCAACATATCTCTAGCTCCTGAACAACAAATTGGTTAAATAAATTGACTTGATTTGAACATTATAAAATAAAGAGTTAACATTTTATTAAAAAAGGCATTCTTTTTTGTCATTTTGAAAAAAAGATTTACCAAAATGGAAACACAAACTAAAACTTTTGTTGTACATATATATTGAAGGGATTCTAAGATGAAAGCTGACATACCATTAGGACAGGCAAGTGTGAAGGCCTGCATGGCGACATTGTTAACAGCCACTGGATCATTGTCAAAGACATTATCCACAACCTTTATGAAGAGATACAGATTGCTCTGCGTGATGGAAATGAGACAGAAGTCGGAAAGGGCCAAATAAACACCATTGGCTTCATCTGTAAGGTCAAAGGTGTCATCGAGAGTATGCGTCTCCTCAGAATTCACGGCACTCTGAATGTAGAAAATCAAATCAATGGAAACCACTGATAAATCTTTCTGTATAAATAACATATATTACAGCAATATTATTCCACTATTCATATGACTTAGAGATTGGTCATGTGTACCATAGTTTGGGTTACCATGGTTACCAGCTTTTCTGATAGAGTGACAGAACGTTTCCCTGCTATGAAGTTATTAATTTGAGTGTTTCATAACCAAACTAAACTGACCCTCTAATATACAGTTTCTCATATGGTCATACAGAACAATGATCAACATCAAATTTATACAGTAAAACCTGTATATCTGAACACCTGGCTAATCTGAACACTTCAAAATGCAAACTCCAGATTCCACTGGTGTTCAGATAAGAGAGGTTTTACTGTATCTGTACCTATATTGAGAATTAGTTTTAAAACATATAATGACACTTCAGTCTTATACTTACTGACATCTGATTTTCATTAGGACCCCTGAACTGAAAATCAATTAATGTATCAATATTGGTGTCTAGTTGGTCATCTAGTGATATGTAAAACATCACATCATAGTTATTGTCACTACCCCCATTGGAGAAAGTCGACGCACCACTAGGGGTGATACTAACATCAACGGAGAAGTCTTTTGCAGTGCCAAGTGTGATTGTATTGTCATCAGCTAATGCAAATGCAGAGATAGACAATTCCATGGAATCTGTAATCACACATGTAATGACAACAATGTTACTATGATAAAAATAATGTATTTGATGGCCTAACAATTATAGTGATGAATCAAATAGTTTAGTGACCTTGCATGGGTTATAAGTGATTCATATTTTCATTTAACTCTCAGGCATTTGATGAAATCATCTGAGATTATTATAAAAATCTATATTGAATAACAACTCCTCTGGCTTGCTAGAAAATGGTATGTCATGACAAGCCTTATAACATTAATGCAGTACTTGCCTACGTCACAAGAGATTGCAAATGGTGCAGAAATTTGATGCTCTACTCCTGTGTAATCAGCCAAACCTGCGTTGATATTAGTGACCACTGCCTTGACAATCATAGCTTCGGATGCTATTTCCGGACATTTGGTCTTACCCTCACCATCTTCAATAGCAAGTTGGACTGTGGCTACAAATACATGTCAGTATAAGTTCAATGTACATACATTTAGTCTTGTATATTAATGAATTTAAGTATATTACTTAGCTGTATATATTTGTATGTAAATATGTTAATGAGGGTGGACAAAAATGTCAATTTTTGAAATGCCTGATTCTTTACATTGCATAATATGCACTTAAATCAGAGAAGTTCTATATTTCGTAAAATCAGTTATCATTCAATAAATAGTATTAAAGTATTTAAATAAATTGCAAAATTGGGCTTACCCGTTTCAATAAGGTGAATCATTCCATTTGGTGGTATCTCTACCCGATACCCTTCCAGATCAGAAGGCACATTCAGGGCTATTAGATCAGTATTCTCAGCGATTCCTGCCCACAGTCCAAGGTTGAAGTTGTCCGCATCTGTAGCAAATGTAGCTTCATCCGGGTTCATATTTGTGATGGAAATGTTAAAAGGGAATTCATAAGAGTTGCCTTGAACTAATGTTCCCTCGGATTGAAAACTGTTGATTGTTGCTTTTACTGGAAAAAATATTTGATGAACTTTTAACAACAGCAAAGTGGATGTTTCAAATGACTTTATAGTTATCAAATAACAGTGATGTCATTATATTACCACAACAGTGATGTCATTATATTACCACAACAGTGATGTCATTATATTACCACAACAGTGATGTCATTATATTACCACAACAGTGATGTATATATAACCACAACAGTGATGTCATTATATTTCCAAAACAGTGATGTCATTATATTACCACACTAGACAAATTTCCCTCACAACTGATGCTTTACAGTTGATATACATTTTTCACACTGAAATTTTTGTAACATGAAAATCAATCTTTTAATAACAACTTGAAAACTAATGAAAATAAAAAATCGGAAGCATTTTTGTTTTGTAATTATGTTTTATTTATCTTTTTAATCAAAATTCATAATAACGCAACTGCATATTCTTATGTACAAGCAGAGGTGTCAGAAGGATTTGCCAAAGGAGGGGGCGACTTTTGGATGGGTGGTGCGTAAAGCGTGGATCGGGGGACATGCCCTCAAAAAGTTTTCAAATTTAGACCCTCTCTGCTGCATTCTGAACATATATCAGCACAATATTCCCAATAATAAAAATAAAAAAATGGAATTTTTAGAAAACTAGTTTGACTTTGACTAAAAAACTTTGATTTTTACTATAATATACATTTTGCACTTATTCTTCAAAGTATTTACATACTGTATGGGTTCCTGAGAAACCATGGTATAGAATTAAATATAAATATAATATAAGAAATGAGATCTTCTATGCTTGATGACTAGATAATGACATAGTATCATTTCTGTCATAATAACATTTTGACTTTTAATTAGCTCCAGAGCTTTCAATTCTAGGCTCGGTTTCAAATCTAAAAAGATCTGGGAAAAAAGGCCCTCCCCCTTCTGACGCCAATGACAAGGATATATGTAAGAGTTCATATCCAATGGTTGTACTTACATCCCTTACTGCATATTACCGATACAGGAACCTCTATCTGCTGGCCAGCTGAATATCCTGTTAAACTGGGGTCTATTGTATCCAATATAATGATCACCATTGAGTTATTTGTCGAGAATGATGAACATTGTGCCTGGCTCAAAACATTTGCACTGAAGCAGCTCAGGAATACACTACCACAGAGTTTTGCTGAAATTACAAATGAAAATGAACTGAACATTTCTAAGCAAATGTAAAAAATGTCACCAAAATATTCTAAATCAAGAGAATGCATTTGTTTATAAAAATATTGTCATCTCAAAAATCTGAGGCACTAGAGAAAAAATGTTATATGGAAGAAAACAACTGATACTAAAAGACAGTAACATTCAAAAATGGATCGGGCCAATATCATCAATGTTCCGCAAGTCGCATGGTTAATTCCATGACTCTGCAGCTTGGCAAACATTCATTTTACTGAGCCAATCCCAAATGGGTACAATGTGTACCTGTTAAATCAATAACAATGTAAGTGTTGGCATCTATGCCAGACTGCACCATGAGACCATTGCTAAACGTGACAGGTAGAGCGATGTCTGAGACTTGATCCACCGTATTGTCTGCGGATAGGTAAACCTTAATATCAAAGTTATCCTGATCTGATGGGTTAATAGGTATGGCCTCATTGTAGTCATTTTTGATACTCAGCTGAAACAAACACAAGTACAAATAGGTTATATAACAGAGATAAACACAGATTTGGATGCAATCACTAAATACGGATTAAATATGTTAGGGCTTTAGAGAAAAACCTTTCATTATTATGTGTCATCTATATTGGCAGGAATATGTCTTATATTGTACATACAAGTATATGCACGTGTAATAAGTAAGAGTAAGATAAACCTTGTCTAAAATAGAGTTAAGTAACGCTAGCACATGGTCCTTTGAAAAAGATGTAGGCAGTAATGTTAACTGAATAGTTTATTTATTAACCCAAGTACAATGTTGACAGAACAATATGTAATAAAGAAACTACTGCATTATACCTTTATATTCCATGTCTGCTCAACCTCTGGGTACACAGCCCAACTTATATCATCTGTTATTATACTGGGCGTTACTGGAATAGTTTGTACACATTATAAAAACAAATACAGAAATACGATTGCTATGAGTTATACAAAAATAAATTGAAAAATCCTCCTTCAATATGGTATGAACATGACCTTTGTACTTAGTACTACTTACATGTCTTTGTATATGTTGGGCTACTCTCACAGGATAATCCAGTAAGGTCTACTGCTGCATTGGTCCAGATCACATTGTTTGACTCTAATGTCTCATCCAGTTGACCTGCCAAAGGTTAAAGATTAATTACCTATATTTTCAAAAACAATAAATATATGTAGATTGACGTTCATATTTATGCAAATCTGTTCACAAATCAAAAATTTCACCCAAACTCCCAAAAAATGGAAAATAAGGAAAGGGAAAGGCGGGCGATTTTTATTGTATAAATGGAGGGATGTGAATGCTGTGTGTCTCAATAGGAGTTGTATGTGTGACACAGGATACATTTACCTTTGACAGCATCTGCTGTATTAGGATCAAAGCTGTCCAGGTAGGCCCCTACATAAACTTGTGAGCCACAGAACCTCTGCAAGCCATCAGTAGGAAGGAGAAACCCACCTGTAAGTAAAAAGCAACAGTTGTATTACACATCAATTCAATCATGATAAAAATGTTTAAAGCTGCAACAAAGACTGGTTGCAAAAAACTGAATTTGGTACATGTATGTAAGGGAAATATTGGGATGCTTTTTAAAAATATTACTTCCGACATGATACACTTTCTATTCTCAGCTCTCTTTTATAAAAAAAATGTAGAAGACAGGGCTTATTTTTTAAGGAAGATTTCAATATCAGAACAGAAACATAAGAGCCTGTGACTTTCCCCACAAGCAGTATTCAAATCATTTATTTGGAAATGGTACCATTGCAGATTTCTTAAGAGGAGACAAAAGAAGTACAGAATGGCATAAATTACTAGCATGAACCCTCATTAAGATAAAAAAGTTTTCATTTGTCCAAGAATTGTTGAATGATGGAAAGGCAGGCTGACAGACAGATGGACATATGATAGGCCAGAAGATAGAGAGACGAGTGGGTGATACCACAACTTCAAAAAACTCATTCTTGCTTAAATACACTTTACTTTGGACAATTCAAATTACAAGATTTCCACAAATTGAATTGAACAGAAAGTGTTGAACACCAATTCTGGTATGCCAGAGCCCTTCTTATCTGCCGTTTGCGAAGGATAAAGACAAAGGGGGCTCAGCTATCGTATTGTTGAACACCATATCTTTAAGATAAGTATTATTTCTAGCTCAAATACTTACTCATATCACTGAGAACAATTTCATCTCCATCAACAATAGCTCCAGTGAGCTCTACAATTTGACATTCTGTGAACTTGTATGGAATGGGGTAGTCTTCATACATGTCCAACACTTTATCCACTGACAAATACAGTGCAAACTGAAAAAGAAATATTAAACTAGTTGAGGGTTAAACAACAGAGATGCTGCAGCAATGAAATGAAGTGGTGTGAAAAAGAGGTGATTGTAATTAATTTCGTAGCTAGTTCACTAAGTTCAGTCAGAATAATGATGGATGTATACCTTTAGTCATGGATAAAGTTGGAAATTTGGGCTGCCCCCTTACATACCTCAAAATGTGGGTGTATGGCTGCAGGTAGAGTGTAGCCATTGTTTAGCTCAGCGTCAACAGTAAGAGTGAAGTAAACAGGTGAATTTAGTGGTAATTCATTGTTGTTGTTAACTTCAAATGTATTGCCACTAAAATCAACTGACGGTGCTGAAAGCAGTATGAAAATTTTGTAGTTTTAAATGGCAACCAGAAACTAAAATGGCTTAATTAACTAATTAATCAACTGTAGAATGTAGTGCCCTTCCTTTGAAAAAAATTTGAAAGAAATCAGACTCGTGCTTTTCCCAAAATTCTAATGACAAAAAAGTTGGATGCCATAACGATCGTACACAATCCAAATAATTCTACTATTATGATGACTTTATCCTACTTCTGGTGTGATAAAAAGCTAGGCTTGTACACCCAGTCATTTCCTGCTTACAAGAGACTATATAATTCCAAATGTTTCAAAATTTTGGAAAATGTTCAAAATTCAAAAGTTTTGAAGGACAAAAAACATAAAAATGCAAAAACATTTTTAAAAATCCAACTGCAGGTTTATATTATGGATACAAACTTGTATTATAAAATTTGTACTAAAACCTGTTCATTCAATATATGACACTTAAGTTACCATACCTGAGGAATCACAGAATACCCTGGGAATTGGCACTCTTATCATATTATTATCTGTCCAAGTGTCCTCACTCCCCGAGGCATCTTTGACGGTGAGTTGGAATGAATGTTCCGCTCCATCAGAGCAGCTCGCTGAGGTCAAGGTCAATTCAGTCGTAAATGTCACATCTGCCCGGCGCCCTGTCAAGTCACTTTGTAAGCCATCTCCAGAATAGGCCTCTGTCATACATGAATAATGATGTTGATTATTAAAGTTGTCCAGTTACCATACAAGCCACATGAACATTTTCATCAATGTTTTTATCACATTATAAACAGATAGCCTTTTGTAAATATTCATTCAATGACAAAAGATGTGAATTAAGGATAATACCAAAAAACCAATGAAAATGATAATGAGGAAGTACAAGGGTAAGGAAACCTACCAGTGTCAGAGTTGGTTGCTATGGTTGCAAGAACTGTACTCTGATCTGTCTCGTGGTCAAATACAGCTAGCTCAAGTTGAAAATTCACCTATAGCATAGAAAACAAGGTACAATCTTAATATTAACCTGATAAATATTATAGAGAATATTTAAAAGATTGCATAACAAACATTTTGAATGGGGTAATATTATAAATCACTCAATTTGGTTGACAATCATTTTTACTGATCCACAAACGGTTTACTTTACAATCAAAGAAATAAAAAGTAGAGCTGTCTTAAATACAACACATAACATAATTTTGTCTACTCTACCTGTGAATTGGTGAGAGCACTACAGTTTGACGCAGTACAAGACACAGCGACAGAAAACTCAACTGGCATGGCTACATCTAGCCACATTGTGGTAAATGAGTTTGTCAACTGCAGATCAGTTAATCCAAGGGAATCTGAAAAAATTTGTAAGTGGCATTAATTTTCATTGGTCAGAAGAGGCACCTCCTTGGACCATTGGAATAAGGGTTGAGATGGCAAGGATGTGATTACTTCATTTTTTTTAAAATTCAAATTTACTTACTTTTGTCATTTCAATTTCACACCTCATAATCTATATTTCATATTTTTACCATTGTGACCGCAATTAGGTTACTGACCTGTATCATCACATTGTAGAGTTAACAATTTCTTCCCAAAGTTATTATGCTTTAACTTTTCATTGTTATCTCCTGTCTGCTCCACCAAGTCGAGGTAGATTATAGAATATATGGCTCCACACATGTTCGGGTCATCTGGCATTGGCATAGCTTGCGCATCATCTTCAACCATTATTATATACTTGTCATTGTTATCAGGCACTGAGCCTTGATCAGCTACAGTTAGACTAATGTTGGACTGGATGTCTAATGCATCAAAGCTGAAAGTTAATGAACAGATTTTTAGTTTTAGATTTAATGTTTGTACATAAAGCAAAATTATGACCACTTTAATTGCAATTTCTGGGAAAATAAAAAATAAATTAAATTGAGAAGTTCTTATGTAGCCCAATTTAAAATATCTGTTTTTATTCCCCTGTAAAATGCCATAATAAACATGTGAAAATGTGAAATGACTACTTGCTACTTAATGCTAGAAAATGTAGTCTTGTAGTTTTTCTGACGGAAAAAAAATATATATAAGATATAAAAAAAATATATAAAACATTATCTGTTTTTAAAAAAGTGTTGATAAAGTTGCATTCTTGAGAAGGGTAGCAAATATTTCCTTACATGTCATCCTTGGAAAAATACAGTAACGGTTTCATGTTGCCTGCCAATGCCCCACTTAGGATAACACTGCCTCCAAATGACAATGTACTTGTCCCTACGTTCACTGTATAGTAGCCATTGGCATTATCAAAGTCTCTGTCTGTTTCTGCAGAAAAAATCAAAACAAAAATACACCCTATGTACACAGATCGCTTGAACTTTCTTCTATGTGATTTGACATTGACAGATTACTCCAAATAACTTCTTTTTGATTTGAGGAATGGCATAAACCAGAATAGTGAGCATGGTCAAGCGATGGTAGATTTGTTATAAATTGTTGAGTATATGATAAATGAGTGAAAGAATGATTTTTAATTTTGCAAGTGCACTTTTTTGAAGAATATGTCACACTTTTCATGCTGTTTGCTATATGTGATAACTCAATAACTTACGTGGAAGAAAGGACCCATCAGCAAGAATCGTATCCTGATCCACATCAAACTCAAGCACCTGATAATCCACTTGCTCTGAAAAATCAAGATACTGTATACATGTATATGATACAAATACAAGGCATATACATGTACTGTTACATATAATGGCTATCCAGTATGGCAGCAATTTAACAATAAGAAGGTTCAGCAACACATATTTTATGAAAACTCGAATGTGATATTGTAGAATTGTATTGTAGAATATTCTGTAATTTGTTACAGACGCCGAACCCTGAACACCATCCACAAAAAAGTTGGACACTATAACAATATGTCACCACTTATGGTGGTGAGGTGAAAATGAAATGAACTGTTAACTTACGAGTTGGTAAGAATCCAGACACAACAATAGGGATAGCCCTAAAGTTATTGCCTCGTATGTCATCTAATGTGGCAGAATCTGTGGAAACATCCACATGCACAATAAGGTGTGTATACATGTTGTCTGCAGCGAATTTATCCCCACTGATAGTCATGCGCATACCATCTAGTAAGACCACTTGACTGTTGTATAGAGAGTCCAATGGGGACACACCAACAGGAAAAATGGGTCCACCAGGTTGTGTCACTTCCAGGGGACTGCCTGAAGAGAAAAAAATAAAAGATCGAGTCAGATTTCTCCATTCCACTTATTAACTTGTTTTGAGTTTCATGATTACCTTAAAATGGCACTATACGGTGGGGTCACATGGTGTTTCTGGAAACTTATTCCTTCGTTTACATAAGTAACCAATAATTTGTTCTGCCTAATAATTTCTTCATTCTTTGGTGGACATTTTTTTTAAAAAATTGAAAAGTAGTCAAGTTGAAAAAGTAGGATAAATTCAAATATATCATGGTTAAGTATAAGCTCATCAATAGAATGATGTCATGAAATCATTGTTTGTGTAACATTGAAAATCTTTGACTAAAATAACTCCAACTTATAGTTCGAGTGGTTCATATCTAAGAGAGGTACATGGGATGAACAGCAATAGACCAAGAAAAATGTACAACTTAAAGGGGGGTTTAAGTTGAGATATTTATTGAACATCATTATACACTCCCCCCAGTTTTCTGCAAGTTAAAATGCTCAATTCTGCAAGTGAAATTAGTGAATTCTGCAAGAAGAAAGGGCTAATTCTGCAGAAATTCCGCGGATATTCGCGGCATTTTTTTGCGGTTATTATAAAAAAAATCAAGATTGGTTTAACAAGAACAGTATCATATATTCTAAAAACATGATCCATTTTAAATGTTTTATTCAGATTTTATTTCAAATTTCACATTTTTCGAAACTTCAAACACGGAGGATCGGGCGCATAATGGGAATCACGATATATGTAAATCAGGTTTTAAGTGTAATATCTCATTGGAGTTCGAAGTTTTCGATCAATAACTAAATAATATAAATAACTGTTATTAATTTATGTCTTTGTTTAACTTTCTGACGAGAACCGAAAGAAAAACTAATGGTTTTCGAACCAGTAAACGGGAAAATATCGTGATAGTCAGGTAGTCAGTCACTACATACATGCTGCCATCTAACGGCAGAAATCAAACGATGGCGTTTAGAATTTTCACTTCGCATAATTTGGGTTATTTCTGCAAGGGATTTGACTGAAAACGTGTCAAATTGTTACAGGTAAGACTGACTTTTTAAACTTTTGGAAAATATATGGATTCTGCGGAAAATTCCGCGGAAATTGACCAAAATAGTTGATTCTGCAATTCCGCGGGCAGAGGCAAATTCCGTCCGCGCTCTGCAAACACAGAATCCTGGGGGCAGTGATTATATACATACCAGTGAGGAAATCACTGTGTGTGTGCATAAAGAGTCTGATTCTGTAGTTGTTCTCTCCCTCTGGGAGAAAATCCCTGGTAGAGTCCATGAAGCAGATTTTGGCATTAAGGGTGACAGGAGTGGAGGCACTGGGGAACAGCTCAGTCTGATATGTGCCCAAGTCAACAGATACATCAGTGATAGAGAATATATCTAAAACACATAGATCAAACATAATTGCATGTATTTTGGAATAAATCAGATAAAATGTTGAATAATTTACTTTAGGTACCCTCAAGGCAGATTATCTTTACTCATCCAAAGGAAAGAGTATCTTTTCTTACCACCTAGGGAAGACTTTCTTTAATCACACCCTAGGCACTCTATCCCTATACTTACCCCTGGTGAGAGCATACTATCTTTACATGTACTTACCCCAAGTGCAGAATACCCTTCCTACCCCCAGAGCAGAGCTTTCTTTCCTAACCCTAGGGCAGATTATCTTTTCTGCCACCCCCCCCCCCCTCTTCGATGGTAAACTGTCTTTACTTACCCCCAGGGCAAACTATCTTCAATGGTTGTGCATTCCAGTTGTTCTCTACATGTGTCTCATATATTCCACCTCCATCTGCAAATGCAAACATCAGCACATTTCATTTGTCTAACATTGGGCACCTGTCTCTCCTGCCAACTTAATATCATACACTTATAGATGTAAGTAATTATTTTTGAAGCACATCAGGATACTGTATTTAATTTACAAGATTTGACCATGTATAAGAGGTCCTTGAACTTGCATAAGAGGTTGTAACAATACTGTACATTACATGTATATAAATAAACTCAGAAAATACTCATTCAACTGACATACAAGACAAAAAAAACAACCTAACAAACATGTACCCCACATGAAATGCAAGTAAGCACTCACTATCAACAAAGACTCCTATGTATGTAGCCCCACAGTATTTCTCAGTTGAAGCATCAAGGTGCAGAGCTGGTATACCGAGACCTGTGCCAGAGAGATCTAGAAATCCTGATTCTGTGAACTCATGTGTCTCTTCTATCTGGGAAAATGAGGCTGGGACAGTATTAAGCTAAAATACAGTATACAGATGGAAATATAAGGCAAATGTTGGAAACATTACATGAAGGAGATCCGGTATAAGATAATACAAGTATATAAAATCTCAAAAAATAAATTAGTGTGTACCAAAGGATTATATTTATTCTATCAATTTTGTATTCGTCATGATCCTGAAATCTTTATCTATGGGTATCTTGTAACCTGTAATCCTTTGTTGCATAATATTCGTAAATACTATTACATGTAGTTTTGTGGTAAATCCAATTTTTGAATGGCAATACATGATATAGGTAAAAAAGAAACAAGAGGATTAATACTGGGTGACACGAAAATGTGAAGGACGAAAAACATGACTCTTTCAATCTTAAAGCCATAATGGTACAGTTTGTAATTACTGCACTGTTTCATGTGTTGATATGTACAAGAAAATTCATTAAGATTCCATCATAATTGAATTACTGAATTGAGTTAATTAAAGATTAAGATTGTTTGACTTTGTGTCACCCTGTATACATGTATTTACATTGAATTTTAATACCTCATAATCTGATGCTGGATCTATTATATCATCAGTTGACAGGTATAGCTTGAGTGTATAATTCTGAGGCCCCTCGAGGGTAGCTGCCCCTTGCAGGTCGACTCCTAATTCAAGTTGTACAGCTATGAAACTGTCACTATCTGTCATAGCTGGATTAGGTTGGAAATATTTGATGTACAAGTCGACTGTGTCCTGAGCAGATACATGTTTGAGTAGTATGGTGAGTACTAGGTATAGCCCTAAGGTGGGCAACCAACATTTTGTCATCCCTGACCTTCAAACTCCAATCTCCTGTAATTAAAATAGTACCTGTTTAAGCAACTCGAAGCGGACAACATGGGGATTGGTGGACGATAATGAATCGGAAATTAAATCAATTAAAATCTGGTGGAGAAAGGGTGTCTCTATTTTCCAATTCTAATAGTTTCATAGTTTCTGCATAAAATATCCTCAGTAACTTCTATATTTGAATAGATATTTTAATAATTGTCAGAAAATAAAATATTGTCAGAATATGTATCAACCATACTCAAAAAACATTTTATTCAGCAGATGAACATGAACCCCAGAGAAAATTAAAGTAAACTGCCAACCATGCCAAAAAAATTAAGATACATAAACCATGAATCAAGAGGGGTGGGGACTGGGGAGGGGGTGTTGGCTTCAAAGATTTACAGCGTAATGCCTTAAGTACATTAAAAATCAATTTGTTTGGGTAAGAAATTAAGATTATATAATCTAATATAAATCATAATGTTTTAATTATGATAATCAATATTGAGTGGTAATATAACATCTTATTTGCATAATTTTTAAATATTCTGTTGTAGTTGTAATGTTTTATGTTAATTAGGTTTCTTAACTCTCCAAAAAAATCTCTCTGCATCATAATATGTAATCCTATTTAACCATTTCCTGCCACTGATGTGATTACATTGCCTAAAAATGACCTTGGATTGGTTTAGAATAAATTAAAGGCATCATAACAAAGTTATACTCAGATTTTTTATTGAACAGTGTTATTGAACAACTTTAATGGTCTAATTACTAAAAGACTCCAAGTAAAAGACATGTTTAAAGAACAACAACCCGGAATTTAATTTAAATCAATTCTAGGCAGAAAGGGGTTTAAAATTTGGTTCATTTGCAGTATATACTGATTTGATTTACAACACCAACATGTCCCCACTGTAATGAGAATGAGTCAATTCATCATTTCCTATTTGAGTGTGACAGTACAATGATAATAGGAATCGACTATTATACAGAGTAGAATCTGAACTTTTAAGCTCTAATACCATCGATACCCCGAAAATTGATCTACAAATATTAATGGGATTAAATACAGACATAAAACATTGGAAGTCAACAACAAGATTGTTGGCCATCTAAGGAGCTTAAAAGACTCAAAAAGATACTAAACATATATTGAAATTAGAATCTGTGTATATAAAGTGCATGGAAACTTAAAGACATGCTATACTTAAATTACTTGAGAAACTGTTACATTTTCACACTGGAATAGCCTGACAACGGTAAAGTCAGATACCGTGCAGGCCCGTAAGACACTTTTCTCCAAGGGGGGTGCGGTTTTTAGCTTACTAAAGAGAATATAAAATTGTCATTTTTTTGCCGCGTAAATCAAATCGCGTAAGACAGAGGGGGGGGGGTCAGTTACTCCCTATATTGGTTTGGAATTAACAAATGCATGCAACTTCCAAACGTTCCAATTGTTTTGTGGGGGGTGTGAGGCGTGGTCCACGCCCCCTAGAAAATTTAGGGGGGTCTGGGGGTTCTCCCCCAGGAAAATTTTGAAATTTGGTTGTATTTGGAGCGAATTTGCAACCATCTGGTACGCCTGTGCGTTATGAGTCAATAAGAAAAATGTGATTTTTTTCAAATTCTTTTGGGGTGTCAAAGAGGATGAGAGGGTGATGTGGGGTGGGGTGCCAGTAGGGGAGCAAGGGGTTGTCCCCCAGAAACATTGACCATATCAAGGTGCTATTTGATGATGTCTGGCACTTCTGAGACAATACATGAAATTCAGAATATTTTCTTTTGTTTTGTGGGGGATGTGAGGGGTGGCTAACTCTCCTAGAAAGTTTTACAATTTAAAGATGATATTTGGTGCTTCTGGGCACTTTTAAAGTGTACTAGTCAATAAAAACATTGAAAAACAATCGCAATTTTTTTCAAATTTTGGGGTGTCAAAGGGGGGGGGAAGGGTGCCAGAAGGGGAGGTGGGGCTGGGGTGCCAGAGGGGGAGCAAGTGTTTGTCCCCCATATCAAAATTTACAATATCAAGGTGCTATTTGATGAAGTTTGGGCACTTTAAAAGTGTCTGTGCCTAAAAGTGCCTATTTCCCAAGAAAATTTTACAATTTTAAGATGCTATTTGGTGCTTTCTGGGCACTTTCAGAGGGTATGAGTCAATAAAATTTTTTTGAAAAATCTCAATTTTTTTTGTTAAGGGAGGGGGGCTGCCAGAGGGGGAGGTGGAGTGGGGATGCCAGAGGGCAAGTAAGTGTTAGTCTTCCAGAATCATTAACTTTATCAAGGAGGTATTTGGTGATGTCTGGGCAATTTAAAAGTGTCTGAGACAATACATAAAACAAATTCAGAACTTTTCCATTTTTTGGGGGTGTGTGAGGGGTGGCCCACTCCCCCTAGAAAATTTTACAATTTTATGACGCTATTTGGTGCTTTCTGGGCACTTTTAGTGTATGAGTCAATTAAAGAATTTGAGAAAATCACAATTTATTTTTTTTGGGGGGGGAGGGGGTCAAGGGGGGGGGGCGCCAGAGGGGGGGGGTTATGCAAGTGCAAGATGGGGAGTAAGTCCCCCAGAAACAATAACTATATCAAGGAGCCATTTGATGATATCTGGGCACTTTAAAAGTGTCTGAGACAAAACTCTAAAATAAATTTAGAACTTTTCCATTGTTTTGTGGGGGGTGTGAGGGGTGGCCAATACCCCTAGAAAATTTTACAATTTTAAGATGCTATTTGGTGCTTTCTGGGTACTTTCAAAGTGTATGAGTCAATGAAAAGAAAATTACAAAAAAAAAAAATTTTCAAAAAAAAAAAATTTCAATTTTTTTTCAAATTAATTTTGGGGGGTGACAAAGGGGGGTGCGGTCGCACCCATCGCACCCCCCCATCTGACGGCCCTGCCGTTGTCACAAACGGCGGACATAACCGTCGCTTCAATTAGATTTTCATGAACTGTATGTTTAATAGAGCACCTAGACTAAATTCCTTTGGAACAACAATCAATCAAAGTGTCTTAATACTCATTGTACAAGTAATAATCTACCATCGAAATAAAGTCTTTAATTTAACCAATCAAAATGAGATACGGGACAACGGACACTGTATTTACCAAATGCCGTTGTCTTTCTATATTACTCAAATTCAGATTCCTTTGTCATTGACGATATCGAAGACGCTATAATGTGGCGATTCATGACCCAATTTGATCGAAATTGGGATTTCATATGAAACATCATCATAAGAGCTTAATACATGCACAGAATTAACAACAATAAAATCCCATGTAAAGAGGACCAAGTGATTAAGAAGTTGAAGCGACGGTTATAGTAAATGTCCACCATTTGTGACAACGGTATCTGACTCCGGGATCTGACTTTATCGTTGTCAGGCTATTCCGGTGTGATTTTAACATTAAAGTTTATGTTTTCGTTGCATTGAGTGATTGCATAAGCGATAGCATCCAGTGATAAAACGCATCAAGTGTTCAGTAGACAACATTACAGTGCCTAGGATAAAAAAAGAAGTGCAATGAAAGAAAACATGCGAAATGCCATGAATTTTCATAGAATAACATAGACCATGAGTTTAGCATTGATATAGGATGCGATACAAAATCACCGTCCATAAAGTCAAATTGCGTATTTTTACCGTGTTGCGTAGGGTTTGCTCAGCGTGTTTCTGATTATTATCATCGTACTGCCGGAAAATGAGATCGACGTTCTTCCAAAATCCGTCTCTGAATTTTGGCTGGAGACTCTAGTAAGAGTTGTAGTGCTCTCCATAACTCCGATCATGTTATCTTTTATAATATACATATAGATCTAGCGTGGAATAGATAGACCGTCCGAAAGTGATATCCTCGTCCGAACTTGGGAGAAAGAAGAATTCAGCAACAATATTTCTTCTTTGTAATAGTACCTCTGATTGGTTAATTGGTGAAAAAGAGGTGTGTCTTAATTCAAATTTGGATTTCGCGCTATAGTTTGACCAATCAAGAGAGAGGTTACAGATTTTGGTCAGGGGTTGTGTTGCTGTCCAAGTTTTAGGAAGCTGAGCGATTTTGTCACTTCAATCCAAGTTTTCATCGTTACAGGTATGTACAGTACATTGGTTGATAAAAAGGATCATTTATAGTAATTTGAAAAACTGCTTTGGTGAATCCAGTGGATGTATTGTCCAAACTTTAACGTTTTAACGAGGAATCGTTATTTTCATTCGTCTTCATTGACCATGTGTGACTACACGCTGGCTATTGGCGTCGCAATCTAGTACATTGAGGCATGGACCTTACATGTAAACTGAAAGAGTTTACTAAAATCTGGATAAATGACCTTTTCTCTTGATCAAATTAATTGATTTTGAGTATCTTTCCCTTTACTTTTTGACTCATTGCATTATACATCATATTAATAACACCCTAAAGTCATGCAAGTGTTCCTTATGTCGAAAAATATATATGTAGTTCCAATGCCATGCCAGATGTCCAAGTAGTAGGCCAATGCCTAATAATATGTCCAAAAAACAAAGCAAGGACATGTGTAACTACTGGACCAATGCCACACAAGTGTGAGGTAATGTATCTTCCACGACCATTCTCACACCAGAAAGTGGGAAAGTCTGACCATTCACGGTCCTCCTTCAGAAGTCATATACATGTACATGTATTTCATGGCATTTTCATACCAGATTCTAAAATTTGGGTCCATTGCCATAGCAAATGTTAAAAAAAGATGACCTCACATGCTTTTCACACTTTTCTTGTCAATTACCTTTGAGTTATTAAATTTTGTGACCCCTTGTAAAATTGATGCTTTTCATTTTAGAGGAGAGGATCGAGATTGCAAGGAAAACATTCAAAACAAACCATTTCATTTCTGGCTGAACCTGAATTTATCAATTGTTATGCGCATTAAGGTAAGATGCGAAATGACTGTAAAGATTTAATTGATTGATTGCTTTCTATATTTTTCAATTTGTCACAAATTTTACATTAAAAATACACAAAATCATAAATTATACTTACAAGATATTTGTAGATATATCCCAAGGAGAAATCTTTGATAAAGTTCTTCTCTTTTTTCAATTCTGATAAAAAAACATTCAAACTATTTTCTGATCAATAAAAATATTTTGTATGATAAATCATTCATGTTTCTATGTTGGATTGTTTCACACCATTTACAGACTGAATAATTCATGTTATGATTTATGATGAGGTTTTGTAACCCATTGATTCACCAGAGCTACATGTAAGCGGTCAGTCTTATATTTCAAATTTCTTAGGTCAGGGAGGACAGTAGCTCAATTCCTAACTCATTAAATTTCAAAATGTTTAACAATTTTTTTTCAAACCTTGACCAATTAATGAACGAAATGGTTTAGACGTAATGCAGTATTGTAACCTATGTTATTTGGCTTTGTGGCTATGTATTTTTACAATTGGTATCTGGCCATGTAAGTGATAGGATAGAAGCAATTTTTGTAAATTGTGGGTTTGAATTTGGTATATTATGCTCTCGTTATCTGTGTATCAGATTATGTTTTCTGATCTGTAAATGTGAAATGCTCAAGAAGAAATCAAAAAAAGTTGAAAATGAGAGCAAATTTTCTTGAACTTTTAAATCTGGTATTTGTTTTGAACATGAGCTTTCTAGATATTCTCCATGTAGTCTAATGTAGCATGGCTGATGTTGCTTTTAATTTCTTCATCAGGTGGCTTAAACAAGGGAACTTCACAAATAAATAATTAATGGCTACTTTTATTGTCAATGCATACTTTTCAAATATTAGTAATAAAAAGCATCAATGAATAATAAATGTACAAAATGTATATTGTTGTTAGTGTTTTCTCGCTGTCTCCAAAATGTTGTGACAATTTCAAATTGATTATTTTCTTTGACACAGTGTAAAATTAATTCAAATATTTAAAATTTGGCTGCACAGATACTTAAATTATAAATATTGAATAATACATTGGATAACTCATTAGATAATGTAAGTATAATTTTCTTTTGATTGGTAATTCCAAGGATCTGAGGATTGATTTGCTTTTAGACATTTTTCTTTTTTGATGTTTTAGTAAGTTATCTGATTCAATTCCTGAATACGTTTTTAAATTCAAAATACAGTACTGGGCTTATTCACTATATTAATCTACTCTGTCAATATTTCTTCATAAATATGTTTGCTGGCCTTTACTGTATATTTACGCATATTTTGACTCTATTACAGCAAAGCGGAATTACATGTATCCATCATTGGAAGGAAGCACTAAAATTAGAAATGATTAGAGAAAGAATGCTCTTTTACCAATGAATAGTTTCTACTTTTAGGTTTGTTTGAGTGAGAATAAATATTGTTTGTTGTGAAGTTATATCCCTGGTGTTCTACTATTGAACTTCTCAATAGTGCTAATGATTCTACTTATTTTAAAACATCAAAGGAATGTCTCTATAAGATCATGCATCATATTCACATTTGGGAGTTTCTTGATAAATGTTGACAATACGCAACAAAGTTCAAATAAAAAATTTGGGAAACGGAGAAAATTTTGTAAAATTATTAAAAAACAGGGAATTTTGAAAAAACTCTTTGTCTTGTTCCCTGCTGCCAATGAAAGTCCTGACATTAATTCTACATGTATCCTCCTAAAATTATATTTCCATTGTTTCTGTTTCAGGGGGTGGTACCCATTGAAATATGGCTTGGGTGTCCTTTGGATCACATTTGTGTGCCAGAAAGGATGTTTTTCACAAGGTAAGTAGTATATGTGCAATACAGTATAAAGTGTATATGTTCAATACAGTGTAAGATATGAGACATAAATATAGTGAAAGGTTGCAAATGCTGTCACAGCATCAAAAAATAAATTGTTTCGTATTTATTAATATCATGTTCTTTTAGAATTAGAGGATGTTTAATGTAAGATGCAGATTTGATTTCATGATATAGAGGATGAATTTCTGTACTTGTAGGAAATTTCGACATAAGCATCAATGATTTTGGAATAGAGCAAGGGGTAATAGAATCAGATGGTTATGGTCAGCTAACACTTTGGTTGAGAATAGAGCTAGAAGGTGATGAAGTTTATAAACCAGATAGGCTGGCAGGGATACAAACCATCAATCCAATATTCTATCTCTCCAATGATGAGGATATCTTGCCCGAATTGGATAAACGGGTAATCCAAACAGTTACAATTTTATAAGACCAGAAACTTTAATAATTGAATTGAATTTGAAATGATAAATTGATTTGATTTTTTAATTTTATGAGACCAGAAACTTTCATAATTGAATTGAATTTGAAATAACAAATTGATTTGATTTTTTGTGTATCACTGTTTGACCAAAAAGGCAATGTCATTGTCATCCAAATGTGATGTTTTATCGATTATCTTTTAGCTGTCTGGACTATTTCACTGTATTCACACCTGTGTTTTTCTATTTTTCAATAACTTGAAGTATATTCAACTACAGACTTGATGAAAAAGTCAGTTTTGCAGCATTCTTGACATCAGACTGATGAAGAAGCTTGAACAAACTGCATCCTTACTCGACTTCTTATGAAAGCTGTGTTTATATTCTTGCAGGTGCCGTCATGGCCCACATCATTCAACAGCTTGGAGGAGAGCTCTGACCATTCCACACTCATTCAGCTTGATGCCCCAGATTTCCATATGGTTGATGTTCACACCAATGCCTCAGATCATAAGTATTGTGGACCTGTGTATTTGGCTGTCATAGTAGACTCCAAGGGTGATCAAATGTTTCATTTATTTGAATATTAAAATCACAACTTTAGGGGGGGTCTTTATGATTATCAACAACTTAGAAATGTATGAAAATCAATATATTTCATATGAAACCAGACAAGGATAAGGAGGAATTATAATCACATGTCAAGTTTGATTTGTCTGCTCTTGATCATTATGTCAAATCATCCAAATGTTTTGCATAATGGCTTTTAGTAGATAACATAGTTGTAATATTAAAAGATGAATGTAAGACCCTTTTAAAGAAACTACTCTTATTATTGTATTTTTGAATTTTTCTTTTTTGTTTCAGATGTTATTCCTGAGAGCAATGAGGACAACAACATGGCTGTCATTCCAATCACTGTTTTATGCTTTGGAGGTAAGACTTCTTTAGGTAGCATCCAAACTGTTTCAAATTTATGTGTCCTGACCCTACCTACATTGGGGGTCTCATCTTTGAATGGTACATAAAGTTAGAATATTGAGGCTGACAAAATTGCAAGCGAGGTTTGCAATTGTGTCAATGATGTATCCTTTACAAAATATGATATCTGGCAAAAGATTCATATCAAAATAATGAATTTTAACATCCATTTTTTTTGTTCCAAATGTTGAATTTCTTGAAAACCTTATATTTTAACTTGTCTTGAATACTAGTAAGTATTTTTGATGTTTTAGCAAATAAGAAGGAATGACTGAAAAGATATAATTTCTGTTAGATGGTCCCTATGTCTGATACTGCCTGCGTGTTCTACTTATATTCATTTTTATTAAGTGGTTGAGTGGCCATTTGGTTATTGAATGGTGTGAAAATATTTTTAAAGGAACCATCTTTTCACTTCAAATTAATGACATAATAAATTCATATAAAGATAGCTATTTAATTTTACAGTATCATTTTTACAACACAGTAGCATATGTATTTCAGATGTATTTGCACTTGGTGATAGTTCATTGGATGTGGGTTATGGTCAGACAGAGATGTATCGTGGGGTAGAATACACAGTCACGCTCGATACAACTATTTATAATATATACTCCTCTGATCTTACAGAGGGAAAAGAAAACTGGCAGTTGAATTTATACCTCAGCAACTTTCCAACCATTAACCAAGGTATTTTTCACAATTTTTACAAAAATATGTCCAAAAATATAAATAATACATATATGTGAAAACCCAGAAGCATGTACTTTCTATTTGATTTTTAAGTGCATCGCTATTGAATTTTTGATGTCTGACAAAATATGTCACTGTAGGAATTATTGATTGGTATAAGGCATGCATTGTTAGAGATGACATACCAACAGATGTGTTTGAATGTTTACTTGTGTCCAAGGTACACATTGACAAACAGAAACTAGGAAGAATGGGTTATGAATTATTGAGGGGGTTTCTCATAGCAACACAATGGTATCATAGTTACCCGTTGAAATATTTACTTGTTGCTAGGGTTCATGATGATAATCATAAAAATATGTTTATCAATAAACATAAGAGAAGAAAGAATTCACAATAGTGTTTTATCAGTGCCATCTTTTACACTTGAGGTAGTGGGAAATGTAAAAATGTTAGACATTTAATCTTCACCATGTAAGATGTAAATTTTAATACACATGTAATTATCATAGAGAAGTCCAAAAAAACTAAAATGAAGTAGCGATTTGATAATAATGTCTATTGCGGAAGATGGTCTGTTGAATTCCCTGATCAGTCAAAATGTGGCCTATAATAGTTGAATACCATTTTAATCCTAGCGTATGTAATAGACTGTGTCATTTTATTTCACTACCAAGAAATGAAACTGGAATAGCCTTCATTTTTGGGGACTGCTATTTTGAGCTTAGCACTGGCATTTAGCATTGCCAGTTGGCATCAGTTATACACTTTTATACACAGAATAACACTTTTATACCCATTTGCAAGTGGTGATATTTTGTAATGTTTATTGTAGGTAGCCAAGCTTTACTCCTGAACACATTTACGTCAGTCACCTACCCAAATGGCGTATCTCCCCTGCTTGGACTCCATTCAGGTGAATCACTGAAAGTAGAGGACATCCAGTATAACATAGCTGCAGATATGATCCCTGCAGATATGGGCTATAGGTACATTGTACTGTCACTTGATCTGCCTTCAGGGGTGCCTTACCAGGATATCATCCGAGTCAACAATGTTAAAGCATGGCCTTTGGCCATTAAGGACACCTCTCCAGGTATGTTGTTGTCAGGACTGTAAAAGGGAAATGGGTTAAGGGGCATGTATGTTGTAATGACTGTTAAAGAGGAGTGGTAGAGGAGTGGAAAGATGGCTGCCTTTGATGAATAATCAAAGTTTGTTTCACTAAATATATGTTTGGGCCCCCTTGTCAACTTTGAGTCAATCTTTGGGTAAAGGAGGTTTAACATAATGAACATGAATTACATCTCCAATGTAACATATGAAGAGCTGCCAAAATTGCTTCATCTAAATGAGGATACATCTTAGAAGGTGGAGTTGTGTTTATTGCAGGTGTTGACATAGTAGTCACAGAGTTTGATATAGCTGAGGCTCAGGTGGTCGTTGATGGTGCCACAAATGTGTCCATTACTGTCACTGGCAGTGTTGATTTGGATGATCAAGATCCCAGCCTTGTTAATTCTGTCCTCTACTGGTCTTTAGATGATCAACTAGATGACTCTGATCTGGAGTCTGGTAAGTTCTTGAAATATATGAATAAAAAGTACACTAAAAAATTTTGTAACGATTGTCTCTGTATTTCCCTTTTGTTCATATTTCGTACACATTAGTAGTGTATGTCATATACAAGTATAACAGTACAAGTTCTGCTTGAAAGCCATTTTTCCTAAATGACTATTGGTTTCCCTTTCTCAAAACTTTCCTCCAATCGAATTCCTCCTTTGACATCAAACATTGTCTTCCCTTCTCCCCTTATTCCCCTTCCCCATTACCTTCTCCCATCTCTTTCCCTTCTCCCCTTTTCCCATCCCCTTGCCCCTTCCCTATCCCCATTCCTTTTCCTATTCCCTTAATGGATTATCCATTGAAGAAGGATATCTTACTTGCAATGGCTCACTGTTTGGTGACATGGTAAATTCACAAGTTATGGTTTTACACTGTATGAATAATATTAAAGAATCAATTGATAAATGCATTCTTTAGGGGCCAAAGTTGTCATCACCAATGGCTCTCTCAGCATTCTACCTGACCTCTTGTTCCAACCCTCTTTACCAAGCTTCTGTGGTGCAGTCTATGCCATTCTACATGTGGACAACTTTAATCACATAGCAGAAGACAAGGAGATGAATAACATTGCTGTAGATGAAATAATCCTTCAATGCCATCAAGAAGGTAAAGTATAGAATGCTACATAGATTACAAACAGCACATGCAGTTAATACCTATTGAAAAACAAAATGTGACATCCACCTAGGTGCCCATTCCAACACACCCATTGGCTCAAGATAAAACAACAATACATGTAAATCAACTTTATTCTGTGCCATATTCCTAGTGATTAAATCTTTATTCCCTCTTGTTCAGATGCTGTTGCAATATCCGACTACAAGGTGCTAAAAGGATCCACACGCCTGTACGAGGGTCATGAGGCTGCGTTACTACTTAGTGTAGATGTACTGTGTACTGCAGCTGACTGTAATAGCCTTTCTACAGCAAATCTTATCATCTTAAAGGAAGGCAATCTCACAAATATGGCAGCACTTGAACTGCAAAGACAACTTCTTGTCCCAACACCAAGGTATGGGAGGAACAAAATTAAAACACTGAAATCCATCATATGCCTACAAACATGATTTTAAAATTACATTTCAGGGGATTTGGTACATCAGGTGTGACTACAAGCATAATTTTGAAAATTGCATTTCAGGGGAATGGGAGTATCTATTGTTATCTTATATTAAATTTTTACAAGCAAGGGGCATTTTAATTTGAACAGAATCTATAAGTAATATATTCAATAACAACATTCTGGGGATCAATCTTTAATTTGATGATTTGCATTATGAGATAGCATCGAAATATTATTATTTGTTTCCTCAAGATTGTAAGAAGTTCATCAGATCAAAGTTAGTATTGAAGGCTTACTTTTTTTGTAAATCCTCATATCTGGAGAAAGCATCATTCACTCCATGATCTGATTACCAAGTTAACAATCTTAAGATTTATGGGGTGAATAAGTTAGCTTATTGTCATTCAAATAATCTTAAGTATGTGTATCTTCAGTAATACAATCCAAAGCTATGAGTTTGAGGTGAGCTTTAATGTCACAAGCAGTGAGTGTGGAGAGAGGTTATCCCTGGCTGTTAACCTTGAGGATTCCTACTTCGATAACCAATACATACATCTGCCTCTTACAGTGGACTGTACTCATACAGGTAAATTATAAATTATGTACAATCATGTACTTTTCACGAGAATTTCATCTACACCTTTATAATGAGATAGTTTTTGACCATGCCTAAGTACAAACAGAATATTTTTTATCCAAATTTTTTGATCAAGTCTTTGTTCAACCAAAAAAATTAAACTACATTTTCTGCCTTTAAGTATCTTACGCTAAGTTGACATTCAAAGTACCATACAATGGATAAAATCATTTGTAAATGAATGGTCATCATATTGTTGTGCTTTCAGTACGATTTGAAGCAAGTATATCAGACAGCTTTGCAGTCCCCGGTCTGACAGTGGATTCTCCATCTGGATACACTCTAGAGATAGAACTGACAGCTATTGACTCGCCAATACCACCTTCATTACAACCATTGCTGGATGTACACTTCTATGTGAGGTCAACGAGTGGCTGGATGAAGCGGTTACCTTATACTATGACAGAGGTTCAAAGAAGCAGACTCATGACTGGTGTACCTACATCTGCTATTACAGTAGAACTCAGTGTTGACAACTCTGCAGGTAAATATCCTTTTCAATTGTTTGATATTGCATCTTTCATCTGCACTCCTTGAATAATAGCTAGTTATTTGATCCAGTCCAAACCAAGATTAGGCCAATTAAAATTCAGCTACTCAATTAGAATTGCACTCCCATAATTTTTTTTTTGATTCATTCTATTGGTTTCAAAACTAAAGATTGTCTATCCTATCAAGAGTGTAGTGATTGAAACTAGTCTTTGGGCTCCAGGGTAATGTAAAATTCCATCTTTACAATCATGTAAGGTTAGTAGAAGTAATAATGCATATCTACAGTGGATGACTTGTAGTATAGCCTTTTGATATTAAAAGCATGGCGGTTATAAATACATTAAAGTGGTGCTACATCCAGACGGTGTTCTACTTTGTTCTACACTACACCATTTGAATAACAAGTTATTATGTGTTTTTGTAGGTGGATTGATGCTTCCGGTGTTTGGTTACAAAGAACTGTGTGGTGGTGATGTGGATGTGATTGTAGAACTCTCACAATCAGCCTATATTATGAAACCTTCTCTAGATGTCACCCGCAGTGTCACCATCTCCGCGGGGAATATCAATGGACTCACTTGTGGGCTGCCAGTGACATCACAGACATGTAAGTATAACTTGGAACAGCTTATACCAAGCTCAATTATGTCTACACATAAAATTCTTTGAAGTACACCCATACAGAGTATGGACTCTGCCTATAAGTACCTAATTTTCATTTCACATCCAAACTCCCCATAAAAAGCTATGAAAGATACATTTAAGGCCATTAAGTTGCTATGAGCGTCAAAAATATAAATTCATTTGTGACAGTCAAAAAGTAACATGGCTAGCAAGTGAGAATTTAGGATATTGTGGCGAGATCCTAAGATCCCTTATATTTATTTAGTACTTAGTGTATATTTCTATGATTCCAGTGACTCCCTCATGGTACAACATCAGAGTCCCAGAACCCTTGTACCCTCTATCTCAGCATGTGATCACAGCAACTGTAAGTATATTTACCTTCCCCTGTGTTATAACTAGAAGTATGTAAGCTTGTTGCCAGCCTTCATCAGGAAGACTTCTGATTTTTCGGAGAGGCCTTATTTACCAGAAAATGCGAAAATTATGCCTTTTTTACTTAGTTTTTAGGTTATTTACTATTAATCTCACCATATACAGTATCTTCCCAATTTTGAATCTTTTTTTGTGCAATTTGTTTTACAGTCAACTCTTAACGAGTAATTGTATGATAGTGGACTATGTTATTTCTATTCTATTTTAACCAGAGATAAAGCATACAATCATGTGATTTATTCAATTTAGGTCAATTTACATGTATTTTCATAGGAATGCACAATATTATTGGTCATAATGTCCTTTTATTTGTTGTCAGTAATTGCCATAGAGTTTGGGCTTGAGACTTATATGACAACAGGATTAGGGTTTGCAATCGGTTCCCCACTTGACTGGAAGCTTGACACATCTTCTTCAGTCCATCCATATGTGCACAGGCCAAACTAAAACAAAATTGATAGATTTGTAAAAGATTTGTAAAGCTGTTACTATAAGTATAAAAATATGAATATATCATTTAAAATATAAAACATCCTTGAGTAAAAACATGTAAAATATTTAAAAATTATAGGAAAACTCGTGTGGTTTAATCTTTTTTATTATTATTTTGCACAGCAAAGTTGAATGTGGAAGGAGCCAATATTTACAATTCTCCTTTTATCCAATTTCTATGAAATATTAAAATGCTGTCTTAAACATTGTTGTATGCTGTCTTCTTTCATTATTGTATGCTTTCCACTTACACTGTCATATGTTGATGCTGTCAACCCAAGTTTCAAGGTACATCTGTTCCCTTTGGGATTGTCTGCAATGATTCATAAAGCAATTGAAATGTGAAAATGTTCTTTAATTTATTATTAATTTATGGTCACTTTTATGTATGGTGCAAGGTTCACTTACAGTTTGCTGGTAATAGGGTCTCAGTCTTTGAAAAGCTGCTGGAGTCACCCACATAAAGGGACACTGTTTTACTGCTTGTTTCCTTGGTGAATACAAACCATTTAGAACCAGAAGAACCACTCTGAAAATAAAAATACAGTTTCATAAATAATAGTTAAAGTATCGCAATTGAGTATCATAACTATGAAATCAGTCAAGTTAAGTTTATGTCGTCTTTTGTAAGATCAACAATGCCATTTTGAGAAAGTATAGTAACTGTATGAACACTATCTAAAAGAACAGTTACTGAAACAACTGTATCTAAAAAATAACTGAGACAACAATAAATGAAAAAATAACTGAAACAACAGTAACTGTGACTTTATAAACCAATATGCATTGCTATATCATGCCATCTAGTTTTCAAAATTGTATACTCACATAAGCTGTAGACAAGCTCACTTCCCCAACAGTGACTGTGACTGTATCTCCACTAACTGTAGCCTCAACACTTGGCCCATTAATGCCCTCATTTGTGGTCACTACCCCATTGAGGTCAGGGGCAAAGCTGGCAAACATTGTGAAACCATAATCAAAATAGGCCAGTTGCATATATTTCAACTCTGCTGGGCTCTCACCATCGCAGACCAAAGTTCCGGAATTATCTACATCTGCTCTACAGCTTCCCCTGGTGAATGGGACACCTTGGTTCTTATCAGCAAATGGAGCTGGTGCAGAAAAGGACCAGTACATACAGTCACAGTTAGCTGGAAATAAGCCCATTCATATGTATAGTACACATGTTTGAAGTTTATGTCTTTGGGACTACACATTCAGGTTTTCCCATTAAGAGCCCCATAACAAATGAGCCAATGGGAAATCTCAAAATTTGATGTGATGTTTCAAAGAAAAGAAAATTTCAGAGTTGATCTACAAGTTTTAAAACTTCGTTTGTAGATGCAATTTTGTCTGTTAATTTCAAATATGATATCGCTTTGACTAAATTTTGAATATTTAATGATGAAAATCAATTTCTACTTGCATCTAATTTATTGTGATTTAAGTGAGAAATGGGACGTTCTGTCTACTTACACTCATATGTTGTCTACTTACACTTGTATGTTGTCTACTTACACTCATATGTTGTCTACTTACACCCATATGTTGTCTACTTACACTTGTATGTTGTCTACTTACACTCATATGTTGTCTACTTACACTTGTATGTTGTCTACTTACACTCATATGTTGTCTACTTACACTCGTATGTTGTCTACTTACACTCATGTGTTGTCTACTTACACTTGTATGTTGTCTACTTACACTTGTATGTTGTCTACTTACACTCGTATGTTGCCTACTTACACTCATATGTTGCATACTTACACTCATATGTTGTCTACTAACACTTGTATGTTGCCTAATTACACTCGTATGTTGCCTACTTACACTCATATGTTGTCTACTTACACTCGTATGTTGCCTACTTACACTCATATGTTGCATACTTACACTCATGTGTTGTCTACTTACACTCGTATGTTGTCTACTTACACTCGTATGTTGCCTACTTACACTCATATGTTGCATACTTACACTCATGTGTTGTGTACTTACACTTGTATGTTGTCTACTTACACTCGTTTGTTGCCTACTTACACTCGTATGTTGTCTTACTTACTGTTACAAAAATTTAGATAAGTCCGCAGCATTTTCTACTCACTTTCTACTGGGTTGCAGCTGCATGATGTAACATTGAAGCTGCTGCGTGGACACTTGTGGTTTTTGTTGCATACTTGGTAAATATCTGGTCGCTCTGGGTTTATTGTGTAGATATTGCCAGTACCAGTTGTGTGATCGTCCCATGTTATTCCTCTCTCACAACACTCTATAAGTTATGATTATAAGTGTCATTATGATTCATAGTATTAGTTCACTATGTCTGTATTCCTAGTGTAGTATCGGTGTTTGTAAGTGTGAGTTGAAGTGAATGTGTATCTATAACTTTTAGCATGTAAGTAACATTTCTGGTGTAAGCATTAGTCAATTATAGTCAGTTTAATGGTTCATATTGCCTGTTAAATGATAGTGTTCATTGCTGATGTAAATGTTGGTTCAAGTCTAATGTATTGTTGGGAAGCAACTTACTGTCTGGATCTCCCTCAGTGTCACATGGTTTAGGGGTGGGCACGGGATCTGAAAATAGGCATATTAAATTAATTCAGTTGATGGGTAGAAGCATGAGCGATTCAGGGTTTTTCTTTTGCAAGTCAATTCAAAATTGCACGAAGTTCTTAACATACTTTGAATGTGACTTAATGTGTTTTGATGGTGCATAATATATGCATGATTTTCATTGATTTTCTCACATCCTTTTCAAACATTCTCAAAGCATTAAAATTCTGAGAAGTGGTATTGTGGTACATACAAGCAAATATATATGTAAGCAAATTACCATAGCATTGCGTGACAGAATCATCACATGTGTCCGGGACAGAATTGAATGCACAACCCCCTATGTCATCATTCCAGACCAATGGCTCCATACACATCCTCCTGAATGCCTTCCTGCCACTAAAGTCACATTGGTAGTAGTGGCAGCAGTCATCCGATTGCTCATTGAAGTAGCCAGTCTTGCAACGATCTAGAAGAAACACCTGATAATTTCATTCTCCAATTGCAGGGGTTCAGACAGCCAGTCTGTTTCTTCCTTCTTCAAGGAACACAATGGATGATGTCTAGACCCCTGCATTTGGGGAATCTCATTATTCACTTTAATATCAGACTATTTTTAAATGTTCTTTGAAGAAGCCAGATTACATATGATTTAGTGATAGATGCTTTCAAATAATTGTAAGATTATATGACAAATATGAGAAGCTCACCTGGGTCATCAACATCAATAGCTGTAAAACAAGATAGCATAAGCCATTACACATGATTACACAGTATTGTCAGCATTAAAGCCATAATACATGATTACACAATATTGTCAGCGTAAGCCATTACACATGATTACACAATATTGTCAGCATAAGCCATTACACATGATTACACAATATTGTTAGCATACAGACATAACACAATATTCTTAGCATAAGGCTTAAAAGAGCTGATATATAGATGGATAAATAGACGATGGCAGTATTTTTGTTAGGGGTAGATCAGTAAAAACTCCTGAATCTCCTAAATTTCCATTCAATAAGAGACTTCGGTGAGATTACAAAGCAATATAGCAAAACCTCTATTACACAATATCGTTAACAGAAGTCATAACACATGTATTTATGATGAACAAGAGTCATTACACACAAATACACAAATTATTGATAGCATTTGTCCTGTTGTCATTCTACACAAGTACAAAGCATTGGTATCTATAATTATGATGTCTGCATACCCAATGATATGATATGTTTCACTGAGTATATATAATATTACACATATGTTTCAAAGTATATACCTGTTATCATGGGTTGGTTATCTTCAATTGCCATAGAAACAGCATAAAAGCAGCATAGAAGGAGGAGTTTTAACATCTTTGCAGTTCTAGAAATAGTACCAAGCAATTATGCCAAGTAATTGAATGAACGACATCTATGAATTCTGGCATATTTCCTCATTGTTGATCCTATGCTTTAGAAGGAATTTCAAATATGGCCACTCAATTCAAAATGGCCACTCATATAAATGTGATACTATAACATTTATTTTTAAGTATTGAATGTCAGATTTGGTTCTTGCAGGTCTAGGACCTCATTTGAAAATGTGAAACTTTGTAACGCTTATTTTTAGATAAAGGCCTATGGCACAATACATTGACACACAGGCACTATACATGTCTCATTAGAGAAAAATCAATGTTTACAATTTGAATCGTGGCTAAGATTTGACTCCTTTTTTGACAAAATAAATTGATTGAACAAAAGCCAAAATGTTCTTACCATCCAAAATGTATTAAATGTACCGTCTATAAAAGAATATAGCTGCTCCATTTTTCCTTTTTGATATTGTTCATTCAAAATAATTTTATAACTCTCCATTAAATTGGAAGAAAGTTATTAAAACTTACCCAAGGATTTGACTTTTAACAAGATGGCAGTCTAGGATTGCTGTATTAAGACGAATATCGAATGATGTATGATTCAGACCTACAGTTGTTAAAGGATCCTGTTTATAATGATAATGTATGATTCAGACCTACAGTTGTTAAAGGATCCTGTTTATAACGATAATGTATGATTTAAGGGATCTATTTTTGATAATTTTTATGTCACCATTAAGAAATGCAGATATATTATAAAAGCCTCTAGATTTGAGAAGGAAGTATGATTGCTATAACTCAAGAACTTAAAACTAGATAACTTGAAATCCGTATAATAAATGCATGTTGAGATGTTACAAAAGTGTCACAAAAGATTCCACATTTGACAATCAAGTAATATGAAACCTATTTTGTATTTTTGTATTAATAATGTAAAATAAATAAATTAAAAAAAACATAGAAACACAATCAAGTAAGCAATTGCAATGTGTAAGTATGGCACCTTCGTTCATATGCCTTTAAATTTATATCAATGGGTATACCATAGTTTTTCATTTACAAGTCCCTTTAAGTGCCTATTGTCAATGTCTCTATGATTTATATCTCCTTGATGAACTCACATGCAGTAAGTACCTGAACCCTAATGAGCTGGTTGTCTTTATTGTTTTTCAATTCAAAGCTAGAGGCAAGCAAGCTTCTGTTCATTGAAAATGACATGACTCTGTGTGTGTCTTGCTCACACAGCAATCCTACAGATGTGCCCTCTTGTCCAACCTTCCATCCACATCCATCCGTCTGTTTCAATTTTATCGGGAAACTTAGTTGGTAACTTATCCAATCAGTATAATGTTTAGATATTTCTTTGACTATGAATTGTTTTTTTTGACACCTGAATCACCAATGAATAATATAAAATATTAACAGGAGGGGATGGTGTCCAAATATTAAGTTTAAACCTACCCCTAATATAACTTAATGTTGATTTGCTGTTTTTTTCACAGTCCTTCTTAAGGATTTATTTTTCCAAACTTAATTTTTCTGTTCAATGGTTAGTTTATGTGGCTTCATTATTTGATACGTAATCCCTCCCCCAATAAAAATTGATTTTATTTTTACACCAATGAAGGTGAGCAATGCCTTTTATATGGCATACATCTCATAACTTTGCGCATTTACATAAGAATCTATTAACAGTTCTATAGCCAGTTCCAGCCATTGCTGCCATTTGATAAAATTAGTAGCTCTACATAGTGAAAAATTGAATAGCATTAATCAATTCTCTAAATGATTGTTTTTCAAATATGTACATTCTATTCCCTGCACCCCTCTTAGAATTACAATGTTAATACACCAAAGAGGTGCTTTTACCAAATTAAAAATGTATTGTTTTGAATTAATAATCACATATTTATAAGTGAAAGATACTTTCTTCAGATGGAGTTGAGGAATGGAGCAGGCAGTGCTCTGCTTGGAGGCTCCGATGATGATCCAGATTTTGGCATTGCTGTCTATGTCTCCAGTGATGATACTGTGGATGATGATGATATACAACTGAATGTCACCATTGCCACAGCTGATGTGGAGAAAACATACAATGGGATCAATGCAGGAGGATCTGTGTTAATTGGAATCACTGGTAATAGTCATTCATTTATTTAAATGGTATTTGTATAGCAGAGTTCAGCCAGGTTCTAAGAATTGGTGAGGCAAATTTAAATGGGTGAGGCAAAAACTGGTTGAGGCAAAATTGAGTTTCATGGGATATAATTCTGGGTAAAATACTTTCATTGAACGTCATGTTAATTCAGATTCAATAAAAAAAAACATCAGCAATTTTTTCTCATTTACTTTTGGTGAGATGGTTGTTGTGCCTCTTTCGTTTTAACATAATTTGATCTCATGGTTATTACAAGCCGCAACAGTTTTTATTAGAAAATGGATGTGAAGCTATACAAAATTCAGGTACAATAATGAAGTTTTTACAATGCAAAACAAAACTCACTGGAAAGTGATGAGGGCATTCCTCAAATACAATTATTAGCTGAAGAATGAAAATAATATCCAGTTTATTCCACATCTACTTCACAAGATGCTTTTAGATTAGGCTATTAGCGATCATTGAGAACAAGAGAATACAAGGGAATACACTGAACTCTTCAATAACTAGATTTTAATGTTGCATTTTTATTTCAAAGATGCTCATAAATTTTATTCTACAAAATACATTTATCTATATTCATTGTTTTTCAGTTACAATTGACTCTGATGTCCTGGACCATGAGAGCTGCCTTGTTATAAAGGCAGGGGAACCGCAGGTGTTACTTGCTGTTGAGAACATAAGGTCTGCATCTGGGTACACTTCCACTGGAGTTGCCACTGCACTCATCAACTCACTCTTATGTCAGTTTGCAGGTAATAAACTCTGACATAAAATCCATGTACAGGGCTCTTACCAAAAAATATTTAAGGTGTGGTGGAAACATCTACAGTATATCTGTTCAATTTTGATAAATTATATTTATGTTATATTTTATCCTTTTTACATGCTAAGTTTAAAATGGGAATGATCAATATTTGACAAAAGGTTGTGGTGGGAGCTAAATAGACTGTGGTGCTGCACCACAGTCTAAAAGCATAGCGAGAGCCCTGATGTATATTTTCACTTCTGACCATGGTAAGCATAGTGACTATTAATATGTTCACCACTCATCTCCATGTAAACCTCTGGCCCACTCTCTGTCTCACTCTTGCCCCTCTCACTCCCTTTCTCTGGCCCACTCTTATAAACATGCTCTTGCCCCTCCTCTCTCTGACTCTCTTTGACTCTCACAAACACTCTCTCTTGCCCCCCTCTCAGTACTTCTCTATATTTCTCTATCTCTGTCGCGCACTCTTACAAACATTCTTTCACCCTCTCTCACTCCCCATCGTCTTCTTTATCACTTTCTTTTTTCCTACATTTGCACACAAACTTTATAACCAATGAAATGACAATGTACACCAACTCTACAACAGAGAACAAGGACATGCCTAGGTACATCCCTATGATTCCACCAATGTCTGCATTTATTGAAGGGATAACTCGCTTCTTCCGCAATTCTATTGACGTTCAGTGACCGATAAAAAATGTTCACTTTAAGGAAGTTTTTCTCGATGATCTTGTTAGCGATAAGATTCTTGTTAAAGGTGACATTGTGTAACTCCAATTTAAACAATATGGGCCATCCGGTGCTATTGACATAATCAGGATAGAAATTGCATTTGATGTACGGATCTTTATCGTCTAGAAATACATTGTCACGGGGAAATATTAGACCAGCATACATATAGTAGTGTGGCCAAAATTTTTCCCAGAATTGCTATTCATTTTTCTTGAGAGCGGTATAGAAATAGTAAAGATCAGAATATGGATCATACCTTCCATTTGAATTATCTAGCCTCAGTCTGAATAGTGTTTCAATTTGTGAAAATCGCTTGATGTACTTTATGAAACTTCTGTTTATTCGTTTGTAGTGCTTTTCATGTGGCCATGGTGTTGTACTTATAAGTGGATCGTAAGTGATGTCCTTGCATTGTTCTTTACAATTGCATAGTGTTTCTGTCGTCTCATATATCTTTTCTGACACTTCTTTCTCGCATTCCATAGCTCGGAATGAATCTTGCCAGTCTGTTATGTTTAAATGTGATTGTGGTCCAAATGAAATCCATTTTCGCAGCATGGTCCCGTTTGATCGTAAATAAATTCCGCAATAGGGAACATACTTTGATCTGTCAACATGCGAAGGTATCGGTGCTCTTGGGGTCAAACAGCCACATTTACGCATTGTGAGTTCTTGCATACATTGTCGATAACACAAATCTGTAGTGTAAGTAAAGGATGTGTCCTTGTTGAAGAGTTCCTCAGAACACTCCCCATATGGCTGTTTCATTAAGGTCCGCACATCTTGTGAAAGGCCAATAGCAGTTAAACGTCCCGGTGAGAGATCAATCCCCTTCTCTTCAGGTTCAGGTATTGTGCCTGGTGCATGTATCGTTAACCTAATTCCATCACTTGCTGTTGCGTGGTCACTCATGTAAGCATTTATACCAGTTGTGTGGTCATTTTTGTATGCAAATGTGTTATAATCAATCGGATTGTAGGAATTAATGAACAAGATCATCATTAAACCTGACTCAGGACCAGCTTCTGCCACAATATACCTTTCTGAGGCATTGGTATCAAATGTGTAGCAGTTACCATACAAGGGTATGAAGACCTTTTTAAAGGAACTTTTGTCACAAACTTCTCCATTGAATCGACATTCCAAAACAAGATCTTCATAACTCCGAAACAACTCTTCATTTTCCTTGCCTTGCAGATTTTCTGCATACCTTGTATTAGAATACAATGTTCGTTTTTTGATATACGCCATTCGGTTGAAAAAGGTAAGCACATCATACCCTTGGTATAATGAACATGGTGGTAGCATCACCTCTTTTGTCTTCTCAAAATGCGAACTTACGATCAAAGTATTCCTTCGGAATGTTTGTAGGTTGTCATGTTGAGATGACATCTTTACGGGTTCCACTGAACACACTGTAATAGATGGAAATGTAATTATTTCCTCTCCACTGTAGAGAGCATCCTCAGTTGGAAAGTTGAAAAATGACTTTGTCTTTTCAGTTAGTCCAAAGATGACAATGGTAGCCACACTTATTGCTATTAGCAACCAAGTGATGCCTGAAGCAATGGATCGAGCATTTCTGATATTTAGGCATGCATGGATAGTCGTAACATTAGCAAATGAGGAGAGTTCTCAAGATGTCGTATTTCCAGAATCCAATGTGCTTGCTCCCCTGGATGTCATCTTTCGTTTTAGTTTCATTGATATCTTTGTTTACATCTTCGTTTTCATCTTTGACTTCAGCCATTGCAGGATCCTCAGAACCACTGGTCCTATCTATCTCACATATCTCAATTTTCACTTTATTGTCAGATTCCCCTGTATTCTCAGTGGGCAAAATTGTTACCTTTATATTGATAGCAACAGGTTTACTGTCATTGATCATAGCTACCACAGATTTAACTTTGGCATCACATACAGAGTTATGTCCTTTAGTATCACATCCACTTGTGTCCTTAAGTTTCGTATCAGTTTCATTAGAATCGTTATTATCCTGTTTTATTTCTTTCGTCTCAGTATTCTTAGAATCAATGATGTCAATGATTTCGCCATTATAATCTTTATTTTCGTGTTTTATTTCTTTCACTTCAGTCATCTCAGAACTAGTGGTGTCATCACTTTTCTCCATTTTGGTTTTGATGACACTCATCCTTTTTTCTTAATCAGTTCTTTAGTATCATCTTGATTTCTGTCTTTATGTTTCTAATCGGCTTTGTTAGAATTTTTATTATCATTTTTTATTTCTTTCATTTCTGTCTTCTCAAAATCAATGGCATCATCCATTTCACGCATTTTGTTTTTATTGTCACATATCCCATCTTTGTGTATCAACTAGATCTTTACATTGGCCATTTGAAATGATGATTTATTCCTTCGCCAAAGTTCATCGATCATCACGCTGAAGCAATCACTTGACTTAAACACACCTTGCTGACACGTCCAGCTTTTATACTAATTTTCTAGATTTTAATAGTGATTGGCACACGACATAGCAATAAAAAAGTGTCTGGTTCAGTATATTAATATTTTGAAGATTCCAAATATAGGTTTTCTCATTTATTGCCTACCCCCAACTGATGTCATGAAGTACAAAACACTAATTATTAATATGTGTAGGCATCATGCACTGTATGGGTAGAATGGAGCTAAATCGTCATATATTAAATCGTTACCATACTGTGATTCATTAAATAAGGATTAAATATGTGACAGTCAATTTAACTTTATACCTTCCTCAATAAGTGTACTGAATTTCAACCTGCTAAATCGAGGGGAGGGGTTTAATTGTTTTTTTGATTAATTTAATTATTATTAGATTATAATGCCAAGTTACAATGGCAATCACAAGGTACTACTTTAGGGCTTGTTTTATTCATTAAATAGTTCTTTGATGAAATATGTTTTATTTCAGATGAAATGTGTTCACACATTGTTAAGTATAGATTAGCACACTCTGACCAATCAGAATGCAGTATTGGTATGCATTATCTGAGATGCTAAAGCAGAGTTCATATTTTCTTCAGGTTTCAGTATCCAGTTGTCCTTTTATTTGGCTTTGGCTCATGTTTTACTACATATACAGTGATGGAATTCAGTGCATTTCTTCTCATCTTATGGATAGGTTTTTGCATTTAAATCCTATAATAAATAGAGGTTCTTATATGAGTACCTGTGCAAGATCGTCCATTCTTGATGAGCTTCGATAATTTTTCTTTATCGAGTCGCAGACGAAATAAAGAAACATTATCAAAGCGAGTCAATTATGGACGATGTTGCACAGGTACGAGTATAAGGAAGTTTTTCTCATATGACTCTGCATTATGCCATATTTTCACCTTTTTATGATAAAACTAAGTGAAAAATAGCTTGAAATTAATGGAACTTCATTTTTTTTCAATTGTTATGGCCTCATACCGATATTGTAGAAAATACATGGATATGCGTGGCAACAAAGCTACATTGTTATGACGTCACAGCTTAGTTTTGTAGAATGAGCATGAATACCCATAGCAACGTTAACGGTGTACCTGTTGCCATGTTGTTGATGTTTATAGACCAGTGATGTCACAAGTAAATCTCATCTTGCACGTGTGACTTTTTAGGATGAAAGATGGCAATATCTTGCATGGAGTAAAGATGGCTGTATATTTGTTAGTCATATGAGAAAAGTAAACCATGCATTGTTGCATTTTAGTTGTGCCTGAGATAAAAGGTGTCCAAACAGAACCTGTTATCTGGCAGGATTTAGAATACAACTTCACAATTGACCTTAATCTGAGTCATGAGGTAAGTGGGATACAATAAATAAAGTGTTATCACAGGCATTTTCACATGTAGCACTATATCACATATGTGGTTTCAGTGCTCTCCCAAGGAATCATCTCAAGTAGAGTTATGTATTTTGAATAAAAAGAACTGATCGAAACTTTTAAAAAATTTACAGGATGGTTTGTATGGGTATAATCTTTTTTTGTGGATGGAGTTTGGTGGTTGGTGTTTGTCAGTCCGTATCTGTAACAAATGGCAGGTTGTGACATTTTGCATGTTAATGCCTTGTTGAAATTTCCAGGGCAAAGATACCTCTAGATTTATAAGTGGTAGAAATTTCCAAGTGTTTGTTTACCTTGGTGATTCCAATGCTGGTATCCCAACAAACATTACAAATTTTGTTGACCCATCTAACAGCCTTAATCAACCAATAGATGACACTATCTCTGTCAGTTTTGAAGGTAAGAACTCTATGAGGCATCACTTTATATTTCCATTGTTTTGTCAAGGATCTGTATGACAGGGGTGAAGGCAGGATCTAAAATAGGGGAGGCAAAAGAGAGATGGTGTGAAAGATAGATTAAAGACAATATTATACATGTACTAGAATCAGCCTTCATTTTCAAAATTTCAATTGAAAAATGTCTGCTTTAATATTTTTCTGTAAAACATTTTGCCTCCTCTGCTTCAGTCTTCCTGAATCTTCCTAAAAATCTGATTAATTGAGGCCATTTTGAATAAGTTGCATCACAGTGCTTCCTATCTGTCTCCCTGACATACATGTACTATGCAACATATCGACTCAGAACAAAAGACAGTTGATTATAACAACCATACAATTTGTTATACATGTATATGTACATTTACATTCTCTAAATATTTATTTAAAAGAGTTTTTGTTTCACTAGGAGCGTTAAAAGTTTCTGCGGAAGAGTGTTCAGCGTTTGATGCTGATAGGAAGGTAACAGTTGAAATCATACCTGAGGAACATCTTTTAGAATTGGGATATTCTGTACAAACTCATCAAATGGATGTCAGTGGCTTTATAACAACTCAGTGTTCAGATTGTAAGTAGTAATGTCTTATGACATTTTGTCTAGTAGGTGGCCATTATGAAAAATGTGGCCATTTTATATGTGTTATTTTACAGTGTTTTGATATGCAAATGCATGCAAAAATGAAAAAATAAAGACTATTTTTTAAGAATTTCTGAAATGGTTGGCATTTAGTAATAATTTCTTATTACTGTCTTGTCTGACACTTATTAGATGTTTGATGGTATTTCCTTGTTCTTAGGATTGTCATCAATTAACATACGCAATCTTGAAAGAACCTTTGATATGATGAGCATTAGAATGCATTTTTTCTTTTTCTAGCTTACATTGATTTGGCAGTTGACCAATTTGAGATGTTAGACAAGAATGGTATGGCCACTAATGTGATCACTATAGACAAGGAAACGTCATTTACCCTTAATGTGAGTGTCACTGTGAATGGCAATGGGGTGACATCATTTGCTGATGGTGAAGACAACTATGAATATAAGTTCTACCTTAGTACAGATGAGGCAAATATTGATTATGAAATAGGTAAGAAATAATATAGTGAATTGAAATAAGAGAGTGCAATACAATACAATATAATCCAGTGCAATACAATACTATACAGTACAATGTAATATAATACAATACAATGCAATGCAATGGAATACAATGCAATGCAATACATTACCCATTCCTAAGAGTTTCATTTGGTTTACTCTTTAGATTAAATAGGTAATTCCTCAAACAGATCCAATCAGAATGTCTTCTCAGGGATTCTTGATCCTGCATTTTATTGTGTGTGGCTATTATACAGCATTCCTTTTATAGCTCCCTTGGCTATAGAAAGCTTTTGAGATCATAATGCCACATGTGAATGTGTACAAACAATTTGGTATTATATTGCAGATTACACTCCTGATATGCCTGATCTGCAGTCTCCTGTGGGAGCAGGGGAGACTGCCATCCACAGTTTAGGAGATGATGATTTCATGTTGGCAGAGGCTGATGTTAGCTCATACTGTGGCAAAATCTACTTCACAGTGGTACTCTTTGATTTGAAGAATAAAGGGCCTGGTATGAGATCTCCTAATTAAAAGCCTTAAATTGATTTTAGCTCAATTTAGATGTGAAAAGTATGCCTGTGTGCTTGTATTAGATCATTTGGTGATTAGAAGGTAAAATAAGGGATAACAACCTGTTTTTCCTGATCTCTCAAATCGAAATCAGTTTTTCTGACATCTCTCTTTGAGGGATTTTATGGTTGGATAAAATTGTGGATGGTCTAGGAAATGTTTGAAATCTCATAGATGATGTGTGTTGATTGCTTGAATTGTTATGTTGAGGTTGTACTAAAATAAGATTGTATTAAAATGCATGTTGCAGATGTGTCCAGTGGAGATGTGAATGCTAGACTGGTCCAAAACAACAAGGACCCTAGACTTAGAAACAGTTATGTCACAAGAGAGATGGTACTGAAATGTCCTGGAGGTATACCTTTCCTTTTAGTTTGATACTTTTTACAAACTGTCCATTCTTCAATTATAAATCTTTAGTAGTAACCACTAGACTGTAAATATTGTATGAAGGCAACGTGAGGTCATAAGTAATGTGTAAAAACCTTAACCAACCCCTACTCCCTATAACTACTATTGTAGTTCATGATCTACATTTATATGTAGAGTAATCAATTTTTTCCTGCATCTAATTTTTATCCATTTTCCGTATTTTAGATTTATTTGCAATGAAGGATTTGAACATCACCCCTCCTTCATTGTTTGAAATTGGGCCTAGTGAGATAGATGTCTCTGTGACAGTTACTAATGTACATGGACAGGGCTATGACATACCTGAATCAACCAATCAACAGCCAAACTTCAACTTTATGGTATGAAATTACTTTTTTGAATGTTTCAAAGTGCTATATTGTTGTTATCTTGTGCTGTTGGGTGTGTACTTTTTGCTCCTTTAAGTGCAATATTTATCACTTTTTGTCTTGTAGTATATTGTGGATATTTAGAACTCCTTAAACAAACCTCATTGTAGCAACCTTCTTTTTCTGAAATCTAGTCCTTATCTAGTTCCTGAGGTGAGTGCAGTTAATAGATTAATATTGTGATAAACTAAAGGGATATGAGCAATTTATTGAAAATTAAATGTTTATGATTCATACAAACCTTTTATGTGTCTAATATAAGTGAAAATGTCATGCCATCCAGGAATGAAATCTAGAATTTGTTTTATTGCACATTTCCAGGTGTACAAAGAAGAGGGACTCTCAGATATAGAAGTACCAATGCTGGCTATAGACTTTGATGACGTCAACCGTGAACAGCTCACATACCAGCTTTTGTTTGGTGATTCATTGACGTTCACATTCAAGATGACATTGGACATTGATACAGTACTGTGCTCAAAGATACAAGCAAAGTAAAATACAATATTTTTCTTTATGTTTTGATTTTCTACTATTCTGTAATGTTTTGCTAAGCTAGATCAGTATGTGGCCATTTTAAAACAAGTTGTGAGAAGAAATATTATAATGGCAACCTTTTAGTCTAATGTGGGATTTATTTTTGAATTCTCCAACCAATGTGCTTAAAGCTCTGCATTCTTCATACATGATGGACTTGTACAGTGATATTTATTTCATTCCAGTGAATGGTACCTGACTTTAGGTGTAGGTGTAGGGATGCCCCAGGGATTTATAGACCTCTACAATGACAATGAGGTTATTGTCATTACAGGTGTAAGCTGTGACGCAGCTACAGGTAAGAGCTGGAAAATACTGTAAGCAAAAAGGGGCATTAAGATGGCATGTCTAAACTTAGTGATGTGAACTAAGTCCGTTAAAATGTGATGGCTAGGATAAGTGATGTAGGCTAAGGTGTCTCATATGTTTCATATAAAATCTTATAAGGTACCACTTTTATATAATGGGTGTCATGGTTTGTTATGGTACCTTGTTCCAGTCTGTTCAGTTAATATTCATGATTTTCAGATCTCAGTGACATAACAGTTTCCACATTGAGTATTTCCAGTATGGAGTCATCTGGCAATGGCAAACTACCATTCCAAGCTGTTATACAGGTACATTATACAATTTATATAGTTACATATACAGCAAGTTTGGGTTCGGTCCTCAAGAAATCAAATCGAAGCTATCTCTGTGCTTCCAACTATGTCAATACAACATACCCCTCTAGCATCAATTCATTCAGGTATTGAAGGTAGTCAAGGTCCTTGATTAGCTCTTAGCTAAATGTTTTTGCCAGTCACCTGAAACAGTAGCAGTTGCATACAGTAACTAGTACTATATTTTACTTTCTTTCAGGAACTTGGAACCAGGTCATATGTTCAAGATGCTGGTGGTCACTTCAGCTTCAAGCTATGGCTCTCCCATGATGACCAACTAGACATGGACACTGACGTAGACTTGGGATATGACACTAGCCCTCACGCAAGCACATTGGGAGCAGCATTTGATTCCTCTAATAGTATTGTCATAGATGCTACTGCTAGCAATAAAGTGGTGAGTCTTACTCTATTTTGAACACGCCCTTTACATGATTTATGATTTGTGAAATGGGTAAAAATATTATTTTTGCTGCAATAGCTAATATATTGTATGTGTATATTGTGATCATTGTACTTGTATTTTGTATAGTATTGTTTCAGAATATTGTATTTGTTTATGGTCTTGTAGGAGCTAGATTTAGGAGTTGTGCCAGGTAATGTTGGTACTGTAAAATACAAATAAATGGTCTTGTTTATAGCTGATATATTGTACATATACATCGTGTAGTATTATCCCAGTATATTAAAAAATGTATTTTGTATTGTAGGAGCTAGAGGCAAGTCATGTGCCAGAGTATTGTGGTGCTGTGTACATTATAATGCAAGTAGATGACCTTAATGCTATTGATGAGCCCAATAAAGTGAACAACATCAAAGCAGCAGTGGCATTTATAGCATGTGATGAAGGTAAAAATGGTGTCCAAATACTACATAAAACTTGATGGTAGAGGTGACTAAAGATATTAATTTGATACAGGATGTGAAATCAACACCAGCCCAACTTCTCAAAGTCCGTTTCAATCTGGGTCAGATGAATTTTTCAGTATCTACTTGAAAATTTTTTACCAACTTGTTCATAATTCATTGTTGACCAGTAAATCCAGAATCTTCTTGCACACTGCTTAACACTACCAGGATAGATAACTCCATAATTTGCTTACATATATATGATTGTGCAAGTGCCAAATGGGGAAAGACCAATGAGAGATATCCAAGGGTTCAGCCAATGATATGGAAGACAAACCCCCAATATCCAAAATGATACTCAAATAAGCTATAAGTAGCAATGACTATCACCTCTATCCCTTCCAAAGTTTGTAAACTGTATATACATTGTATTATTTTATGCTCTGTTTCTCTCTCATTTCAGATGTCTACAGTATGGTGGCTGATGTTAATATACAGTCTGAAGTCTACGGTGATCTGCCTGTCACTCTTACATTTCAAGCAGATATCTATAATGCACATTCAAACAATATTGAAACAAATAATGGAGATGACAATTTTGAATTCAAGGTAAGCAAACACATAACTTCTGTTTAAAGTACACTGTTTAGCTAATACTGATCAACTAATACTCTACTCTACTACCCAACTACTCTCTTATAAACTATATGTCTTAATTGTTCTATTTCAAGTTGTGTTGTTGTAGTTGTATGTTTAGTTGTGTTGGTAATACAAATATAGTAGCGTTCAGAATTCTTTAAAGTTTATTCTGTGAAAATTTCATGAAAAAATATTCAAAATTGAGAAAGTTATTGAGAAAATAGAGAGGCATGACTTGTTCTGGCCAGGCTACTAAGTTATGGTTTGTCTAAATTGTGTTGTTATTACAGCTATATGGACAACATGGAAGTAATCTGAACGTAGCAGAGGCAATTGATATTACACCCGAGTGGATCATGCCCTTTGAGGATAGGTCCCAGTTTACTGAATCACATGACACAGAGACCAGCAAGTCATTTGGCAAGGTATTGTACAGTATCAATGATAACTGTAATTATTTAAGTACAAGTGCAGGGGGAAAACTGAAAGGTAATGATGTAAAGTTGAATCTCTGAATTTCATGCATTGTTCACTGTTGGATCCTCACTTCTAGAAGTACTAACCAAGTCTGTTTGCAACTGGAATTCACAACAAATAAGGTGTGGGATTTTGTGGATAGTCTCAGCATGTGCAAGCATATCAGTGAAGTTGAGAAAAGTCATGTTGCTACTCTTATGCATTAGAAATGCTCAGATTACAGTGATTCAAACAATATCAAAATCTAGTTGGTATACTTTCACCTCCAATTGGGCATTATACAGTGTTATTAATTTCTTGCAGATATTTGGCAGTGTTCTTATACCTGAGAGTATGTGTGAGTTAGGGATGGATCACATTATACTATTGGTGGTCTCACGTAACCCCACCATTGCTGGTGCTGATGGATATGTAGAGAGTTTGATTCAGAACAACTACAAAGCTGTACCTGTCAGCTGTGTAACAGGTTTGTAAACCACCCCTAGTATATTACCTGTTAAAGGCCCATTCTATTGTGGCAACATTGAATCTTACAAGAACATACTCAAATGTACATATACGAGGGTTGTCCCAGAAGTAATGCACTATATGCTCTAACTTTATCAATAATTGATATTTTTCCATGAAATTTTCAGTAAATGTTCCTTAGAGACATTTTGATTATTCTAGAAATGTTCATGTTGACTGATAAAACTATATTGATGTTACAATAAAATCAAGTTGGTGAGTTTGGGTAGGGCGGGGCAGGTTATAAAGTCACGTCAAAAGGAATAAAAAATTGAAAATATGAAATAATTAATCAACATACTAGTATACCATTTGGTGTAGCTATAAGAAGTATGCTCAAAAATACATTTTAAGATACTAAATTACTTTGAGCACATCCTAGATTTAATGGATGTATATTGCACAGTGTCGCATTTCACATTTTCTCAAAATATTGCCCTTTGCGTGTTATGTACTTTTGATGCCTGTCAGGTCAAACACTCTCGGCAATTTCTTCCACTGTGACTTGTGGAGTTTTTGCCTCCCATGTTTGGAGTTGTCATACAGGGTCAAATCGTCTCTTTGAAATCTCTTATGCCACCCCATAATTGTAGTTCTATCTGGTATATACTCCTCATATACTTTCTTCATAGTAGCATACATTTTGCTTGGCTGTGAGTCCAGATGAAGTATGAAATTAGGCCACCAAACACAAGGCCTTCTGTTATCAGGAGAGAATTGCAGCCATTTTTGCAATTTCTTGACTGTGACTGTATTTGAATTCGTGACTATTGAAATGTGGTATTATGGCATCACAGTGCTAAATGTCATTATTCATACTTGGTTAACATCATGCTGAATAAATTTAACAATTTCCAAACATTTTGACCATTTAGAGGAAAGAAATATTAATAAAATAACACTTTAGATCTTTTCATAATTATAAAAATTGGTACCTGCCCCGCCCACCCCTACCCCCATGTTGTTATAGCAACCATATTAAGACTTAATATTAATATTGGATGCTGAAACTTCAGGATATAAGAGATAAAACTTCAATTGTTATATACACAAAATTTCAGCTAAATTGATGATTATTAAAGAAAGTTAGAACATATAGTGCATTACTTCTGGGACAACCCTCGTACATGTACCTATGCAGTATTCATACATGTACTTGGTATTTGCTTTAACCCGTCAACATGGTTTACTTTTTATGTGACCACATTATGGTCTCCATATTTGTGATTGTGCGGTTGGTGTTTGGCATCTGTAACAAATGGCAGGTGGTGATATTATGCATGTTTAAGTCTTGTTTAAAGATTAGAGGGGTACATATTTACATAACACCCTGTAATATAACATGAACTTGCGTTCTAGAGAACCAACCATCTGATGATGTGGGTGTCTGTAGTGTCAGGAGTGGTGATCTAATTTTCCATATTCATTCAAAATAGTGTAAACATGTTTGTTCTAGATAACCAACCAGCAGTTGATGTGGGTATTCGCAGTGTTAGGAGTGGTGATCTAATCTTTCAGCTTGAGGGAGAGAACAATCAACTCATCCTGGAGAATTCTAAATATTTCCATTTGGAAGCTGATTTGAAAGTAAATCGTAAGGAAATTTGATATGTATTTGAAAGAATTTAAAACCAGTTTTTTATTGTAAATGTTAGTAGGCATACATACTGAATTATATTCCAACTGGTCCTGAAGTCATTCTATACTGTTCTTCTTGATTTAACAACCATTTTCTTTGTTTTTAGCAAATGCAGATAATTTAGATATGCTGAATATACCATACACAGTGAGAATTTATTCTGGGACATCAAGCATAGAGAAGAGATTTCACTACACAGTGACCCTCTCTGGAGATGAACTGTCAGAATCTAAAGTGATAGACCTGGGTGAGATATTACATTACACCTATGTATTCTATAAACTCATCCAAAACATAAAAAATATGGAAAAATTGTGGACTTTGAGGTTCTATTTCCCGGTCCAACTGCATGTTAGATGTAACATATTATGAAAATGTCCTCATAATTTTTTGAACTAAATTATGTAGTTGAAAGTTTATATAGTTAAAGCAATCTATGACATCAGTAAAACATGTATCATACAGTATAGATGCCTTTTGAATTAGTATTAGAGATTGAGTGTCTGTTTCGTCAATGTTTAGTTAAATTGATTTGAGTAATGGAATATGAGTAAATAACATATTCTGGACACAGAAATACAGGTCATGGGTCATCTAACCCACATATAGATGGTACATATTGTATGAAATAATAACTTATTCCCTTCAACATGAGTGCTAACCTGCTGTAATCTATAACTACAGATGTAAGTCTACAACTAGGTATTGCATGTATTCCAGGTCAGCATATATATGTTGATCCAGTAGACTTCCTTGGTATGTGTGGCTCACAGTGGAGAATGGATGTAGAGATTAACCCCAATGATGTAATGCCAGAGTTTGATCTCAACAACAACTACGCTGTCATTGAGGATGTTGGAGTGGAGGGACCATTGTGCAGTGGTCAGTTCTCAACAGAAAAAAATCATTATTTATTGTGAAAATTAATGTAGGATTGTCAAGGCATTTTACATAGAAACAGACAAAATATAATTTTGTATTTTGTAAATTAAATGGTGAATTGGCGAGGAGTTTTACATAGAAACAGAAAAAATCATTTTATATTTTTAGAATTGAATATTTAATATTCAACGGATTTTACATGGTGTATCATTCATATAATTTTTCTTTGTTTTTTTACTGAAGGTGCATTGAGTCTATCTCTAAAGAAGTTGATGGTTGGTCCTGGCTATGAAAATCCTATCTTGTATACTGGTACAACCACTGACTTCCTAATAGATGTGGATATTCTGATTGGTGGAGATTCACCTGACCTGACCTCTGTGACCTATGACATTGTCATTTCATTGGATAAAGCTTGGAACAGCAGTAGTAAAGTGTGGATTGCACAGGGAGCAAATGTGGATTTGAGTTCAGGCTCAGGCATACATACTTGTAAGTAAAACAGTCATTTAGTTGACTTAAGTATTGTGTACAAGGTGTTCACTTGGGTGGTAATTTAGGTTTACAATAAATCAGTTCAGATCAGACCATTGTTTATTTCCAGACAAAGAATTACATTCCTGTCATCAAAATATCACAACTTTTTAATATACGACTTAAACTCACTTGATAGGTTGATTTGAAATTAACACGGATGTCTCTTGCTATGAAAATCTATAATGTGTCATATTTTGACATACTGGGTAAATTTTAAGGCAACCATTTTTTGAATTCTTATTTAGGATATTTAGTATTTACCATATGCCTTGTAAGTTCTTTATGTTTCTGCTAGTTTAATTCAGTTGCACTTAAAATGTCTTCATATAAGAAAGACATGATACTGTACGTTAACCAGTATAGTATACGATACATACAAGTACTAGCATGTAGTTTTTAGCTCACATGGTGAGCTTTTGCAATCACTCACTTGTCTGTCTGTCGGTCTGTGCGTCCGTCCGTCCGTCCGTCAACAATAGTGGCACGTTTTAAAACCTCTGTCGATAGGATTCTCTATTTAAGTTATTTCTGTTCAACATCAATACAGAAAACTCCCCTATGACTCCTGGTTCAAAAGCTCGCCTATTTTCAAAATGGCCGCCATTTTTATTTTTTAAAAAAAAGTTCTGCCTTTTATATTTCCAGTAAGTCACAGAGTATCTATTTTCAAAAGTGAAGATATCACCCATGAAGAATATCACGCAATATGTGGAAAATCTCCATATATAGGCATTCACTTGAACTCCGACAGTGCTGTGTCCAGCTTAGATGATCCAGAAGACATGTCTGCCTGGACACAAGTGAAATTCCTGTGTTCTGACATTTCAGGTTATTATTATATTCATCTTCTGTTGAAATGTTCTATTTTCTTGCATGGATGTTGTATCAGTAATGCTTGTATATATATGTGCTCAATTGGACAGCAAATGTACATGTTTCTGCATACACAAATATGTTTTGTATGTAATGGAGACATACAATAGGTAACTTTTCCCCAAGCTAGAATTCCCTGAGTTGTGTGAGTGCAATATTGACTTGGCATTGGGTTGAACTAAACATTTACCAATTTTTCTGAAATTTGGTCATGCTAGTTTTTAGACTCCATAGAATAATGATTTTTATTATTAAAGCAAAATGAAAAATATTCTGTTTTTGGGACACCAAGGGAGCTACTCCCCCATAAATTTTCTTTTCTTTCTAGGACTGGCTTTATCAAGATTTGAAGTAACTGGTAAGATAAATGGATCCAGCATAAATGAAGACACTAACAATGTCATCGTATTTGATGTGGATGTTCAAAACATTGGTGTGTCTATCCAGGAACCTTTGGAAGCATATGAGAACCTGTTCTACTTTAGGTTGTACTTAATGACAGGTGGGGGACTGGATGACCCTGATTCTGTACTTCAGGTATTCTTCTTACATATGCAGGTTGTCCATAAAGTCTCTTTACAATTACAGTACAAAGTCTGTGTAATGAAGCTTTATGGACACCCTGTATACAAAGATTTTTAAATATTTTACCTTGTCTCTTTTTTTTTTTCTTTTTTTTTAAGGTTAAGTTTTATTTATTTGCAATAAGATTTTACACTTGTTAACATACTAGGAAGGCCTAGGTAAAACATTACATTATTGGCCTCCCTTATATAAAATTTGCAAAATTAACATATATTTATAACGGTTCTCAAAACATGTGTCCTGTCTTTTGTAAGTGTCACATGGTCCTTATGGGAAATGTAAGGAATGAATGATAATGATTGATGAAAGATGGGTTGAACTTTGTCCTTATTATCATGAATTTTTTATAAATAATCAGATGATTTTGTCAATAAGATTTGCTGATAAATTGGTAATTTCTTTGTTACATTCATCTGAAAGTTTACAATCTCCAAAAAGCATAATCTTGATTTTACTAGCCTTTGTTAAAGTGGCAAAGTTGTTATAATTAAAACTAGGCAGCTCCTTCAGGTTTTGGGTAAAAACTTCTCTCAATACACCACCAAGTCAGATAACATCTGTTGTTTTGGGCAGTTTATTGGTGATACCTTGATTTCGATAGACTTGTATTCTTCCCTTTACTGTTGAAAGTCACCATCTGTATGTTGTTTTTAGGGATTTCATTTATAAGCTTATCTTGAATGATCCCTTCCTGTTATTGTTAGTCTTGCAACATTTATGTATATTTCTTGTTTGTCTTCAGATGATTCGCTTAGACAAGGAACAGTGGGAGAACCATGATCCCAGGAATGAAAAGCTGGAGGGTTACTCTGTGAGAAGATACAGAAATGTCACAACCCCTCTATACATAACACAAGAACAATGTATAAGTAAGTACTGTAGTAACACGATATAGTCAAATGGGATCCCTTATTTCAACTTTGAAGTTACATAAAATTTTAAAATGGTTTTCTGTCAAATTAATTGTATTTTGTCCCATGATTTAATATTTTGAATTTCTGTTTATCACTTTTAGGTAGCACATTTATCTGCTTGGATGTTGTGAGAGATGAGGGTGTTTATCCAGCATGGGTGGATGATTTGATTAAAGATAATATAACATGCTATGACCTCAATGCTGGACAGGTTCGCATGTCTTGCTCTGGAGGTAAGTAACAACATACTAGACACCATCTTATAATTGTTTTGCTCTAGGTTCAACACATGAATCAGTTTGTTTTGTGGTTGGTGTAAGTGTTGAAAGGAAGTTTCATTAATTACAGAGTGGAAATTGTTTATGAGAATATGTACTGTTTTTAATCACATTTCCAAAAAGTCTCTTATATTGCAGTTTGTGTACACTTGCTATTATAAGGAGGATGAGTAAATTATAGTGATTGTACATGATTCCAGACATTGGACTTTCAAGTTTAGAGGCCACCTCAGGGTCCCTAGCATACCTGTATAAAGATGTCAACACATCACTCCACTTGGCAACAGTTCTGGAATTCACTGGGAGACCGATGACTGGAAGGTTCCTTCAGCTCCAAACCTTCCTTAGTGATACTCCACATATCACACCAAGTGCTGGGTTTAACAATGGAGTTCCTCTTATACTTGGGAGAATTGTTCTAGATGGCTACTCTGAAGAAAGTAAGGAACTATTCTCTATTTTAAATATGATATCACTTTAAATTGTTATTTATGGATGAAAATCAAGATTACTTTTCCATGAATATATAACTGTTGAAATATTGTATCATTTCATGATTTCATCCATCACTTACTGCTGTACTCAAGGAATATTGAACTGAAGCTTCATAGAAATATACAAAATTTCATTTGCATATTGATATTGAAAGCATATATAAGAGGCAGAATATGTTAAAATGTGATGCGTGGGATATGTTAAATATTCTAAATTGTTAATTAAATGAATGAGATATTCTACCAAGATGTCATTGTAACATGATACTTTTACTTGAAAACCTCCGTTTATTTTAGCTTTAGAAGACATCCTCATGAGCGATACTAGTTATCCTCTATCAGGAGAAATCCCAATTGTAATCAGTGATGCAATGTGTGAGTTAAGTGAGGTGTATGTGTGTATAAAGTATATGATGACTGATGAGGTGCTGGCCCCTATAAATGATACCAATGGCTCCAATGATGCCATCTGCACAAATATCACTGCTCTGCTAAGCTGCTCTGGAGGTAAGGCTATTAATGAACTGGATTATCTCTGAATGCCTAATCAGTACAACAGTATAATCTTTTATTGACTTTGAAACATGTCAGTCTCTCCGACATATGGGTCACTATACATTTTTTTACATGTTTTTTTGTCTACAGTATATTATACACTCATCAGTTATATGTTATATTACTGACCAATTTTAAAGTGATTACTTTATGTTTGTTACAGATACTGTTGATCTAAAGCCAGTTCTACTAGATGTTGGCAGTGGCTCACTCTCCAGTGATGTTGGCAACATGTTTAGTCTACTTGTTGAAACTGCAATAGTTGGAGAAGGCAGGTCTTTAGTCTACAACACTGCGCTCTATCTCTCTGAGGATGATCAACTACAGGGTGACATTGACATGGAAGTAAGAATATTTATCGTCAGTCCCATTATTACTTTCAGAACACCCTGTAACAGCAATGTGCTCAGATTTCATAATGGATTCAATATAACACAAGGTTAAATCCATGTTTAAATATAGCTGAATGGCAAAAACTGTAAACATCCTGTAAGGCCATACCTCTGGATTGTTTTCTTTAGTCTCAAGGCTATTTGAGTAACACAAGTTTTACTGTATAACAATAAAATGTACTACAAAATTAACTTTACATTTAGGTTCCATATGATGGTTTTACTCTTGGGTCTGGCTTGGGAGAAATGAAGCGTTTCTTGCCAGTTGGAGTCCATACCATCAACCTTGGTGGTATCCCTCTCTACCTCCCAGATGATTTGTCCACTAACTACCCACAGCTTTGTGGTGATGTCTACATTATTGCCCTTATAGATAAAGGTAGGGTGAGATATATATAATACATAGGCTCCTTTGGCTCTGTTTGGACAATAATTCAAATACCAGTCGCCACATTTGGTTCATATTTCATAGTCTGACATGTGATGGTTATACAGATGTGAGACCTCAGCTTGAGAAGGAATTTCCAATATGGCTACTCATTTCAAAATGGCCACTATTTTCCATAAATAATGCAATTATGAAATCATGTTACCACTAAACAGTCCACTTTTCCATAGCATGTATGTAAATTTTCTCAATTTTACTTGATGTCAGTTTTGTTAAATTAAAGTTTGAATAAATTGCATTATTGAACTTTGTAGATAACTCAGTGGCAGAGATAAATGAGAGCAATAACTACATTGCTGAACGTGTCTCAACAAACTGTCCTGCAGGTATGTAGATCAGCTTTTATATTTTATATCAATAGGAATGTAATACTATTTTTATGTCAATACCAAGGAGTTATGACTTTTTTCATACCATGGTACCATTACAACCACTGTTTGACTGACTGGAATTGAAGTTAAAAGGACAGTGGCTGTTCATTGGAATCTTTCTCCATTTGGTTTCCAATAACTTATCAGATTTAGGGTAATGGTAGGCCTCGCCAGAGGGTATTCATCTTTTCAAAATACTTACATTTACTCATATTTTAGGATTTATTCTGACAGCAATTCACATATATATGAAATATGTTTGAAAATGACAATGACAAGTACTTTTAATCACCATTCAGAAACATGTGTTCTGATGCATATTAGAGTACAGGGAGGCAATGTCGTCCATGTAGGTATTTGTCTGACACATGACTGCACATACTGAGTGTCCGACAATTACCTACCTTAGTTCGATTGTTTAAGTGAAATGTTCATATTGTTTATTGTCTGATATCCAAGAAAACCTTGCTTCGTGATCAATTTCCAAACATTCTATAAAAAGCCTCTTCTGTTTTCTCCCAGCATACATCACTGATTTTACACTAACATCTCCTTTTTCTAAAGATTTCTTAATAAAACCACCAGACCAGAATTGTCCGAATTCTGTGATCATCAGTGTTGATAAACGTTGAAATTTGCTGAAGCATTGTTTATGGACCGACACATCATTTATTGTGTTCGCCATGATGCCTATTAACATGTTAAACAGCATCACTGTCATAATTATTGTATAAAGAATATAGAAAGTAACGATGTAGTAACCATTGGCAACCTTCATTGTTTTCAAGTCTGCGATTCCCAACATAAGTTTATATGTTGAAATGAGAGCGTTGGAAAAGCTGTCCATATCAGGGGGTGCTCCCCCTTCTGTGTCTTTAAATAGGATGTAGAAGGCAGTGCTGAATCCAATAAGGTATCCAAATGCTATGACGAGGAATCGCAGAACGTCACCGAAGATCATTTTATTGATAGTGACAGTAAAGAATGATGTGTAGGGAATGGTGCGATAGTAGAAGGTCAAATATATGAAACCACATATGATAGAACCTGCAGCTGATAAACGAGAAACATATTGAGAGAGATTCAGGATTTTAAATGAATAGGAAAGGACAAGATTGAATGTGAAAACCAGGTTGGTCACTCCATATAAGCCTGACCCTGTCGCAGGGTTGAACATACGTTGAATCATTTCACTCATTGTCAGCCTAGCTCTGAACAATCTCACCACCATTCTCATCATGATCGCAAACTGGTTGATGAATCCTGTAAGACCATAAAGGATGAAGCAGCACTCTGCACCAAATTGCATCAGTCCCTGCAAACCAACATAGCCCCTTTGTTCAAGAAATCCAACTCCTGTTGAACTGCCGTTAATCCAATCAAATGTGGCATTATTCATAAGTATGAGTTCATCACGTGAAGGGGATATTGTAACATTAACAGCAAAGTATGCTAGAACAGCAAAGTGAAACAGCATCATGAACAAAAGATACCATTTATACATGTTCCAGCGAAGTTGTAGAATCTTCTTCCAGGGCTGCAGAGAGAGCATATTTGGAAGCCGATGAGAGTCAGCGGATGTTGCGACATACATGATCCCAGTTGGCCCTTTGCTCACAGCACCTGGGCACTTCTCAATATCTGTGATGTCATAGTTAACGTACCTTGTTGGCCCATACTCACTATTCACCTCCTTTAATACAGTATTCAGAACAAGCATGACAAATGGGAATTCTCCCCTTTTCATCGCTAGCAACATTGGTGTCATTTCATTGTTATCTTTCATATCTAGGAGATACTCTAATGCCATCTTGCCACTTTCTGCATTATAAATCATCATAAATACATCCTTGACAAAATCTGTTACTTTGTGGTTATCTTCATCACATAGAAGTATAAGAGTGTGAAGCAAGTTATGACCCTTGGAATTCTCCAGGTATACCCCCATGGGGTTGATTTGGAGCAGACTCTTCACCATTTTATAATTACCTGCCCAACATGCTATTTCTAATGAGAGCTCCAATCCTTTAAAGTGCTCCTTAAAGAATGTACCAGTTGCCCGCATTGCCATTAATTCATGGAATTCCTCTTTGGTCAGTTTTTCAGAGATGGCCTCCACAATACGAGGCATGTTCTTTATAACAGTATCATGTAGTAATCCCACTCCATGTTTTTTATCTTTCATGACAGCTCCATTGTCACTTAGCTCTAATAGAATGCATGCAGCCTCATCAAATGTATGTGTGACTGCATGCCTCAGAAGGTTTGTATCATTAGATATTAGCTGAGGATCATATATTCCTGTTATTATCTCTAGTTCCAACAGTTCATGGTATTCATCAGTACACATAGTGAAGCCATTCATGTCATTTGCTTCAATAACCTGTAAAAAAGTATCTCTTAGTTTAGTAACTTTTTCATCTGCTTTGCTTTCACTTGAGTCGTGACAATTGTCATCCTCTGCTTGTGTTTTAATCATATGAGAGATTGTAATGTTTGTCTTGTCAGTGTCATATATATTGTTCTCTTCACTATTTGGTGGATAAAACACCAATTCATTGCTTTGATTCCCTGCCATAGTTCTAAATGAGATGATCTTCACTAATGAGTGCCAGGTTTTAATACATAAAAGATCTATAGATGTACATTATGCTGCTTCGATCTGAAGTAATGGATATCATTAAACACTTGATTATTGTTTCAATACATTAGTAGAAATAATCATTATTAATGTATATGGATTTATTCAGATCAAAGACTCCTCAAACTACCTGCTACTGCTTGTTAGTTCTCTCTTCTTAAAGGATGTTCTCATTTTAATCTTAAAGGCTCATCTCATACACCTCAATAATATTATACTCTCTTTAGAAGAACTGTCTCAATTAATCCATAACATTATTGACTGAATGAATATTTGAGTTGATTTGCCAACAGTGTTCCAAGATCATGGGAGAAGTCCAATGATATTACGTTTACTTGATTTCTTCAGAAATCTGGCATTGTTATTCACTTTTGCTGACTTCTTAAGAAATGAATAGATTTGCTAACCATAATGGAAATGCTATTTCAAATACATGTTGTTTAAAATATACTGAAAACAAATATGAGGGGTGATCAATGCAATTAGAAATAATGGATGCTTTTTTTACATAGACACTTTTAATCTACTACACACCTGTATAATTATTCCCTTTCTTACAAGTGATGCGTTATTCAATTATCTATCAACCTAAAGACAAATCTATGAAACATTATCATTACTTCTATGGGGTATGGGGACCCCAGGACTGACAATTATATAACACATTTTGAAGCTACTTTTAGTGAACTATAATGTTCTAATACAATAAACAAAATATATTAATAAAGTTAATGTAACTCTCTTAATGTAGTCTAAATCATTAATAAATGTATCACTAAGTGGTATTGCAGATTATTTACTCACCAAAGTAGATAACAAAGTGGAAATAATTGAAACATATGAATCCATTAGAGTATTTATTTCCAGTTATGTATAATGATTGTTCATTATTCAATTGCTATGTTGTAATGTCATCCCATTAGACTGAGTACCATATTTTACCAGTATGAATTACTTACATGTAAGTGGTGGTTCATCAGCTATTGAATCAGTATGTTCGTCATCATTAAGGTCTTTGTTTTAGAAATACTGATGAAATAACTGAAAGTTCAGGGCTATCGTTTTGTCAAAAATATTTTTCTAGTATAGTAAAACTTATGTACAGGGTGGTCCAAAAAATGGGACATTCGTATATTTCAAAAATAAACATGAGGAAAACATGTCATATTATATACCAGTGAATAGGGAATTTAAATATCTTTAATTTGGTATATCATAACTTCAAATTTATTATAATACATGTCAACCAGCGTTCATAATACAAACGACGTCATTTTCGTTTCAAAACGGGCTTTCAAAACCTTGCAAAAACCCAAGTTTTTTTGTCAGTAGAAACAGATATTCAATATGTCCACCATTTTGATTACAGAGAGGCATTTGATCCGACAGGTTTCTTCCGAATACCATATATATTTTCCAGAAATATTCAAACTGAGTGAATTGGTGTTCAGGCCCATCCAGCCATTGTTTGCAGTTGATGCCTCTCAGTTTCAATTTGATATCACAGTACAGAACATGAGGAGGAAAACTCTACCAAAAGCAGTCCCTAGTGCACCAAACTACATCTTTAATGTAAGTTAATGTTAATATTTCAATAAAACAGTCACTGATTCTCAAAAAACATATACTAATACAATGTACTAATACCATGATAAATTGTCCAAATGCAAATTTTGCTTTGGTTTATTGATACCATCTCTCTGTCAGTTAAACTATGAGGGCCTTTAACTCAAATGCTCGTTTGTGTACTGATGGTTTTAGAAACAGTTTTGCACACTGAAGATTTCTTCAAAATGTCATCCACTTTTTGGTGCATGTATCCTGGATAAATGTTTTATATTTTATAACCTGCTACATGTGTTTGCAACTTAAGTTAGTATTTTATTATCTATTTAAAGGTATACGCAACTGGGATAAATATTTTATTTCCTATTTCAAGGTATATGCAACTTGGAAGAATATTTTATTTCCTATTTCAAAGTATACACAACTTGGATGAATATTTTATTTCCTATTTTAAGGTATATGCAACTTGGATGAATATTTTATTTCCTATTTCAAGGTATACGCAACTCGGATAAATATTTTATTTCCTATTTCAAGGTATATGCAACTTGGATGAATATTTTATTTCCTATTTCAAGGTATATGCAACTTGGATGAATATTTAATTTCCTATTTTAAGGTATATGCAACTTGGATGAATATTTAATTTCCTATTTTAAGGTATATGCAACTTGGATGAATATTTAATTCCTATTTTAAGGTATATGCAACTTGGATGAATATTTAATTTCCTATTTTAAGGTATATGCAACATGGATAAATACTGAACTAGATGAGTTTGAGTCTCAGATCTTAACCCTCCTGACTGACTTCACCTATCCACCAGAATACTACCAACCTATGAGACCATTTGAAAAGGTCAGATTAGAAGGAGTTACTGCCACTTTGTACCCAGATTTCTTCATTCCTGAGAAATGTGAGGCGATTGAAAAATTGAGAGTGGAGATTATGCCAGGTATAATTTCTTGTTACCTTTTGTGCTCATCTTTGCCTTGATGAATAGAATTATCATCTCCAGAATTGAAGCAGCCTAAGATATTACATGTTTATATTCATGAAGGACCTAAAACTCAGGAAATATAAAAACAAGAAACTGTGCCTAAAATGACTGTTTAGGCCTAGCTTCAGTCTAAGATAAAGGTAATATTGTGTTTTTGGATCTGTTATTTGACTTTGTAGGTGGTGCAGTGAGTTTTACGGAAACAATCTTCCCAGGCCAATGGAGAAGATGCAAGCAGCCAATATGTAAGTACATCATTTTAGGGCTTTGAGGAAATGTTAAATGTACGTACAGTATTAGAACCAATTTACCTGTTTGTGTTTAATGTTTTTGGCTCACATGGTGATATCTTGTTTGACTATATTAAAAAAATTTCAGTATTTATAAAGTTTTGTTCATTCAGCTTTTATTCCCAAAAATGTCCCCTGCCAATTTGGATTTCTATGTTTTATAAAACACTTATATTCAGTCTGTACCTTATTTGCATAATGTTTCCATGTACTATATGTTTTTTTCATGTTAGATTATGGCGATGTTGAGCTTCAAGCACTAACAGCGCCAAGTTCTATCAGAGTACCTGGGGAGCCAAAGCTTCGTCTGTCAGTAGTAGCTAAAGTGGGGGATCTGGCACCAGCCTTGCACCCATGGGACTTTGTAACAAGGCTTTACATGTCTAAAGATAGCATTTTAGATAAAGGAGATGTTCTCTTGCAGAATATGTATAGTAATCAAGGTAATAGCTTGTATTTTATGTACTGGATCTTACAAATTTCAAGAAATAGTCCATGATGTTACATATTTGATAGTACAATGCATTTGCCCATGGCACCCTGAGTAAGTAAAAAATGAAATGACTAGAACTAGAATAAAGATTAATACAAATCTAATATTAATTTGAAATCCAAATAAGTATGACATCTATGTTTTCACAGTGTATGAATTAGCACTGGTTTTTTGGATAGAAAATTATTGTGTTGTAAAGCTCACTTATTCAGATATAAACAAAAGGCAATCTCAGAAATTTCCGCCTTTCCGATATTTGCAGTCTATAGTGTAAGCTCTTACTCTACAAAATAATAAGTGTGTTTCAAAATACTTAATAACACTCTTCTCACTTTTGCAGTGATCCAAGGCTATGCCAAATTATCGCCACTACCTGATGATTTTGTACTTGGTGTGCCATCAGACATGAGCTACTGTGGTCCTATTTATATGATTGCTGTAGTGGATGAGGATGTTGACTTACTACAGAGAGACAGAACCAATGATGTTAAGGTTGCCAAGACAACCATCATATGTGATGAAGGTATACAACACAGAAACTAGAACATCCTACAACCTTCTAAACAATGTGACTATGCAAAAATGTCCCCATCACATCCTCACTCAAAAAAGTAGTCTTCAGCTTCCAACTTGAATAATTTTTATCATTGCCTTAAAGCTTTTCCGTTTCATGGTGTATATACTTTTCCAGATTTCTTCAGTATTTCTAACATGGATTTTGAGAGCTTTGGTGGTACACTGGTTGAGGGGTATACATCTGAGTTCGGTATAGATCTAGAGATCACTTGTACTAAAGAGAATTGTAATGTACCAGCTGCATTTGAGAATATAAGATTCACTCTGGAATCTCACACGCCTTCTAATACAAGGTACATTAATAATGTGAAATAGAATAAGGCGTTTATTAAGTATGTATTTCTTTTAAAATTCAATATTGTTATTTAGAATATAGATATTGGAAAGATTCTTCATCTGAAATAGGTTGTTGACGTTATTAGTCTGTTATCTAGAAGCTAAATGAAAAATATCTATGAACAGAAGAATAATTATGTGAACCTAGGATTTTGATGTTTTGTTTTTACTAGATTTGTGGATATATTGTCAAAATCCTCACGTCAAGTCATCACTCCAAATGAGAAAACAAGTTCAGGAGAATCTGGCGAGAATATGGATTCTGATGTGTCGGGCTCAGGGTCAGGTTTAGTTTCAGGTTCAGGAGTTGGTGACGACTCTATGAATCAAACTGAAATTGCTGACGAGACAACCGGGAAGGATGAAAATGATTTTAAGATGACAGTATCACCAGGAGTTGATGTTGGCTTTAATTTCCAAGGCCATACTAAGAAGTTCCATCTTTCTGGAAACCTCAAGGTTTGGGGACTTTATTCTTATTTTATTAAGATGTGGTAGCATATTGTTTTCGGCAACATTTTTTGTCATTGAGAATCCAGGACAATGATTTCTCCGTCTTCTAGAGCTAATAACTTGTGATAATTTCTAGAGACCTGAACACATTTGTGCCACTCATTCTTTGATGCTTTTCATTGGTTGAACCCCAGAACTAGAAATTATCAGTTCTTTTCAGAGAATTGTGTGGTAACCAATAAGAGTAATAGGTTTTTCCTTCAGGTTCCAAATGGCAGATGTGACATATCCGGCTTCAATACACTGATGTTGTCCTTGGACTTTGGTGCTAGCCTAACTGGACAGGTTGACGGGATCCCAGAGAACTCAAAGATGTCTGTTTCCTACCCATGTGTCAAAAGTAAGAGAATAAATAATGATCTGTGAATTAGTTTATTAGAATTCTGTCAGTATAGGGGTTAGGAAATGGATAAATATCAAAGAAAGAGACAGTGCAAAAGAGATAATTGTCCCCTGGGAAATATGGTCTTCTTTCTACATGTATATACGTGTTACTGGCACTGGTTGAGCACTATACAAATCAGATCAGGGCCAAATACACATGAACACCTGCCTTTATTCAATCTTTGAATGGCTAGTGAATATACTGAGGGGCAGTCCTAAGATTATTCAAAGCCATTAAACATTGAACATATAACCAAGTTGTGAGAGACATTATGAAAGTTTAAGTGCATGAAGAGCAAGCAAGGAGGCTTATTAATTTACCAAACATGTATAGTATATAATGTGCTGTATGGTCTTCCTTTCATATTGTAGGCATAGAGAGAGATCTTGCTGTTGAAAGCTTCGGGCTGTTTAATGGCAGCATACTCTATCCTGGTTCCATTGTGAAGTATGAGGCCAAAGTGAGGCTTGATGGCTTGCCACTCCAGTTATGGGAAGGATACTATCCTGCCTCAAGGTAACAGCAGATAGTAATTTGCATTTGACCTTTTTTTGTTATGTGACCTATTTTTTCAAGCACCTGTCATATAACGATGTAAGACTAAAGTAATAGCATCCCTTTAAATGTGATGTGATGTTATAGCCTCGTTCTGAATTCAATAAATGACTGATCAAGTAGAAACTGTTTCTGTTTATGCTCTCTTACAACTCTGTGTTTATTGTCTCATTACAGCACCCTTGTTAAAAATGATCACCAAAATATAACAAAAAATTATGAAAATCAAAAGAGGTTTTCAAAAGGTGCATTATGCATATCAAAAGAAATTACCGTGAATGTTCATGTCAATTCACTGCAATGTATACTCACTGAATGTTTAGGTGCAATATTGCTCAAGTTGATGTGTACCTTGTTTATTTCAGAATGCAAGTCGATGTGTATGTATCTGAGGATGATAAGCTGGATAATGGGGATACACCACTGTATGATGGTATGACAAGAGGTCTAAGTCGCCTGGTCAACACACAGTGGAAAGATGGCCAGATTAAGACCTTTCAAGATTTAACAGGTAATATATGATGCACTCTGTGTTCTCAGCATAAGAGGAGCTGCCTTCTTGAAAATTCAAAAATCAATTGTCATAAAACTCAGTCTGTTTGCATCCTGCCAGATGGATGTTATTTTCAGATATTTTGACCAAATCAAAAAGAATTTAGATTATTATTCATAAATAATCTTAATACATTTCATATTAATATATATGACTAGGGAGCTTTGCTAGATCACTTATACATATAAAATGTATGTCATTATAATATTAACAATAACTGTAAGTGAGCATTTTATCTACATGACTATATATTTCAGGTATCATCGTTCCAGCAGGACATTGTGGAAATCAGAACATTATCTTTTATGTAGATACAAGGAATCAGATCAAAGAGACTTGGAAGAGCAATAATATAGCCAATGTTCCAGTGTATGTGAATTGTAATAAAGGTATGTCACAATATACATTGTATTCTATCCTAAGTTATATGGTTGTACTTGACGCTTATTAATTTCTGATCAAGGTAGAGCAGTTCTTCCTATATTTGAGTTAAAGAACTGGTATCCTTATTAACTGATCATAGACAGTTCCACTTTTGCACTCACCTATAATCAAAAGTAAAACTTGTCTAATCCAAACATAATATAATTACTTGTTAAACATAACTCTCCACACCAATATATCATTTTTCATGTCCTTGAAAAAATGTAGATGCTCCACATCTGGCTAGGCTAATGTATTTTCTATTATATTCCAGATATGATTGCCCTGCGCTCAGCTAGCCTACAACAACCAGAGTTCATATGGCAGAATACCCCTGTGACCTTGACCTTAGATCTATCTATTGTGAATTCAGGGACACAGGCCATTGCTCCTTGTATCAACTGTAGCGCTATCTACTATGTCTTGGCACTGTCTAGAGATAATCAGTTTGATGTCTCAGATAAAGTACTAACTGTCAATGTTCGAGTCCCAAAAGGTACTGTCATTTTACCTTTTATGTTATACCATACCTTGAGACCTCACTGTTGCTCTTTTATGGCACCCAATGTAGATTTGCGGTGTCATGTCTGTGTAAGGTTGCCAAAGCAACAATGGCATATGATATATAAAATTTTTGGGACTTTTTGTAAAAATACATGTCAAACAATGTTAAATAGTTCAACTCGTTAAGATCTACCAAGAGCTTGTACAGTTTAGTGCTGGCCAAAATTGGGGGTCTGAAAACATCTTTTAATCAGCTATAATTAGTCATCTCCTTCAATGTTTTCAGATGGAGCACTCCAGGCCCAGCGTGGATTAAAGCCTGATGAGACTCTTGAGATGTTAGGACTGACATTTGATCTGACTGTGAACCCTACTGACTGCATGGCCTATTCTTATATGATAGTGGGTGTGCTGCCTGGGAGCCACCATCTTACCACAGAAGAGTACACAGAGAATAACTACTATCCCACTGGATTGAATCTTTTATGTCAAGGTGAGTGACCCAAATACAAATCATGGCCGTTTCATGTCTGTAATGATCAATTTCCCAGTCATCTACACAAACTAGTAATAGAACAGTAAATATTTCAACCGAATATAAATTATTACCATCTTTATTTGAGGTGTAACTGTGTTCCAAATCTTGACTATTTCTCTGATCTTGAACATACAGTAAAACCTCTGTAAACTGAATCCCAATGGGACTGGCCAAGACTGGCACATTTGGAGGTATTAGCATGGTAGTCGAGGGAAAATAGAAAATTGGACCAAAAATTGTTCACATTGGGAGGTGTTCAGATTCGAGAGGTGTTTAGATCTATAGCTACCTACTGTAATCTCTGACAAGTAATGAGAGGTCCCAACTTCTGTTTCAGATGCCACTGATTTGTATGTAGAGTCATTTTCTATGGAAGGTCCAGTTGACTTAGGTGAGACTGTCATGTTCTCTTTGGCTGCTCAGCTTACACATGACAGTGATGAGGAACTAGGTAAGTCAAACCATGTCAATATGTAAAATCTAGAATTTTAGATTTTAGGAAGTTAACAGGGGATATTATATAAGGTAGGATTTTACTGGTGTTACCAGGTTTTCATTTGGTATATGTGTATTGGACATGTGTGTATTGTAACACCTGTTTTAGTGGACTTGGCTTACAAGTACTTAATGGCAAGCCACATGCTAGTGTCTGCTTGTTTCAATTAAGTTTGTGATGTTAAGATCGGAACATCTTAATGTTTAAGTATTTTTCATTGCATTTTAGTAGGAATTTCGGAATGTGCAATAAACGTAAGCTACATGTAGTTATAAGCCAAAAAAATTCTGATGTTATTGTCTGATTGCATATGGTCAACAAAGTCTAGCTCTTGTAATGGAAGACTCGTAAGCTACTGAGGGAAGAAAATCAAAATGCACCAATTTCATTATAAATTATATTTATTTCATATAATACTTTAGTTTACTCATACCATAAATTCAGCATATAATTTCTTCTGATTCCAGAATATTTTAAGTATTCCTTCTGGCTGTCACTTGATGATGAGTTCCAGGCTTTGGTGGACAGTCCACTTGAGTACACAGTGCCAAGCAACAAACCTTTCATCATGGCCCCTTCAGAGTCCACTATCTTAGACCTCAGCAGGTATGATAATACAGTACATGGTTATCCAAAATGCATTTATGTTTTTAAGTGTGCTTGACATTGACAACAGGATATCTGATGATTCTTGGCATGTAAGTCATACATATGCAATGTTGATGTGGGCAGGTTGCTCTATAGCTCAAATTGTAAGCCCATTCTGACATGTAGTTGGGAGGTTGGGGGTTCGATTCCCATTGAGGAGTAATATGACCTTTTTGCACCATCCCTAAATAAACTGCATAGAATTTGATCCATAGTTACTTAGCACCAAATAGTGAGTTTACCAACACTTAAAATCCAATTTTGAATTCTCAATATCTAAGATACATTCAGTCCAATTTCAGTCAAATCCCACTTCTTATAAAATGTTAATGTGAATGCTGTGTATATTGCACATGTGGTGTCCACAGTCTTGTGTTTCTTTCAGCTATGATGATTACACTAGTCTAGTTATACCAGAGAGCACTGATAAGATGTTCTGTGGTGAAGTGTATGTCATAGTTGTACTAGACTCTGGCACTGCTGTTAAGGAGATAGATGAGGGGAATAACTGGCAGGCTGCTCCTCTCACTATAGTTTGCACAGGAGGTTAGTATCACTATATATAATCAGTACAGTATATTCACTGTCTCCTCTAACACTGATGCAGTAAAACCCCTTGTTTTAGACCAAATATCCAACTTGACAATGTGTCGCCTGAATTGTCATCCAGACTGCTGCTTTAGAGAATATCATTCTAAAAGATTGTATGAACCCTGACTTAATGTGTATGTGAATATTACTTTCAATTCGATATATAGTGTATTTTCTTCCAGATATGTTCTACACCTCAAACTTCCAGTACCATCTGTCAACAACCAAACCCTGGCAAGAGGAGCTCTTCAGAATGGAGATAAATGTTGATGTAAGATGTCCATTCAGCGCTAATTGTCCAACTGCAGCTACTTCACCTACAGTATCTTTTCCTGTTCATTTCAACTTTTTATTGAAAGTGAGTCTTAGTTTTATAATTCAGAATTCATTTTATTAAAAAAGAAATCCAGGACATTCTTATTTTTAAAAAATCTCTCCAATCCTTCGTCATCCATTTGGCTCATATGATGAGCCTATGTACAGTGTAGTTCCTTTCTGGCCCATGTGTCTACCTGTCCTTCTGTCAGTCATTTCCCCCACCACTGGCATTTTCTAGTTTGTCTTCTGATTTAAGCTGTATGACAGTGAATTCAATGAAGTAGATATGATGAACCCTGGTAGAATAGATGCTGGTTGGGTTGTGAACATGGAAGGAGATGGTGATACATTTACTCTATTTGAACCTCTGGCTGGATTACAGACTGACTTTACATTGCAACCAGGTGAGACAATATTCCAGGATTTAACACCATGATGCCAAATATAAGGCACTCCATTATCCAAAATTTCTCGTACCGGGTATTTTTCACAAAATAATAATAGGTTAAATTATACTTACTGGTATCAGGAGTATATGAACAAGGATTTCTTGTAGGAAATTCCCAGCATTTGAGAATGGCTGGAGTGTTCAGCTTTGACAACATCTACACATGCAGTCAGGTGATGTATATTGGACTGATCCTTGAGCCTGGAGACAGTGAAGAAGTGGCCAATGGGAATTGGGGAATCACTGAAAATGACATCAGGATTCAGCCATTTGAGTTAAACTGCAATCCAGGTATGTATACTGGAATATATGTATTTGTTTGATTGATTATTTTCCCAACTAGGACAGATATGATAACAGTTTTACCTGCCAGAATTTTGTATGAGCAAACGAAATTACTTGAATATTATGTTTTAAAATACAGGGTGGGCATAGTGAATAAGAGTTCTGTCAACCCTGTATTTTATGTATTGGTTTGATCCATGTTTGTGATATTTCAGATATCAAAAAGTGTAGTGAAGCAGTTTTGCTCACTGTATTTGCTTTTCTGACCTTTCCAATACAGCAATTATATTCAGGTTGCATTTGCAGTTGTCATTTGACATGAACCTATTCAATGTTTCAGCCGCAATTGACTTCTTTGTGTCAGACTTCTCACTAGATGGTCAGCTAGAAGATATCCAAATTGAAATGAATCGGGATACTATCCTCTACCTGTTGTTTAATGTAGGTGTCACCATACCGCACACAGTTCCAGACATCCCTGCTGAGGGGCCACTTATAGGGGCCAAGATGTACCTCTCTGGTCAGTAACACCTATAAACAAGATCACATTGGTAAACTTTGGGGCAAAATGTTTTTCATTTGTTGGTAAAATAGACAACAACATTGTTCCCTCCATTTGTCAGTTTCTTGGTCCATCATATATAACATGTAGAATTCTTTCAACCACAAAATTATTATTACTTTCAATTGTCAAATCATGTATTTCCAATATGTTAAACTTGTCAATGGACATCAATTTTTTCTGCCTGGCTGTATCAGTTCTTATAATGCATTTACTGGCCATGTTTCTAGAGGATGCCACCATCGACAGAAATGATATCGACATTGGGTACAATTTCACTGAGACAGATCTTGAGGAAATGCAACAAAAAGATTTCATTGATGGCCAGGTGTATCAATTTACTCAAGTCAGCTTTCAATTACCCAAAGACCCATTGATGAAATTCTGTGGGCAGCAGGTGAGAAAATTAAAGAGGCTAGCGAAGATCTTCAGAGAGGCAAATTTTAATAGTTGAGGCAAAGCTTAACCTCCATCCGGATATGTGCCATGAAAAATTTTGTTTTTAGGCTATGCATTTTTTACTATTCATCTGTCTGTAGTTCTGTATGTGTTTTAGGTGTATTTGGGTATATACCTTGATCCTTATGGGGAGTGGTGGGAGACGGATGAAGCAAACAACATCAAGCATGTACAAATAACCGTCGCCAACTGTCCAGGTGACTAATTCTTACCCTTAACAATATGTTTTTAAATGAGAGCTTTATCATCTAAGATATTCATAGGGTAGTGTTTTAATGCTAACATCTTGGTCTCAGGCTAGTTAAGTCCATATAAGGATAAAACTGTTTTTTATTTATCTGGTGGCTACATCTGGTGAAGAATCTCCTCTCATGTAGCCACAATCTTTTTTGAAAAGTAATGTTCCTACAGAACAGGTTTTATAATCCTACAGTACTTTGTTGATTATATTAATGTAACCATTCACCTCATATTTCAATTATCTATTGAAATATTTTAGAAATAAATCCTTTATTCTTTAACTGTAGATGGGTTTGATCTGGTTATGAGAGACTTTGAGGCTTCCGCCGTTGCTACGTCAGGTTCCCAGTTAGAGTTTGAATTGGCTGTTGATCTGGTTACTGTAGGGCCAGGTCTACAGCCTAGTGCATTCAATGATACACTGCAGAACATATATCTAAGTGTAACACTATATGATGGTACAGGACAGGATGAAGGTGGGTGGTATAGGTTACTTCAGAAAAGATTATTGTGATGAATGATTATGTAGTACACTAAAACCCATCTAGGGTGAACATTTTTGGTACAATTTCGGGATTGTTATGTCACCACCAAAAAGTGGTGACATTTTGTTATGGTCTCTGTTTTTTGTAGAGTGCTTTGAGAGCACTGGATTTACATATAACATATTATATGTAGGAATCAAAAGTTACAGATGTGGTTATCATAGTGATCTACTACTGTAGATGCTCACCTATTTTAGATCACTATGACCTTTGAGTCATGGAACAAATATAGAATATCAGTTCACTTTAAGTTATATTATTTTCATCAACTTGTCACGTCAACACGAGTGAGTGAAGTAAATGTAGCATTAGACATTGGTTCTTTAGAGACCTTCATCTCCACTGTAATAGTTACTAGAAGCCTCTGTGCTTCAGAGTTAATATAGACCTGGGTTTAATACACTATTGTTAATTTTAGGTGTTGAGATAAGGTATGACTCCAATGGGGTGGATGGTTTCATTGCTAACTTGACTGCACCTATCTCTGAGCCTGGTCAGGCACATGTTAGTCCACTGAATCTGGAGAATATACCACCCATTGATATACCAGGAATACAGAGCTTCTGTGGAAAATCTTGGTAGGTGTTACCTTTAAAACAGGCTGATACAAATTCATGAATATTTCATCAAACATATGTAAATGGAACCTAATACATGACAGCTAAACTACTTCGTTACTAATTAGTTTTTTGACAAAAATCCTCATTTCATAGCATATGATCATAATTTGTGACTTGACCTTTTCAACACACATAACAGTATTAGTGTTTCATATTAATGTTCTTACATTTTATTATGTAGGTTGATGGAAGTAAAAGTGATGTTTCTACCTGATACAGTTGACGATATGAATGAAATGAATAATCACTTCAGACACCATATAAATATTATTTGTGCAGGTAACAATAATCACTTCTGGCACCATATAATTGACAAATATTTTCTTTTATCGTATGATCTGTAAAATAAAGCCTTCTGATTGGTCAGTTCTTGTGCTGTACCAATCTGTATTGCTACTGAGATTTTTCCCCATTGATCATCTCCGTCGCAATACAGAAAATATTGGTACGGAGGGGACATTCTCAGTAGCAATACAGAGGATCACACGATAAAAATGTTTTCGTCTCGTTCAAATACAGAATTTCTTAAGCAGAATATATCCTGTATTCCACTTCAAATGATTCATTAAGTTATATTATCAGTGATCATCTAGGTTATTCTGCTAAATTAATATTTGCATGATTTAATGTTATTGAAGATGACCAGCTTACGTTAGTGGACATTCAGAATGTACAATGGCCAGAATCCTGGTGGCCACTGTCTGAGAATGAAGTCCAATTTACGGCTGAAGTACAGAATCTCGGATACTCAACAATCTCTGCAGATTCTTGGCTTTACAAGGTACATGTTTTGTAATATTGAGCCACTGGCTCTGTATACATGTAGTTGTTTCATTTGTAATTATAATATTTTGATAATTTAACCTGTCATTTCTAAATAAATGAAATCCTGAGAGTTCTATGTATAATAGCACTAAGTATCTAGGGCTGTTGCTTGGTGTATTAGACCTTCCATTCATTCTATATTTGCAGTTGGAGCAGTTTTTCTCCTTAGATGATATATTGGATGAAGATGAGGATGTCAAGACAAATGTTTATGAAGACAGTGAAGTGTATGAGTACCCGGGAATGATAGCACCAAGAGCCAAAGTGAAAAGTTCAATGCTAGCAGGTAAACAATCACTTACATTTGGTACATTTTAAAGCTATATATAATATGATATAATATATAATATAAGAAAGTTCAGAGAATTTATTACAATGGAGGGAAGTATATTCTGAACGATAAACCACCAGACCAGTTAATCAGTGTATGGTGTATTTTTGTACAGGTGTACTACAGATTCCAACTATGTCAATGTGTCAAGATGCCATGGCAGACTGGTCTAATCCAACCATGTTCTGGAGGTTGAAACCTAACACCCCTGAGCTGTCACTTTTCACCGGAAATGACATTGTTCAATACCCACTGGACAAGTCCATGTTTCACTGCCAGGAGCAACAGGTTGATCTGTCCCTCAGTGGGTTCAAGCTTGAGGAGAACTACAAAGAAAAGATTGAAAAATTAGAAATGTTTGCTTATGAACTTGACATGTCTGTTCACAAATTTGGTGGAGGTTAGTTTGACAATGAAATAAACAGCTAGATGTGTTCTTGCAAATGTGCATGTATACCCATTTGCTGTGATCTGTCATACTTGTTCTTTTTACATACATGTTAGATGAAATTAAAATTGTTGATGATGTTAAAATTGTCTTTTTAGAGTATGGTGAATAGTGGAACAGACTTTTTTTCATTTCTCATTTATTCCATATACAATTTGAATAATAATAATATAATATATAAAAATACAATTGTAACATGGCCATTTTCACATTGTTTATATTTCTTCTATTCATATTGACCAATCCCCATCCATGTCATTTTAACAGGTCCCTTCATTACTTTACACCAGTTTCAAATATTTAATTACAATGTTTTCATTTCTTTTGTATACTTTCTACTTGAGCTTCCTTTGTTTAAACCAGTTTTTTAGCTTTTCATGGTGTGATTGTTTCATACTGTTTTTGTATTCCATATAATAGCATTCACTCACATGTAGCTGAGTTGGGGTGTTGTCCCTTTACTAGTTAGTGTTGCCTAGAGTTTTGTAACTGTCATACACAGAGTATTTCAAATAGATATTTTAGAAGACATTTTAACTACATTTCTACTGTTATATTTGATTGCCACCCAAATGTTTTTCAACATTGTTGGCAATATACAAAACATATCAAACTTCAAATAATGGAAATACAATAGATTAGGTTTTCATTGGAGTTTAAGTTTTGGAAACTGTTGAGAAATCCTAAGGTTTTTAGTCCTGCTTGGAGAGTGCATCTTTCTTGTTGCAGCAGAGGGCAGTTTAAAAAAAAGTGATGTGTTGTATGCTGTTTAGCACCACATATACAAAATGAGTCATTTACTGTTGCAAAGTTATGGACATATAGATGTGCTTTTAGAATCAGACCAGCTCTAAATCTATTAAACAAAATTCACACTTCATTCAATCATGTCAATGCATACATGTATCTTCAACAAAGATAAATAACAATGGTGAATTAAAACACAACATAACCACCTTCTCGATCCTACAGCATATATAAGACTTTAGTTTTGGAGTGTTCTTATGTCTGAATATAGACTCCTACCTCAGGGCTGTTCTGTTTTTGTATTCAGGTGAAATCCCAGCAGCATCTGTAGTAGACCGTAAAGACTTGAGTATTGGACTGTACTTCTATCTGAGTCTAGACTCCCACCTCAGTATTGATGACACCAAGCTCTACTACGAATACACAGACTCACAGAGTAGCATCTTAAGACGAGGTATCTTGGATGAGATGTTGGATACTGTAGTACTAAACATAGGTGCAGATAACATGATGATAAATGTCTTTGAACATGAACAATATAAAAAGTATTGTGGAAAAGTGAATATTATTGCCAAGTTAGAGAATTTGAAGTCATTGACTGTGATTGATCCAAATTTGGTGAAGAATGTACAGAGTGTTCCCATATTTATACCATGCGATGGTGACACATTTCAGTTGACAGGGTTCACCCTGCAGCCACTTGTACCTTTCCTTTATAGTGATGTTGACATTCAAGTACATATCAGTGCACATATTAATCAATATGGTGAACCAATTATCGCAACTATAGACAACAGAGCCAATATTCAACTGAATCTTTACCTGTCTGAGGATAAATATCTAAGCTATAAGACTGACTCGGAGGTAGCTATTGTTGAAACAGACGACTACATTAAAGATGCTCTTAGTGGATATATTGAAGAGGACCTCTTGATTGATGGAGAAATGGTTGTAAATGTGCCTCTAGGGGCATGCACTCTGCCATATTTAATCCTTATGCTTAACCCTGGAGTTGCCATAGATACGAAGGACATGTTTCCCAATAACAACTTTTATGTGTTGGACATATCTAGCATGCTACGCTGCAGCTCTAGTGCCCCTGATATCCGTGTGGACATGTTCAGTATAACATCACTGCACCATACATCCCCACACCAAACATCCCTGCAGGACATCCACCTGGGCCATCACTATTCATTTAACCTCCAGGTCTCTGTCAACGTTCCAGTGGGAATGTCCCTGGGCAAAGAAGATGAACAACTATTCAAGTTTCAGTTTTATGTGTCATTAGATAGGGTTCTAGATGATGAAGACTATGCAATGGACTATAAGGGTTTGTTACAAAGAGTCTACACTGATGGTGTATTCACGGGTTCAAGTTCTTTGATACTGGACAGTACATTTGAGCTGTTGTACATCCCATACATGCTGGATGTTGGACTCTGTGGCAGGGTGTACCTCTTGGCAGTTGTAGACAGTGAGAAGTGGATAGAGGAAACCTCAGAATATAACAATGTTTATCCACTACCTGTTGATCTTCTATGCTTACATGGTAAGTATGCTAACATAGATACAGCTGTAGGTTCCTTTACGAATTCATCTATTTTCTCCTTTTAGTTCATGGATTAAAAGATTCCATACTCAACTTTGACATCTGTTACTAAACATTACATTGACTTTCTCAATTTGTGTGTCTAAATCAAAATGGACCAACTAGCTAATCTTGGCAATGTCCCATTGGTTATGACTAGTCAAGCATACCATTATGGTAAAACATATGAACTAGTACAAGTATAGTAATCTTTGGTTAAAAAAGGATGTACATTATATCTTACTTTACACATGTTTATCACTTAAACAACTTGTACATCTCTAACTCTAAATGTCACTTACACAACCCTTAAATCAGTTGCCTACCTGTACAAATCAAATTACTTACTAAATCTCTTTACACCATAACATTGCATTGCAGATGTATTTGATATGACAAATGAAGCTGTGTATCCTCTGAATCCTTTCCACAAAGCACCTGCATTATTGGACCTTGAGTTCACCCTTATCAATCTACTAGAAATGGACCTCATAGCAGATGAATTCTATCAGCCTTTTGATATCAAGGTGTAGTGTGCAAATTGTAGTGAAGTTTAATGCTAACTATCAAGGTTTGAAAGCTTTTACAAACCATATACAAACTTTTGAAATGCATGGCACTTGTTAAAATACCACACATTTTGTCCACATTTAAGTTTAATGAAGAATTCTTGAAAAAATATAATGTCTTCAACTCATTTAAGTTGTATGAAGAATTCTTGAAAAAAATAAAATAGCTTCAACTCTAATTGGAAACACATCACAATGACACCTTAGTTCCTCTTTCCTTATTGATAAAAATTAATCTAAATTTGACAGTTAAATGACCCCTCCTGTTGAGCAAGAAACAATATAAGATTCAGAAGAAGACACAAAAACAAGCAGATCAATAGTCAGTGAGCAAATTAGTTATAATAGGTCAAAGAACAAACCCTGACATCATGTCAATTTTTCTAGGTGTATGTCACTAATGAAAATAGTGATGATAAATTGCATCATGATGTGTCACCCAAGCAATGGTTTTTCACAAAAGGACGGACACCATTTAATGTTGATGTCATACCAGCTAGGTCTGCAACAACTTTCAAGTAAGTCTATATTATGATCCCGCCAAAAAAAGATTGAGTTGTCAACATCTTTAAAGCCATTCCACAATGCCCTATGAACTCTATCAAAGAAATGTGGTATCGTTGCAATATATGATTGTAATATGCCATTTTACAGTGTGTCTGGTGAGATAGACATCACAACAGCATGTGAGGCATCAATAGATCCTATCTTAGAAGACCACAACAGTCTTGTTAGTTATGCTTTGCTAGTGTTTGAAGTGCGCCTGGGTCACAGTAGTTATGTCAATAATGTAGTGGAAGCAGTGTTCGACAATAATGTCTACAGTGTTAGCGTGGAAGTCAACTGTGAAGATGGTAAAGTCATGGAATAATATTTATACTTGTAATATGGAGTAATTGAGGGAGATCTCACTACTGGTAACCTACAGTATGGATAGTGTAACTCCTGTACTTATAAACTCTACTTATAAACTAAACTCTTTTGGTGACAAACACATACAAGATACATCAATGGATGTGACAATGAAAGTGACAGTTTTAATACAGTATTGATTAAGGCATTGTTTTTTAGACAGCACTGATTTATTGGGAAGTCCTGACAAACCCTTTTCTCTGGTGTCAGGAGATCTTGTGTTTGGATTCAATCCATATAACTTTGCAGTCAGGGCCAAGGTATCAGGTATGTTGTACATCATGCATTGAGTACATAACATCTGAAAAAATTGCATATTTTGGATAGGCATATTATATTTAATAACCACTGCCTTTAGGCTTGCTGGGAGGTCCCCAATTTTTTATTTAATGTACATGTTATCTCAATGCATTAAATTCATTGGAAGATGGCATGCTTTTCTAAATTGACTTTTGATGAAGCAAAAATGCTTCTTTAAAAATTACAGAGACAAAGCTGAATCATAACAATTCGACAAAATGTTTCAGGTCTAGATGGTGGATGGGGAGTTCAGTCGAATGATCAACCAATGATGTTTGACTTCCTATTCATTCTGGAAGCTGGTGGCATCCAACAGGGTGCTTTCTTCGATACTGCAGTACACATGGATGTGATCAATGAGAAAACAAGAGCCACAAGGGACATAGATCTTTCAGGTATAAACCTGTTACAACAGAAATAAAATTGTTATAAAGTAACATTTTACATGAAGTAGAAATCTGCTCAAGGAAATGCCTTTATCATGGAAACGCCTTGTCTAACTTCAAAATAATATAATAAGTGGATATGGGAGTTATTCTATAACTTTTCCCAGTACTGTAGGTGTATATGTTTATTTTATTTCAGCCCCAGAAACTAACTCTGGCTTTGTCATCACACAATTAGAACATCTCTACTTGTGTAACTACCCTGGTCAAATAAAGGTGGCAGCAGTGGTAGATATACTTTTACAGGTTGATGAGACAAATGAAGATAACTTCAATGATATTAATACATATGTAACTGGAGTGTCCATGCGCCCTGATCAGTGTAATGGTGAGTACTTCAATGATATTAATACCTACGTTACTGGAGTGTCCATGCGCCCTGATCAGTGTAATGGTGAGTACTTCAATGATATTAATACCTACGTTACTGGAGTGTCCATGCGCCCTGATCAGTGTAATGGTGAGTACTTCAATGATATTAATACCTATGTTACTGGAATGTCCATGCGCCCTGATCAGTGTAATGGTGAGTACTTCAATGATATTAATACCTATGTTACTGGAGTGTCCATGCGCCCTGATCAGTGTAATGGTGAGTACTTCAATGATATTAATACCTATGTTACTGGAGTGTCCATGCGCCCTGATCAGTGTAATGGTGAGTACTTTAATGATATTAATACCTATGTTACTGGAGTGTCCATGCGCCCTGATCAGTGTAATGGTGAGTACATGTACTTCAATGATATTAATACCTATGTTACTGGAGTGTCCATGCGCCCTGATCAGTGTAATGGTGAGTGCTTCAATGATATTAATACCTATGTAACTGGAGTGTCCATGCGCCCTGATCAGTGTAATGGTGAGTACATGTACTTCAATGATATTAATACCTATGTTACTGGAGTGTCCATGCGCCCTGATCAGTGTAATGGTGAGTACTTCAATGATATTAATACCTATGTTACCGGAGTTTCCATGCGCCCTGATCAGTGTAATGGTGAGTACTTCAATGATATTAATACCTATGTTACTGGAGTGTCCATGCGCCCTGATCAGTGTAATGGTGAGTACTTCAATGATATTAATACCTATGTTACCGGAGTGTCCATGCGCCCTGATCAGTGTAATGGTGAGTACATGTACTTCAATGATATTAATACCTATGTTACTGGAGTGTCCATGCGCCCTGATCAGTGTAATGGTGAGTACTTCAATGATATTAATACCTATGTTACCGGAGTGTCCATGCGCCCTGATCAGTGTAATGGTGAGTACATGTACTTCAATGATATTAATACCTATGTTACCGGAGTTTCCATGCGCCCTGATCAGTGTAATGGTGAGTACTTCAATGATATTAATACCTATGTTACTGGAGTGTCCATGCGCCCTGATCAGTGTAATGGTGAGTTAGGAAAATACATTTCTGATCGAGTACTTTGAAAATATGTACATCCTTCTAATCCAGGATTCAAATGAATATTCAAGAAAATTTGAATACTGATTTAAACATTTATTATTACAAGTGTGTGCACTTGTTTTGTGGGAATCTCAACTTTTGTATACAATAACACATGAAATGATGAATGGCTGTCATTCGGCTGCTTTAGTAAGGATTACACAGTGACAACTTGATATCCCTCATGAATAACAGGATATCCTCTGAATTACAGATGATTCCATAGACATCAAATTGCAGAAGTTCACCATAGACAATTTACAAGCTGGAACTTATATGCCTGGTCAGGAACTCTCATATACCATAGATATACTTGTCACAACCACTGGGAATGCAATGTTTCCTCAGAAAACAGGACTAGATACCAATTTTGATATGATGTTTGTGTTGTCTAATGATCCCATATTTGGGGGAGATGATCTCATTCTACCATTTGGGGAAATGAGTTCAGAGCAACTCAAGGTTTTACAGGTAAGAGATTATCCTGGCAAATAATGTTTAGCTTTGGGTTAGATAGTAGATTAACTATCCTTTCAGTTTGATTTCTTCAATTATGCAGTGAGATTTTTGAAATTATTGGGATGATGCAAATTTGTTACCAAGTTTGATCTATCATCATAGTGATCTGAAACGATGTACAACCAACATAAACACATTTTTGTTGAATAAAATAAAAACAGTCGTTTTACCTATTTGAACATTTCTTTTAGGCTGAAATAGGTATGAAAAGCACAGTGACCATTGACTTGAGTGGGTTTGGACTCTCTATTCCTCTTACAAAGTCTGTCTACCAGTACTGTTGGCAACACCCATACCTCGGTGTACATATAACTGCAAACAACAAGACAGAGGACAACATGATTAACAATATACAATTCTATAGATTCATATTAGATTGTGGAGGTAAGAATGTAACTATAACAACTTTAAAATTTGCAATAAATGCTACACATACACTGACATAATCTGTTTCACCAACCATTTTTGTTAACAAAGCAGACTTTAAAAACTTTTAAAGAATTTTTCTCAAACAACTGGCTGATTATTTACGAATTACTAATGGGTTTCAGATTCTGTGAATGAGTGTGACAGTGGTGTTCACAACTGTGACATACACGCCACATGTACAGACCTTCCTTACAGCATAGACAGTCTCGCTGGTGCAGGCTTTCAATGCACGTGTCTCACAGGATTTGCTGGAGATGGATTCACCTGCGTAGGTCAGTTATAAACATCTGAGACTAACATGAAATATTATTTTATGTTAGTCTCAGTAAACATGTACATTACAAATGTATTGATTTGTGATGTTTAATTACGTATGTGTTTGATTTATTGGGTCAACCGCAATTAACCAATAAATTGAAACTAATTAAAAATTAGTGTTGAAAGTGGTTTACTTGAACTGTAGTTGAATTGTTATTAAATAATAATGAAAATATTTATGTCTTTTCTATATTTCAGATATTGATGTATGTGCTAATGTACATGTACTTGTGTATTAATATGTTTATTGTATGTTTCAGACATTGATGTATGTGCTATAGATGACACCCTTTGTCTTACTATACCTAACTCCCACTGCCTAGACCTTGCTGGCACACACCAGTGTATATGCAACAAGGGCTACTCTGAACATGTTGACGATGGTTACCAAGTTTGCAGTAGTAAGCTAGTTCATAAAGTTCTTGTCATGAAAATGCATAGATTCAGGATTCATTTATCGTATTTCAAATAAAACAATGCACAGTGCAAACCTAAATGCTAGCAGATAATATTTGCTATTATCACTAAAAAATATTTTGAAGCCTATGTGTGAACCAACAAGGCTCACCTGAAATTATCTTTTTATTGCTATTTTTGCTTTTATAGTCACCAGACATGTACGCACAAGTGCCAAAACTTTGCTTATGTTGTTTTTTATGCCTAACTTTTGCTGTTGATTCCCATCCACCATGTAAATGTATTCTGCTACTGATTGGCACACTTCATTTATTTAGATATAAATGAGTGCATGGAATCTGACCTACCCTGTAGTGAGCATGCAGAGTGCAAAGATACTGATGGTAGTTTTACATGTTACTGCAAAGATGGCTTCCAAGGAGATGGCTTTAATTGCACAGGTACAGACACATTTTATATAAAGTGCCATGATGCCAAGTTTGATCTACGTTATGAACGTCAAAATATTATTTCAAATGGAATCAAAAGCTGTTTTTAGCTCACATGGTGAGCTTTTGCAATCACTCACTTGTCCGTCTGTCTGTCCGTCCGTCAACAATAGTGGCACGTTTTAAAACCTCTGTCGATAGGATTCCTGTTTTAAGATATTTCTGTTCAACATCAATACAGAAAACTCCCCTATGACTCCTGGTTCAAAAGCTCACCTATTTTCAAAATGGCCTTCACTTTTGTCTCGCGAAATTCACTTTTAGCCCATTTCCTAGCTAACCTCTGTCGATAGGATTCCTGTGTTAAGTTATTTCTGTTCAACATCAATACAGAAAACCCCCCTATGACCCCTGGTTCAAAAGCTCGCCTATTTTCAAAATGGCCGTCACTTTTGTCTCGCGGAATTCACTTTTGGCCCATTTCCTAGCTTTACAAATAATTTCAGGTGTCCTACATTGTAAAAATCCATGTCTATGTAAAGATTAGATATATGAAATAATTTTGTTACAAAAAATCAGCGAAAAATTGTATCCATTTTTTTATTTTCAGCCATTTTAGTTAACATTGATTTGTCTTTTTGACTCGCGAAATCCACTTTCTGTCAATAACAGTGGCACGTTTTAAAACCTCTGTCGATAGGATTCCTGTTTTAAGTTATTTCTGTTCGACATCAATTCAGAAAACTCCCTTATGACTCCTGGTTCAAAAGCTCGCCTATTTTCAAAATGGCCGCCATTTTTGTCTTCCGAAATTCACTTTTGATAAAAATCCATGTCAATGTAAAGAGTAGATGTATGAAATAATTTTGTTACGAAAAATCAGCGAAAAATTATATCCATTTATTTATTTTCAGCCATTTTAGTTAACATTGATTTGTCCATCTGTCTCGCAAAATCCACTTTTGGACCATTTACCTTAAACCCTCTGTCGATAAGATTCCCATTTTAAGTTAATTTTGTTCAACATCAATACAAAAAACTCTCCTATGACTCTTGGTTCAAAAGCTCGCCTACTTTCAAAATGGTTGCTATTCTTGTTTCGCGAAATTCACTTTTTGCCCATTTCCTAGCTTTACAAATAATTTCAGCTGTCCTGCCTTGTAAAAAGCCATGTCACTGTAAAAGGTAGTTGTATGAAATAATTTTGTTACAAAAAATCGGCAAACTATTATATCCATTTTTTTTATTTTCAGCCATTTTAGTTAACATTGATTTGTCCATCTGTCTCGCGAAATCCTCTTTTGGACCATTTGCTTAAAACCTCTGTCGATAGGATTCCAGTTTCAAGTTATTTTTGTTCAACATCAATACAAAAAACTCCCCTATGACTCCTGGTTCAAAAGCTTGCCTGATTTCAAAATGGTTGCCATTCAATTTTGGCCCATTTCCTAGCTTTACAAATAATTTCAGGTGTCTTGCATTGCAAAAAGCCATGTCACTGTAAAGAGTAGTTGTATGAAATAATTTTGTTACAAATTATTGGCAAAAAATTATATCCGTTTTTTTTTTCAGCCATTTTAATTGACTGAGAAACAGACTGCTTGAAATAATTTTGCAACAAAAAATTATATCCGTTTTTTTCTGTCACCATGTGAGCCCAGTACCCACAGTACTAATTTTTTTTTTGTTTTAGAGAACTTTTTTCTAAAAAGTAGACTTCTGATTATATTACTCACATATATTCTGTGAACTTCACAACCTTTGTATGAGAAACCCTCGTGTTATGTCAATACTGTTTTAATACGATTTTTTTGCAGATATTCCCGATTGTAAAGAAGATTCTTGCAACAATAAAGGAGAGTGTATAGAGGGCGTTAACAGCTTCACGTGCGATTGCAGAGACACATTCTCTGGACCTGCCTGTGAACATAGTAAGTTACAAAAGAAAGGAGGATTATTATATATCCTCTCAGGAATTGCTCATAAGTTCAGATCCTGTTTGTCCACATATTTGTCTTGAAGTTCATATAGTTATAAGTTGTTTCTGTTGTCTTTTTGGAAAACTGTCTTTCCATGTATACTGTATAAGTGGAATTAAATCTGAGTGGTTAATTTGACGAATGGTCAAGTTTATTATTTTTTCCTAATTTTAATTTTCCTAATGACAAAAAACTTCCCATTGGTTAACATTATGAAGATAATATTTCCGACATTTAATTTTCCGAACCTGGCAATTAAGGCAATTAAATGATTAGGAAAAATTACCACTGATACAGTGTATATAATCCAAACTTCAAAAGTAACAATTTTTATACATCATTATGTGTAGACCTGATGTGGTGAAAATGAAGTCTTTATTTTGCTCAAGAATACTGAAAAGGACGCTATGAGTCACTTAAGGACAACATACTGTTAGTATTTTGTTTATTTCACCAAGTTCTGAAAACGAAATTTAAACTCTACTCCAGCAAATGGTGGATGGAGTGAGTGGTCAGCAATCAGTCTGACAGATTGTAGCTCTGGTTGTGGACCTGGAAAATTCTACAGGTAAATTTAGATAAATCTTTATAAAAATCTTGAATTTATCTTTTATCTTATTGAGTAAATCACAAGCCTGTTTGAGGCTTTATGAAATATAGGAATAACTTCTGAGAATGTCTTCTGAGACAAGTATTACTTAGTGAAATAGAATTATTTTCTGATATTTTGTTTAGCCCAATTACCAAGAGTACTTTCTTTTCGTTGCAGACATCGAACTTGTGATTCCCCTGCCCCCGCTAATGGAGGGCGCTACTGTCTCTGGGAGAATGGCATATCTAACACTCTAAGCACAGATTGCTTTATCAGGGGCTGTGAAGATGGTATAGTAGAATATGATAATCTTGACCTATTACTTCTGGCAATGTTACAATAGATTAGCTAGATGCAAATAAAAATATTCTGGATTTAAGTCATAAGATATTCAAATGAAAGTGATATCATACATTATTTGAAGTCTACATATAAAAGCATACACTTATAAAATCTTCACTGAACACATTTTAAAGGATGTTTAAATGACAAACTCGAAAAGTTATAAAAATGATCCATTAAATGACTAATTGCTCTTTTCAGATCACATCAAATGGTGTGACAAGGACCCCTGCTTTGCTGATAAGGGAGGTATTTGTCTGTACCAGGACAAGGGCAAGTCCTTCAGTTGTGACTGTGCCATAGGATATACTAAAAAGATGAATGAGACGAATCCAGAAATCTTCCTTAGATGTGAAGGTATATCCCTGTTAAAAATGTTCAATCTTGAATTTTGGACATCAATGGTTGTATTATGGTTGTTCAATGGATTTTCAAGGTTTTGTTTCAACAGATGAAAAAAGTCATGTATTTTTCATTGATTATTTTCAATTCATTGAATTGAAAACAATGCCTTGAAAACATAGACAAGAGTAAACCTTTGATGTATAGGAGTGAAAGTGTTTAATATACGATGTACAGACAACATATCCAAACAATACTTGCAGCCCATATCGATTTTGCGAACATTGATTTTGTTAAACATGAAGTACAATTGAGAAAATTAAAAGTAATTCAAAAACTAAGTAAAAAAGATTGAATACCTTTTTTTCAGGCAAAGAAAAATCTGAGAAAAGATGTGGAAGATGATACCGACATTGTACCTGAACAATTTAGGCTAGCAGTTTATGTAGTTACTACTCATATAATGTATGTGAATAAAACATTTTCAGATATTGATGAGTGTAGTCTAGCAGAGGAGAGTGAGTTCTCTAAAAATGACTGCCACATTAACTCCACCTGTATGAACACACCTGGTGGTTTCACCTGTACTTGTAAACAGGGATTCAAACCACAAGAAAGAGACTGCATTGGTAAGAAATATCAATTTATGACTTTCCCCATTTGATGTTTTTTTCTCTTAATTTTATCCTTAGAAAAACTCGTATTTGTCTGCACTTTTCAAATCAGAGACACTTTCTGACCTGCAGTGCATTCATATAGATCTCATCAGAAAATGCATACATTTCCTATTACAACTTTCATTTAAGTTCAAGTTAAATATGAAATTGTTCAGATACAGCAATAAAACTTAAATCATGTTATAATCAGAGTCTAGTGTGGCTTGCTGAACTTCAGGGTAAGTCTTTCTGTATTTACAGATATTGATGAGTGTTCAGAGGAAACCCACAACTGTCCTGCCCACTCAACATGTGAGAACATAATTGGTTCACATTTATGCCACTGTGATAAAAGATACAAACCAAAACCAGGCTCAGACACACTGAAATGTATAGGTATGTATCTGTGTACTTCTTGTTCATTGTACAGTTTTTACTTATAACATAAAACACATAATAACAATCTCTCAAACACAAATGCTGCAATAGTCCAAACTAGGATACGAGAAACCAAAGACTTACTCTTAAGCTTTTATCATTTTGATTCAATGCTTTAACTGCATTGACTTTGGTAGCGATTATTTGGGAGAACTAGGAATTAAAATGTAGTCACACATGTAAATTTGATATATTTGGGGGTATAACAACATGTAGAAAAACTCTACCTGAGTATCTTCAAACGCCACAAAAGGGTGCCCCGCCTACCCAAAACAATTGTCACCATAGCAACAGCCATAACAATGGAATTGACGCAAGACCATTTCCTTAGATCTTGTTAAATAGGTCAATATTTTCTACATCATCTGTGAAAATTTCAATGTGATTGAATAAAGTATGGAAAAATAAGAGCACTTGGTTACTTACTTTCTGATCGGGCCTCGTACATTAATTTGCTGATCACCATTCCATCTTTAATGAGTTATTCTTTCTTGTTCAATGTAGAGAAGCGTTTGTTTGATTTTGGTGCTGAAGTGGGAGACATTGAGGTGACACAATACAGCCATGTGGGCAAAGAAAGAGTCTCTGACTATATCACAATTGATGAGGGATTCCCAACAATAGATGGTCAGCTGTACAACTCACTTTATGTAAGTTTCTGAGATGACTTGTTTAGTTATAACTTAATGACGAATGTAGTGTCATCCTTCTTCAAAAGACATCATTTATGCTTAAATTCATACTTGTAAAATACCCCTGCAGCAAGAATGGTAGTATATCAATATTTCATAATCATGGCATGCAATCTTCACCAAGTATGCTAATGAGTTCATTAAGTTTTGGATGGCTCCTTGGTTTTATAATTTCATGTACTTTGAGCTCTATGTTTATTAACTTTGACGGCTTTCCTTCCAGCTCGTTGAAAATGGTATGATCATAATCAGCAACAAGTTAGTGCCATCTTTCCAGAAGAACACGTTCAAACATACTGTGAACCTAGCACAGTATACACTGCCAACAATGGAGGAAGAAATAGGTGGTTTTATTATGCCATTCTGGGCAGACAATCACCCTTCTTCAAGGTTCTTTAAGGTAGTGCTTTACATAGGATACTTAATACATGAGTTGTATGCTTCCAATGCATTCTCATTTATCTGGGACATACATACAATGACACAAATGTTTTGGTTGTTTGTATGATGCAGAATAGCATTTATTTATTGCACACATTGTCTTGAGACATCTGTTCAAAAACAACACACTTTTGTAGGTGTCTTCACAAAATATCATCTACTCAATGTACAATGCCTGCAGTAACTACTCACTCAAGATATTTTTTATTTGTTTGTATAATGTGGGGGTTCACATAGATCCCTTGGGAACATATCATATCATCCCTCAGGATAAACTTAAATATACAATATATCCCTTCATATTATAGCCAATATTTATACACTGTTCACATGTTGTAGGTGTGGTATCAAGTCTATGACAAGACACACACAGACATTGTGTCTCAAGTTCAGTATCTTATGCTCAGTGTCTTAGGTGTGTTTGACTACCAGCCTGAGTTTATACTGAAAGCCACATGGGATAACATGGCTCCAGCTTATCCTGCTAGCTCCACGGAGGTGTGTAACTCCACAAATATTTTTTGTCGTCACTTCTTTGATTGTCCATTAACACAATGGTCAACATTTCTTATTGAACAAATCAATTTATAGAAGTAGATGAATTGTGACTTTATTAGGAATAACTAATGGTTCACACTAATGGTATTCTAAGTATGAACGCATGTGGTCTAATTAGTGTCAGAGAAGATTTTTGTCATTTCAAGAAGGATGTATGTGTCCATAGCTTGCCATTTTCTCAAGCCATGCTTTAAAAAATGCATAGTACTACATGTATACTGTATATTTCAGCGAAATACATTCCAAGCCATAATCGTGACAAACTCAATATCATCATTCACTTTCTTTATCTATGAAGATGAGGGGATGACCTGGCAGCCTACTGGCTACAAGTAAGAACATTTGCCCTAAAAAATGTGTTTCATTTAGGAATAATAAACTTTTCAGAGAGATCTTTAAAATGAAAGTTAAAAATTTAAACTTTTCTGCTTTTATTGACCCTGAACATGGTCCCCTGTGATGGGTCAAAAGACAGAATATACATGAAGTAGATTTATTTCATGGTATAGAATTTCATTGCTTCATTACTTTGGTTGGAAATGAAAAACTTAGATTTTGTGGAAAGGAGGTTTTCTCAAAAGATTCACTTTAAATTCAACAATCATTTACTTAACCATTGCCTTAAAATTCCAGCTTCTCAGAAAACCTGTTCCGCTACAATGGCTACCCAGCGAAAATCGGATATTTCCTCTGTAGATCTGATGATACACTCTTTGTGGTTGAGGATGAGAACTCTGGCGAATGGGCCGCCACACCTGACAGCCTCAATGCATATAGAGTATCAGAGAAAAACCTCCAGGGTCTTAATGTTAAAGGCATAGCAGGCTATAGATTGGATTTCAATGATGATAGCTTTATTAACCCAAGGAAGCGCTGCAATGATTGGTTAAATGTGAGAAATGATTTTTTGTGAGAAATTATGTTATTAATCCAAAAATTGTTGCATTGTTGCATCGGTTAGACCAGATATATACCTTTCATGAACAAATTGTTTTAGATTCAAACAATTCAAACTTATTTGTTTTAAACAATTATTAACATAACATACCTTGCAATCCCTCAATTTCTGTTATCCATGTAACATTTCTATTCTAGAATGAGGGTAGTGCAAGTGATTGGGCAGAAGGTGTTAACAATGTCTGTCCACCAAGCACAGAGCTAGCAGACCTTGACAGAAACTTCCTAAGAGAAGAGTTACCAACTACAAGTGGCTTTTACTGCTACAACAAATTAGTTGCTTTAGGCAATGGTAATTATTCACTCTTAAGATAATGGTAATACTGTAGACAAGATGATCTTGACATTGGTATCACTTCAGATACTGGTTGACAACACTTTAGATAATGGTAACACTGTAGACAAGATGATATTGATATTGGTATCACTACAGACACTGGTTGACAACACTTTAGATAATGGTAACACTTCAGACAATGGTAACACTTTGGGCAATTAAATGTTGAGACTTCAGAGATGAGGTATAGCTTTACATCAGTGTACTGTACATACTATTAATGTAACACTAAGGATAATCATAACAATTTAGACAACATAGGAGATTGTGGTAACACTTTGATAATTTCAAGGTTCATGCTATATAATGATTGCAGCATTCAAATTCAACTTGAAATGTGGCATTTATGAAAGGTGGTAATATAATAATGGTGTCTATTGTCCAGGTGCTAGTGTCCGATGTTGCTACGAGTCCTCTAGTACATTAGTGGGAAACTACCATCTGGGGGTTGATTACTCTGATCTGGGGCTTGTCATGAGGTACTCTCCAAACATAGATGCACAGCTGCACCATGAACATGACTACCTCCCATACAAACTCTGCTGTGAGGATGTTAAGATGACATCATATTGTGATCGCTATATTGAAAAGCGGCCACTTGCTAATAGTTTGGCGTACAAATATTTGGAACAAGGTGAGATGAATTTCATTTTTTGCAAAAGTCATAAAAGAACTGAACAATGTAAGTCACTGGCAATATTAATTCCACGTGTCAATTACATGTTCATTTTGTTGCTTTTTAGGTTATATTCTTGGTGGTCCACATTACAGTACCCTTGATGCGTATGAGTATACATTTAATGGTTATGGTGAATACATGCTTCTTTGGTCCAAAACTGGGGCCCTTGTTGACATTATGCTGCAGATAAGGACCTCCATTGCAGACACTGTGCATCCTGATGGCAAACAGGCTGTGTATATCAGGTAAGTGAAACTATAGAAATAAGTGAGTAATTATTCCGCATCTCATTGTCTCGTGTTGTCATTTTCATTTTCAGAATGGTAATACATGTATACCTAACAGATATTTGATACATTGAATCAATTCATTGTACAAGTATACCATTATTATCAAGGCAGCTTTGTATTGTGATGTCACACATACATCACTTATTTCCTTCTATAAATGAAACTAAGAACAAGTTGTTAGGTAATTTATGTTAGGTAGATATTTGTATAAGGTCTTTGTAGCCTGCCACTTTTCTATTGACTCCGATACAAAGTAGGTTACTCTACTAGGTATGTAATCCAATGTGAAATATGTTTCACCCTTTAGCTAAAACAATTGAAGTTCTAATTGTGATATTTTGGACAAAGGATGCATGGTCACAATAAAGCTAGCTTTTTTATGTACATGTAGGCTGATAAAGTCAAAAGAAGGCCTAAAACTACGCAAGTATCAAGATAACTCTGATTTTAGTGGTGTGGCAGGGAGAGTGGGTGATGGTCCACGTCTGCAAGCCTACCTCAGCTCAGATGCTATGGATGTCGATGTGGTCGTAGATGAAGATGTATATAAACCCGGAGATGTCATCCATGGAGCTGCTGTTGCCAAAACCAGTAAGTGCTTTAAAACCATCAATCCTGAAATCTTTGGCTTGAAGATTGCTCCAAACATTTTACAGTACCTTCTGATCGCTCTAAATAGTTTCTAACCTTAACCTCCTATATTACATGTAGTGCCATATTGTTATATTCTCCAACTTCTTTGTGACACAGCAGTTGGTGTAAAGCATATATAACAAATGGCAGGTGGTGACATTTTCCATGTTAATTCCATGATGATACATGCATTATAAATTAGATTTGCCTTGTTTTAGATGGCAGTGTAGTGTTGGCATTTGCAGGAGACATCACAGTGATTGCTGAGGCTAAGAATAGAGCTTTAGCATTGACTTTACAAGTTCCTTTGCTTCTGCAGGAGAGTTATTTCAGAGGCCTCATGGGCAATTTCGATGGTGTGGACGACAATGATATTGTTGACTCTCGTGGTGCATTATTTGATACACACTTGTTGAGTAATGAAGATATCTACAGGTTTGGAGAAAGTTGTAAGTTTGAATTTTTGATATGTGATCTAAATGTGTGAGGATGTTTCTTGTTTTAAAGAATGGTTGAATTTCCTCTCTGTAAGATACTTAGTATAAATAATATTTCATTTCATTATATATTTGAAATGAAATATTATTTATACTAAGTATAAATAATATAAAGGGTGAAATGTGAAACATATTCTATTTTACATCTATTTGCTAACTGAACTCGTAGTCATTTATTTCAGTGATAACTTGGCTGTACAATGTCATATCATGGGCTTTCAATCCATCAATCAGTCAAATCTGGTCATTTGGATTGTTGAATGATTTTGCTCCCATAATTGAAACATGGTCATTAATAATGGAATGCTATAAAAACCGATTAACCTGTGACCCTCACTCTCAACCTTCAACTTGCGACTTACTGGTGTTCGAAAGAGTTTGGACTGCTGGGTTTCATTAGGAATTGGAGAAAAGGCAAAAAAAGATGAAAAATGCTCACAACATTCAGATATAAAACAAATACAACCATTTCTGTATTTTACATTTGTGTATTATATTTCTTGTTTAAAAAAACATGGATTATGCTTCTACATATATATTAGTTCATACAATTATTTGTGTATGGTTTATACAGTAAACATGTATTTATAGGGTCCCTAAGATTTGTGTTTGGGCCTACAAATGCTGCAAAGGGCACTTTATTCAGCATATATCCTCAGGAGCCTGACAATGCTAACAGCTACTTCAGACCTGACTTCAACCCATACATCGTTGACCCAATAACATTGAGTGCTTCAGAGTTGGCACACTGCGTTTTATATAACAACACACCAGTGTCCAATGCATGTTTATTTGATATGATCATGTATGAAGACCCATTGGCAGCATCAAGGATCAGTAGCCAGAATGAGGCATTTGATTCTATCAATGAAAGATTAAGTAAGTGGGTTATTTTCTATTTTAAAAGAGATGTTATAGTAATACCATGGATAGAGAATGATGTCATAGTAACATAACAATTGACTTTAGGAATTTTTAATTTTATGAAGTTTATGTATGTGATGAATATGTATGTATTTTCACTCTGTTGCATACAGAACCCACATCAAACTCTGCACATCAGTTTTATGTTCGAATAATAAAAATGGTATGGAAAGAGAGGGTACCAAATACATGGTGGGCCAAAATTCGCCACTTTTTTATTATTTCCCAACCTATATACACCAAATTTTGCAGTGACACATGTTACTATGTATTAAATATCATGCATTAGATATCACTGAATAAAATCTTTATTAAATGCTTTATCTTTGAATATTTTACATGAAAAAATCTGTTTCAGTCGCCCATGCTACTATTTTGCTTGTATTTTACTTAATCATTTGAATTTATTTCTAATAACTTAAATAGGAAATGATATATTCCACTAACAAGACACATTTTTGTGTAACTTTGTATTTGTTTAGGTGATGGACCACCCATCTTTCTAACAGTCCTTGAGAGAATTGAGGCCAAGGCAAACCAATTGATGTTTATTCCACTAGCTGCCTATGATCGTTATAGCCAACAGGTAGCCATTGTTTTAAACCAATTAGGATTCATTTAATTATTTTCGAATATTCTTGTTGTATAAAGACTTGAGTGATTATTCTTAAAAATATTATTACTTAATTGAGAATTTTTGAGCCCTGATATTGATAATGTGAAACTCTGCCCTACAATTAATTTTATTTCCACCATTTCCACCATATAGATTAAAAATATTGATTCTAGGTTTCAATCACTGTATCTCTGACAAGTAACACTGGTGAAGTGGACAGGAGAGAGTTAATAACTAATGAGAGCCCATCATCACCTGGTGCATATGAAGCGACCTTTCAGTGGCTACCTGGCTCAGATATTGTGCAGCTAGAGATCATAGCAACAGATTCTAGTGGCCTGTATGATGTCATGCGTCCTACTCTAATACTGTGTGCGTGCAACCATGAAGGCCTTTGTCACTATGATCTACCAAAGGTAATGATATAGGTAATGAATAGGGGATAATACAATTTCCAGAATTTTCTATAATGTTGTATTAAATGTAAATTGACTTTTGAAAGACCAATCTGCATGTATTACGTAATATTCTACATCTTTTCCCATTTAGGGTGGTGAGGGTACATTTAGATATGCCTCCTGTCAGTGCTACAATGGTTGGTCTGGGGAGTCATGCTCTGATGACTTGGATGGCTGTGCGACATCTCCATGCTTTGGAGGTAAATATTGTGAAATTTGTGTCTCCAACTCATCAGTCGTTAGTGAAAAAGAGACATAGAAAGTGGAATAGAAAAATTTCGTGATTTACAAGTGAATCACTAGAGAATCATTTAATTCAATTCCACCTCTTCTTTCAAGCTTGGAAACATTGAAATAATAAGTTGTCCAACAATAGAACTAAAAGATAAAAAACATGATATTACCTTCGCATTACAGAGGATGGCAAAGGGGTCAAAGGGGATTTTGATTTTACAGTTACTTTTTACTGCACATCACATACCTGTACTTTAACAATTCCTACAATCATTTCATATAGGTTGAACTGAAATGTTGAGAAGTTAATTTGAATCTTCTTAAAACTAGAGTGATAATTGTTTGAAGGTTGTAAGGACCGTACACCAAAGGAAGTGAGCGACAGTGCCGATGGTTTAGAATTCCTTTGTGATCCTTGCCCCGATGGCTACACTGGGGATGGACAAACATGCACAGGTGAGTCTCAGTGCAAACCTGAACTAACTAAAAGTAACCTGTTGGAAAATAATCAACTAATTTTTGTTTTCTTTTTATAACACATGGCAGTCCTTTAATAGGCTAGATCTTGATTTTCATTATTAGATATTCCAATATTTTTATTGTTCAAGTTAAAAGGAACCTATTACATACAATCCAACCTATTCCATGACATATGCTAATACCCCTAATTTGGAAAAATGGGCAAGTCCAAAAACAACAGGATAACCTGAATCCCTCTAGGTCAACTGACCTAACACCCCTTTATATGCTATATCTTCATAATTGTACTTGCCTATGTATGGAAAAGTGGAAAAATTTTAGAGTCCAGTTTTTTACTCTATCTGCTAGAAGTTTCTTAGATAATTGGTAAATTGATGGCAGATATATGCAGGACTAGGGGTTACCAGATTGTTACGGGAACCTTGTCAATGTGATAGTCTACAGAAGTCGGAAAATCTACAATCTGAACTGGCACAGATGACCAAGTAGCCGATCTTTGGGACAGCAAGGTGCATATTAGAAGCATGCACAACTTGAGTAGCAGTTTACTGAGGGAGTTGCAGGCCTGTCAACTGTCCCGCAATTTGCGTATTTGTCACGCATTTGCTGAAGAATTTGAAGTCACGCCAGTTATTTTTGCGTGACAGAAAATGTCACGCAAATACGCATTTTACCTGGTAATTGTCAAGCAAAAATATTTCTGGAGAAAATTTTCTAAAAAAGATCGTCTACACAGCAAAAATACGAACGACGGGAAAAAAACGTACGCATTTCGTTCGGACTTTTCACGCGAATTATGGATATGTCACGCATTCCGTCCGAAAATTTTCGTACCTACCCCCCCCCCCCCCCCCGTTGATGGATATTTGAAACGCGAGCGTAGCGAGCGCGAAAAATTTGAGGTGTTCAAAATTTGGCAAGATGTAATAAAATTTAAACCAAGGTGTTCAAAATTTGGATCAAGGTGTTCAGATTTGGACCAAGGTGTCCACATTTTGAGGGGAGGTGTTCAACATTTCCAAGTCACTCATGTTAGGTGTTCCCAAGTTGACAGGCCTGGAGTTGGTGCCCACCATCCCATGGTAGATCTTCAAGACTATACCTCAGCAGGGCCTCTTCAGCAGCAGAAGGTACTTGGACAGAGTCACAAGTCATTCTTCAGTGCAGTGAGCTCATTTGTGGTTGTATTTTAGTGTACTTCTAACACTAGAAACAGGTCAGTTTTTAGGAAATCCTTCCATGGATTTTATTTTCAAGCAACACGTTTAGCTAACAGTCAAATCTAGGTTAGCCTAGTTTGTCTTTGGGACAATAAGTTCAGACCCAGTTGAACTTTATTTGACCCCTACTGGCTTGTATTATCTTTTTTTGTAAAGGTTTTTCATTCATACTTTGTACCTTCCTATAAGGGACCTTTACTCTTTAACCCCGTCAATGCGAGAGCCGATTTAATCGGCTCTGACGTCACATTTGTGTTTGCGAGAGCCGATTAAATCGGCTCTGAAAAACCTTTGCTTCAGTGCTAAAGCCGATGAGATCGGCTTTACGTCATTCCCATGTAAAAGGGGATTCCCCTCAGTAATTATGTAAGACATGCAGATCTTCACAAATAAACATGATATTATATGTCTAAAACAATAAATATTTCGAAACACTGTGCTTGTTTGTTCATTTTTCTCAACTTGATCGAGTTTTTAAAAACAGGAAAAATAAAAACAAATTTTCAAACAAATATTTGGCGGGAAAAATGGCGGCACTAAATGACGATGGCAGTGATTTTTATTGAGAGCCTATTTGATAGTGATTTTGATCTCTCTGGTGTCCGAAGCAAGTCAGATGATGATGGGAATATTCCCATACCTTGTAATCAGTGAAGATGTGTCCCTGGACCTCAGCAATCAAAGGAAAGATTACAATTTGATAAGGTAAATAGCCCGGGAGGACCAGAAAAATTCCAGTCAAGATTTTTTTTGAGTTGTGTCAATTATAATCGACATTGTAAGTTATCAGCTGAATTATTTGAACTGAATTATTTTCATCTAACTATTAGATGAATACTATTATCGAACATATTTTATTTAGAGTGTAAATAGAGCAAATAACATACTTGGAAAACTAAGTCACATGACTTGATCATGGTGATCATGTGACATTCAAAATGGCGCCATCCAGGTTAAAAATGAACAAATTTGCTCTTCAATATATCGCATATTCTTGAGGGATCATTGTCTTTTTGCAATGTAATGACACAGAGAAAGGTACTGTATGTATTATATCTGATAACAAATATTTATTGATTTTACGATATTTATGGCTCTATAGTGTCTAAACCACTAATGAACTGCAGAATTCATGAATTTTTTTTCAATTTTATTTTTGATTTTCTTATTGTTTCTTTATCATTTCATTGTACTATTTCATTGCACTGTTTCATTGCCATGGACAATCCAATACATATACTAGTATACCGAATACTCCTTTACATTGACGTGTGTGGCTATGTACAATATCCATGCATCTAGAGCTGATAGCAAACTTTTTCAAAGACAAATACAGTTGGGAATTACCTTCTTCTAAGGCCACTACATGTACATTATATCGTGAGAATTGGCTTGAGACTCGAGTGGACAGGTGGATTTTCTATCACCAACCATGGCCATCTGAAAGCCCATACTTTCCAACATTTTTAACATTGGAAATCCTCACTTCAGCAAATCCACCTGTCATTTATTTATTTATGTTCCAATCTGTGTCAGATGTTTTTTAATTGAATTACAGTAATGTTGTATTTCAGTCCAGTTTTGCCTTAGTTGTCCCACCTCAATTTATTTTTTTAATCCCTGCTTTGACTACAACATAGTCAGTCACTGAATAAAGTGAAGAGCTATACTGTTGTGAACTTCATGTATAGCTGACAATATATGTTTTAGGAACCAGACAAAGCAAACAATACCAAATGCCGCATCAATGATATTTACTTTGATTAATACATGGATGGAGTTTGGGATCATATGACTGCTGAAAGTACAGTGTAATGTCATGCTGAACAACTGCAATGTACAGGTAGGCAATTAAACAGTGTTTCAGTGTTTACCAATATTACTAGAGTATAGTACATAATTGCAATTCATGTACAAGGTTTATGATATTGATTATAATTAATGTAGTATAGTACAGTACAATGTACTGTTTTACAATACATTACAACATGTACAAAAGTGTTTAACAGTATGTGTTCAGCATGAAGGTCATATTTGTATATCAAAAGGGATGTACCAATAATTTTTTATCTACTGTATTCATACAGGTAGTTATACAGTACCTGTACCCGTAACATGGGTGAAGCCAAACTTGAGACAGGTGAGGCTTTTGCCTCACCACCATTTTTCAGGAAAACATTTATTTGGACAATATGTGTATATTAAGTCTGTGAAGATAAAGGAAAGCACATTATTCTAGTATTGCCCCAATAAAATCAATTTGATCTCTGGAAGAGGCAGATTTAAATTTAGGTAAACACTCTACTTCAGCTTCAGTATAAATATTTTTTTTGAAATTTCCCTCATTTCCATTATGGCTACTTCCTTGTATATAGCAAATGTTATGTTATATAGAGATTATTTAATGGGAGAGATGGTATATGAATTTTATTCTGTGGGAAAATATAATATTGGCCAAGGAAAATATCATATTGACCGAGGGCAATAGCCCAAGTGTCAAAGTGATATTCTTCGAGATCAATATCATATTTTCTCAGGGAAAATATTAATACTCCAACACAACTGAAACTTATTTATAAGTTTTGAATGTCATCACCCAATGATGGTGTGATATAAAATGATACAATTGAATTCTTCTGATATCGGATCCAATACGGGATCTGATACAGGATTTTGCCTGATGCGAAATCTTATTTATTTCCCAGGGAAAACATGCTATTATAATTATAGAATAAATATTTATATACAATGATCTTTCCTTTACAGCACAAAGAGAAGAGGAGTTTCTCAAAGATTGCAGTAGGCTATACAGTGGGAAAATACAGTACATCCATCTCTGAATGAAAGCCTTCATTGAGATGCTGCTAAATATGTGTTTGATTCAGAAAGCAACACTGGAGTCATATTGGACAAAAACAAGGTAATGTTTGTTTTATCACTGATGGTCAAGGGGAAAGGCAGGTGTCATTCTCGGCCTAAAGGCTGAGAGGCAGTTTCTTTGTACTTTTCTTTGGCATTTTTGAAAAAAGTGGACCCAAAGCTCATTTATTTAAATTCAAGTCCCGCAAGTCAATTTCCAGAGCCAACCCTGAACATATGTGTATTGCCATTATTGTGACACTATAACCTTTTCATAAGATTAATTAGACTAATCAGAAGACTGATTATAGAGTATTTTATAGGTCATGTACAGAAACAGGTCACTAGATAAAAAAAATAATATCATTTTGTAATGTATGAATTCAAATCATGAAGTAAAATGATATAAAGTACTGTGTATGAAAAAATGAAAATTCGGCCTAAAATGAAAAATTTGGCCCAAAATGAAGATTTTTGAAGGAAAAAGAATTTAATTTTAGAAAAGAAAATTCGAAAAATGAGAAATCATGATCCTAGGGAAATAAACCCCACGTTCAATCCCTCCAAGTAAATAACCTCTATGCATTTTCTCATTATAGATGGAATCAGGCAACCCCCAGTTAGGAAAAAACTTTACGAGAGACCGATTTCAGCTACTTTTGCGGTTCTGGCACATGAACAATAATGAGGTTGCATTAGTTGAAGACAAGCCTGGCTGCAACCCCTATATCAAGGTCAGGTGCTTGATTTCTGCGTTCAACGGGAATTCTGCCATAATACTCTCCATGAAAACATTGCTCTGTTTGCGGGACTGGTCTCTATGAGCAAGAGGTAAAATTTTTACCTT